TCTGCCATGACACTCGAGTCGCCGGACATGCCGGTCGCTTCAAGACCTTGGAGTTGGTCTCCCGGAACTACTGGTGGCCTCAGATGTCTCGCCATATCGGCCGGTACGTCGCGACCTGCGACTTGTGCTGTCGCACCAAGGCGCTCCGGAGACTGCCCCACGGAGAGCTACACCCGACGGAAACACCCCCGGAGCGCTGGCATACCGTCTCCGTCGACTTCATTGTCGAGCTCCCGAGGCCCATGGGTACGACGCGATCATGGTCGTCGTGGACACCCTTGGGAAGCGAGCCCACTTCTCCGAGTGCCATACCACGGTCGACGCAGTAGGAGCAGCCCGCCTCTACTACCGGAATGTCTGGCGCCATCACGGGACTCCGGAGAAGTACGTCTCCGACCGTGGCTCACAGTTCATCGCGGACTTCACCCGAGAACTCTGGCGTCTAATCGGCATCAAGCCAGCCACGTCCACCGCGTATCATCCGCAAACGGACGGTCAGACAGAGCGCGTCAACCAGGAGTTGGAGCAGTACCTGCGGATCTTCACCAACTATCAGCAGGACGACTGGGATGAGCTGATTCCGGCCGCGGAGTTCGCTTACAACAACCATGTCCACTCATCCACGCAGCAAGTCCCCTTCATGACGGACACGGGACGGCTTCCGCGCATGGGCTTTGAACCCGGAGCCCGCCCGCTATGGAGTCTGTGAACGAGTTCCGCGACCGAATTGCCACTGGGGTTGCCGAAGCCAAGGCCGCGCTCACTAAGGCCAAGGAAGAGTATAAGCGCTACTACGACCGGAGACGCACTCCGTCTCCGGAGTTCAAGGTTGGCGACCGTGTTTGGCTGGATGCCTCTGACATCAGGACGACTCGCCCCTCGGAGAAGTTCTCCCACCGCCGCCTCGGTCCGTTCAAGATAGTCCAGGAGATCAGCAAAGGTGCCTACAAGCTCGACCTCCCTCCGCGCTACTCGAAGCTCCACCCGGTCTTCCCCGTCGTCAAGCTTGAGCTCGCCCAAGACGACCCCTTCGACGGACGCCCGGCTACGACCAGCCCCCTCCGGACCTCGAGGACGGAGTCCCGGAGTGGGAAGTAGAGGAGATCTTGGACGCAAGGGTGAGGTATAAACGGCTGAATTACCGTCAGATGGAAAGGCTACGACGCGTCGCACGACCAGTGGGTCCGCTTCGACCGCGTCTTCGCCCCGGACAAAATCGCGGAGTTCTACCGTAAGTACCCTGGCAAACCACGGCACATCGCCTCCGCAACCTTCGACTCGATTCCGTTCCGGTCTATGCGTCGGGACGCCGCATTCAAAGGGGGGTGATGTCAGGGGAACCTCCCTTTCGGCCCCTCGGAGACGATCCCGATTCCGGTCCGACTCGGTTCCGACTCCGGTGATCGCATCACCGCCTCCGTCAGGCGCATCGCCGCCCCGCCTGGCGATCCCCCTGGGACCTGGCCTGCGACATGGCGCAGGCATACTGCACGGAGCAACGATCAACCTTGGCGCGTCAAGAGCGCAGTATATAGTTCCGCTACCTAGCAGGCGGACCCTTAGAGTTTCTTCTCTTTGGATCCTCCCCTGCTAGTTCAGCCTCACTTGTATTTGCTTACTTCTATTCACTCTTTGGATCCTCCCCTGCTAGGACCTTGATCTCAGGCCTCCGGGGTTGCCCTTACAAGCTTGACCAGTATGGCTTTGGTCAATGTCTGGAAATGGAGGAGCATCTTCAATCTTGCAACTACTTCTAGAGCTGCTGAAGACATAATACAATTATATAATCAATCAAATCTTCTTTCTTACCATATCGAATGGACTTATCAGCTGTGTCCTTACGATCAGACCTGGCTATCCTGGACAAGGATATTCTGCAACTCCAAGAGAAGCTGAATTATTATCTTATGAAATGAAAGCAGACAGCTGTAAAACTTTCTAAGATACCATATGGCAAGATTCTTGAAGTTCCAACAGAGCTTATAAGCTATATCTTCAAGCTTCTGCTACATCCTCAAGCACAGGACAAACTCTTTCAGCAGCTTAAAGCTCTGCTATTTGTCTGTTCACACTGGAATAATATCCTCATCAAGGACCCAATCTGGGCAACTCTTTCTGTCAGCTCTAAAGGAGATTGTGATCATTTTTACTCTTGGCTAGCCAAGCCATGCACATTTCCTTTGACAATCAATATCCTCAATGCTGAGAACCATATTAAAATTTTCCATATCCTTCTAGAAAATCAAAGGACATGGAGAAGCTTTTCATGCACTGTTGACATGGCTATGGTTGAAAGTCTTAGACAGTTGGATATTGAAAGGCTGTCTACCCTAGAGAGCCTTACTTTAAAGGCTGATTCTCAAGAGTTCTTTTCTACCAATATGATATCTGCATTTCAGAACTGTCCTCGGCTTGACTCTCTTGAGTTGAAGAGTCTATCAGCAGCTGAGGTCCAGATTCCTTGGAATCAATTGATATCCCTCACTCTTCATGACCATAAAGCAGATGCTTTATTTTCCATTCTGAAAAATACACCTCATCTACAGCAGCTAGAAATTGCTGTCCAGTCACTTGACACACCAACAACTGAAACAATCTATTTAAAATCTTTGACAACTCTAGTTGTCCATCAGACAATGGAAAACCAAGATTCTGGTGCTATGAATAGTCTGATTCTACCAGCTCTGGATTATCTTGAAGTTGATCTTGTGAACAACGAAACTGAAAAAAATATTATATCTCTTTGCAACCGTTCAGCTTGCTGTTTGACCAATCTATGCCTCCAGCAGGTGGAATCACAGCATTATGCTATACTTCTTTTAAGAGACAAGACAATGCAACAACTTATAAATCTTGAAGTTCATGATATTGATTGGGAGAGTGACTGGCCATTACTGCAGTTTTTGGCCATGGGAAGCTGTCCTAATCTCTCTGGGTTGACTATGGCAATGACACAAAATCAACTTCCTACTACTGCTATTGCGTCATTCCTTGTAAAGCGCAACAAGAATCTTCCAACAACACATTTGGAGTCTTTTGACTTCATAGTGCTTGAGGAAAATCCTCTAGACCAGTTGAAGTTAAATTCCAGTTTACGAAAGCTATTTCACAAATATCCCTGCAAGCTTTATCTTGAAGGCTTGAACTCTAAGGCATGTTTTCTTAGCCAAGTATCTGTTCTCAACTAATACTAGCATAGGTTCTTCAAATTGATTGATGCGCAGCGGCAAAGGTCGTGAAAGTATAGTCGGTAGTGCTGAATTAAAGTCAGACCAACGGTGTTATTGGGTCCAGTATCAATCGAAAAGTCTTGGCACTTTTTAATATAGTTACCCCGGATTGGTGAGGTCATTATTGTAATTATTATCATTGTTGTGAGTGTCCTTATCCTTTGATAATCAGGCTGTTTCATGAATGTCCCTACCCTTTGGTAAGCAGGCTGTTTCGTAGTCATTTTGTGGAGGCCTTATCCTTTGATAATCAGCCAATGAATGCAATCCACAATAGTATTAGGGATTCACTGTCTATCTACTACTAACATATGTGCTAAATTTATAGATCACTGACGGGCTTGGCATCAATCTGTAGCCCACAGCCATTGCCGGTCCTCTGCCCCCCGTCTCTGTCACTGCCTCTGCTCGTTACCAGCATCGCCCTCCCCATTGCCAACACCACCCCGCTTCTTGCAGCTATGCATACCGCCTGTTGCCTCCCCTCACTACTACAGCGCCACTGCGGACACTGCGGCACTTGTTCATCGCCTCCACCCATTTCCCTGGTTCGATGTGTTATTGGACGTGTCACGTAAACGTTACAGAGGTCACTTCCGTGACCTTCCTGATACCGCCCCCATGCCCGGCACATCACTGATGATCTATGCAATCATCTATATCTTATTCCTTATATGCAACTTTGTCATATCCGTGCATCCGTCAAGAGCCGTGACCCGCGGACTGGTCACAGCCTGCCAGGCTCTAGCCCGATCCGATCTGGTCACTCCAGCGACCTTGTACTCTGTATGTCTTTCGCCTTGTTACTTATATCTCCATATGTCCTTATGCTTGTTACTTTCCATATGCACTCCGTTTCTTGTACTTACTTATGGTCTTCCCTTTCTACTTACTATTAGTATTTAAACAGCTAAAGTAGCTACGGTACTTTAGCTTGATTATAAATGTTACTTGCACTCCTCCTCTATGCGGAACGACTCTGATAACTCTTCTTTTTTCTCTTGTCCTTCAACCGGACTTCACTTCGCTTGTGGACCTTGTCCGCTCAAACTCCGCTCCGCTCCGGTTGGTCTTGTGTTCATTCGTGTCAGGCAGCTACTGGCTTGTTAGCTATAGTGGAAACTCCCCCTGTTCTGCACGGCACTTGACAAACTTCCTTACTACTTTACTTGTCTTTGTTCTAATCTTGTTACTTACTTTGTTATCCCTTATTTTCTTCCTGTTACCTCTTGTACTATAAATACTTTGATGTATTACTACATACTTCAGTTTGTAAATCAATATTGCTGGTCTCTATTATCCAGCATCGTCTCGACTCTGCTCTTCTCTCTGTCTTGTGGTCAACTGGAAGCCCCAGTCACCCAAACATCCTTCTGTAGTGTTCCACCCCTAAGTATATTCCAACTTTGATTCTGTTCCCAACTCCAACTCTGACTCCGGTCCCCTGGTTGACACAGCACTTAATATGGTGACAGTCTGGAGATGTAGGAAGGAACCAGAGAAACTTAGGCAGGCCAGAGAGGTCAGAGAGACCAGAAACAAATATTTCTCTAATAGATTATAAACAGTTCTTATATATATTCAAAAACATCTAAAACTTAAAACTTAAAACTTAAAACTTGAAAATCATCTAATATAAAGCTAATAACCAGAAAAATACTACTAGGCTTTAGGTACTTGAAATTGTATATCAATAGGAAGAGAAAGATTTTCCAGCCAGTCAAGCTGATTTTCATACTGTTGTTCTAACAGATGAATCTGTAAAAGACTTGGATGGTGAGCACAAAGAATAAAGTAAAAGCCTGTCAAATCAGTAGTCTGTATAAAATGTAGACAATTATTGCCTAAAGTTGTAAAAGGAGAGATATCAAGAATAGCTTGTTTAGAAGACTGATTATTTTATGTTAAGTAATTTATTATTGTTATAAAAAGATTCTTACAAATAAAGAGAATGAAAGGGGTAAACCCATCAATAACAAGTCTTCTAGATAAGAGCAATAAGCTATTGAAATCATTATTAATAGTTCATACCTGACTTAGGCCAAGAGGAATGTAAGTTAGAGACAAAAGATAGGAAGTTTGATTGGTTAGGTTGATCTAATTGTGCTTTTATATAGGCCTCTTCAAAGCAGAACAAAGATAGACACAATGAATGATGAAGACTTCTATATAGTGTTAGTAGTGTTTCATGATAATACACAGCTGATACAAACTGCATGTGTTTATCCCGATTGTTCCATAAAGTGATTGCATCAAGCTGACTCTGCTTGATGAAGAAATTCATGGTCAATGGTCCTTGGGATGAGCCTCGATATGTTCCGATAATAGTGTTTTCTGTCATGGAACCTTGAAAACAATGTGAGCACCAATTGGAACGGCTGAAGTTGAGAAGAAGTACTCGGACACACATCATTCTCAATTGATGTGTGAAACTTGCGTGTTTGTGTTTGTGTTTGTGTTATCGGTATCTGTTAACTATGATTAAATGTGTGGATTGAGCAGGGGCAAAGGGATTCACATTAAGGCATATATGCTCATTCACTTTCATCACGACATCTCTTGCAAAGTTTTGCATGCCAACAGTTATTTCGGTTTCTTCAAGAGATTCGGAGTCCAGATTCGCTGGGTGATCCAAGAGTGATGATGCCACTTCAATGATCGGGCTTCCCGAGTCAAGGGGCTCGAGGGTTGTTGTGTGTGCTGTTGACGGATCGTTCGCCGGTTCGTGCTGAGCATGATCCACCTTGATGTTCGTAAAATGCGTATTTTCAGGGACAGCCTGGGAACTTGAAGGTTGCAACGTGGTAATAACTATGACCGTACCTCCGAATCAACCAAAGCAATCCCACTGTCCCCAACTGCTTCGCTTCCTGGCGCACAAAAAGCATCAGATACGGGAGCGCTCTGAAGATGCACATTACGTTGCTGCTTGTAGCTACGAGCATCCTCCTCAACCAATTTGTCGAGATCGGTCTTTCTTCGTTTCGTTTTGCGGAGAGTTTTTGATATTGGTAGAACAGATGGTTCGACAACCTCGACGCAGAGTTCAATGCTCGGTTTGCTCCGAAATGGATATCATACTGAGTCGGTATATGCTGTGCCGATAGGAGGCGTGACGGAAGTCGGAGTGGGAGTGGGAGAGTTAGATGCATCTCTGCTGGAGATTAGCTGGGACGAAACCAACCGTGAATATAGGTTACATTTGATGAGGAGGCAAAAATTGCTCCCATTCCGGGACGGTTGACAAGATTTTATGGAGACGGTCTATGCCAAGTTATACGATGATGAAATTGTGGAAACGCATCAAGCCGACCCACCTAACAGATCTGGTTCGGTAAAATGGTGCATGTACCGACGTATAATGGCTACTATGGCGAGAAAAGCTTGACACAACTTAGCCCGCTGTTCTGCGACAAGGACTGCATGGTCGCGCCGCAAGGTGTGTTCTGCCACCTATGTAATGGTGGGTTCGCGTTCAGTATAGATGCAAGTTTGGCCGCACCGTTAGAGTCTCTACGATCTGGTGCAAAAAAGTCAGGACACGACGCCCAAAGATATAGTCATGTGTGTCAACCTTTATTCGCGCCTCGAGCTTCAAAGTCAATCAATACCCGTGAGATCGAGGGTATAAAGGTTTCAAGAATGGCTCACGTAGTATGCTTTATCGCTGTCGAGCCACTTTCCAAACTTCTTGGAGTTGGGCTGAACAATTCAATTAGCCAAAAACCCGTCAGTCATTCATTGCTCTCTCACAATATACGCGTAGGGCGAACTGAGCTTCGCCTTCAGGGTCTCCAACACACTGAATATAGGTTAGTTCGGATACTTTGGTCCAGCAAGCTGACATTCATATCATTCCTGGCCTTGACTTCTGGATTTTCAGACATAATCAACGAAAGATCACACCCTTGTGTGTCACACATGTCACAAACTGTTGTTGGTAAAACCGGGAGCCTCCATGTTACCAGATATTACATAACATAATACTAATTAAACGAGCGATGGGAGCTCATTGAGCACCAAGTAAGCTATTGAGAGCCTTGGGAACGTCGTATCCATGTATCTCGAGTGCGTCCACGGCTTGTGAGCGACTGAAGCCCATCGCCGTCAACTGCTTGACGGCTTCGACATCATCATCAACTGCCGGTGTGGGTATTCTCGCTGGCTCTTCTTGAGGAGGGGTCAGAAGGTGCGATGGTCCACCAGGAAGTGGTTCAGAACTTTTATTTTTCCTCTTGCCGAATGGTAAACGAATCTGGAGTCGATCAGCAGTGAGGACGCCGCCATTGGGAGATAGCATACGCTGAGTTTGGAGCTTCGGGCTGGATGGCTTTCTTTCTCTTTAACCTTTTCATCTTTTGAAGAACCGGTAGATGGTCTGCCTTTGGAGCCACTGCGGGTCGGTGGAGGTGGAGACCTGTGACGTGGAGGCGGGGAAACGGAGCGCCTCGACGTAGTCTGAGAAGGAGCTGTACTTTTGGGCGACGATGTGGGTGAATTGATGGGGAAGGGTTGACTTTGCTTTGTCGACCTGGTTTCTGGTTCCGTGTTTGAACCTGTGGATGACTCTCCGAATAATGAGTGTTCAACCGACGTGGCTGTTCCATTGGCGGCCAAAACAGTAGGCTGGGTCGCAGTGACAGGCATGACTGTCTCAACGTTGTTTTGTATGCTTGGACCAATTGGTGTTGCGATCACGGCTTGTGAGCCTTCAGGAGTAAAAATGTGATCAAACTCGTTATTATTACTTGGGTCAGTGGAAGGAGGCTGTATAGCATGGCCGTTAACAGCAGATGGTGTCTCCAGAGGCGGTGAACCACCGAAGTCAAAATTATCATCGAATGCAGAGTCGAAAGCATTAAATTGAGTAGACGGGACTGTTGTTTGGTTCATGGCTTCGTCGAAGGCGTTGACCGCTGAACCAGTGCTTTGTGGGGCGAAAGTAGTCATTGGCATGCCGAATGCGTCAGTGAGGGGTGGCATATTCTGGATAGTACCGACAGACGGTTGCACGAATGCATCATCCGATGCCGACTGGGCTTGTTCAACATCATTTTTGCTCGGGGCATCAGACGCTTCGGTAGCTTTGAACTGGACGAGAGCAGCAAGAGGAACGCCATCTTCACTGTCACTGCTGTCTGAATCCTCGACATCAAGTTCTTTGAGTTGAGTACCGAGGTCTGTTTCAGTTGTCTCTGCCTCAGGTTTGGCATCTTGCTTTTCTATTACTGCTCCTGCCATAACGTTGTCGATTGCGGGAAATGTGGACGCTGTGGTGGTCACTGGTGTCAAGAACACATCACTATCACTGGCGCCGCCATCGTCAACAGTGAGTTCAGTTGAAGAAGGGACCAGATCGGTGTGCTCGGCCGGGGTCTCGGAATCGAAGGCCTGAGCAAAGCCGAACGGATCACCAGTTGCAGGATCTTTGCCAAGTGGGAAAGGGGATTGAGAACGAGGAGTTGCATTGCCCATGAGTCGATCGAAGGGGTTGTTACTCTTGATGCTAGATGCAAGGGATGGGCTGCTGACGTCAGGGACCGGTGAAGCTGGTAGGGTCTGAGCGGCTGCAAATAAAACGGAGTCGGAGGATGTGGTACGCTCCGGAGAAGTTGCGAAACTAGCGATGGACGCCTCGATCTGGTTTTTCTCTGCAACAATGCTCTCGGTTTCGGATTGTGCCACTTCGAGTTCCTTCTCCGTCCTACCACGTTCAGATTCTTTGCTACTTAGTTGCTTTCGGGCGATAGCAAGGAGGCCCTTCTGCTGTTTTGCCTCCTTCTTGGATTGGTCGATTTCAACCTTGATCATGTCGATGTGGTGGCCAGCTTCAACCATCTTCTTCTGCAATGTGCGAGCCTCCTCCTTGTCGCGAAGGAATGCACCCTCTATCTCTGCCTTTTCCACCCGTAGAGCGCTGAGATCGCTCTCAGCACGAATTAATTCTTCTTGCGTTTTGAGCATCTCCGTGGTCTGAGCAGTGTGCCGGTCCCGCAAGCCGGCCAGGAGTTTATTCTCAGTTTCATACGCTGCTTTTGCGGTCGAGAGCTGGGTCTGCAGGGCCGATAATTGCGCAGCTTGATTAGCAAGCGTAGTCTCCAGGGTTTGACGCTCAGCTTGCGCTGTTGCAAGCGATTTGCTTGTGGAGTTGACTTGGTTTTGAACATTCCCGATTTCTGCTGACTTATCGTCGAGTGGAGGTGAAGGAGTTGTGGTATCCTCATCGTCTCCGAGTAGATCTGTGGAAGGGAACTTGAATGAAATCAGTGGTCTAACCCATGAAACATACCTGCGCTCGCAATTGCGAAAGACTGGGAAGGAGTTTGAGACGTAGACATTGTTGGCACTGGATCATCCCAGGAAAACAAATCTTTCTCAGGCATTATGGCTGCGCCGCCTCGCATTGACGGTGGTATTAAGGTAGGAGGGAGAGTCGCTGGAATAGCAACACCAGCACGCTTCTTCTGGATGAGATACCAAGCGATAGCGAAACCATCTCGTGTGAGCTGTCCGTTGTTATTGACATCCGCGAGATCCCTACGAGGGTCAGCAAGACTCGGAGGTGTAGGGCGAAAGGAACATACCAAATCTGCGCTAGATCCTCGCCGGTAAGTTTCGACTCGAGCATGAAAGGGACAGCGACGTCATCTAGGATGTAACCGCGCTTGTGGGTATCTAAAGAGTCAAACCAACGGTCGGATGTTGCCTTCTCGCTAGGTGTGATATCCCAAGCAACCTGAGAAGAGGCGAAAGCACCAGTGCCAACGATGGAAGGGGAAGGATTGGGTCGAACAGGAAGTTGAGGGGGGCTTTGAAGACCACGGGCCAGTGGTCTGTGGCTGAAGCGCTTGTTGGCTCGCGCCAGTGTACTGGGGTTGGATAGTGCTACGCTGAGAGAAGGAACTAGCAAGTGGACTGTATGCGCCACCCGTTGTCTGAGCACGGATATTGCTTCCAGCCGCTTGCTGATAGAAGCCGGGTGGCAATGAGTTTGGAATAGACGCCAATTGACCAGTCATGACGGCCTGGATGAGGTACATCCCGATGGCGAAGTCGGTTGAATCAAGCTTGCCGCGATCTTGAGTGTCGGCGAGATTCCTGGGAATGTCTCTAAGTTGTGGCCAAGGTTTTGTTGGCCGGAAAGTACCATATCAGTCCCAGAGTCTCATTCGGAAGCTTAGATTTGAGGAAAATTCCCTGAGCCTTCTCGCCTGTGCAAAGTAAGACAGAAAATGGTCTGCATCAAGATAAAATGAACGCACTGCTGAGAAGACCATCAACGGGGCCCGATTTGGTGAACATGTTCAGAAATTTGGCTCTGTCCTGAGGCGTAAATGGCGGCAGTGTAGGTTGCGGTGACTTGGCCCGAGAGGCCGAATTGCCTGTCCCTTGGGGAACGACGGGGGTGATACCAGCGATAGTAGGGAGAGGACCGGCTAGTTTTGTAAGATTGAGATGGCAAAGTTGAGATAGGCTGACGCTTGTTAAGTAAGGCCGCCGACACCTTGGTCCCTTGTTGCGCATGACCCATTAGACGAACAGCCATAGCTACACCTTTCTAGAGAATTTGCAAGTTCGAATAACAATGCCTAATATGCGAAGTGAGAACATACTGTTGAAAGCCAGCCGTTGTTCGTCTCATCCGCAATTTGCCAAATCTCTCCCAGAACGAGTGGGGATAGATGTGCCCCACCGAAAACCTGAACCGCAACTTCTCCTGTTAATGCACCAAGTTTATTGGGGTCGGCAGTAGCAAATATTTGTGACACAAGAGCCATTTCGGACGGAGAAGGAGTGAAGTTCGCAGCCATAGCGGGCAGGACTTAGTTGGATTGTGGTGATGTGACCCATCACACTCGTCGCGTACACGTGCCACAAGTTTACTTTCTCTCTCTTCCACATGGATCAACTCACGAGCTCCCTCGCTCCTGCCTCCGTTTCTCGCAAGAGTGTCGCGGACGCGTCGTCAACCACCGCCCTTGGCAGCGTAACCAAACGGTTAGACAGGGCATCTATAAACGAGATTTACACTCTCATTCTGCTTTCAGCCTCACCAACGAATTGATGACTCTTATGGTGCGTTCTCTCTGACTTTGCTGGCTGTCTGTGGCCTCATTCATATCAGATGTCGTCTTCTCCGGGTATTGTGCGGTCCTCTGTTTGTGCTCAACCTTTTGGACTCAACGTTGTTCGGACAGTCTGCCTTTCCCAAAAGTGATGGAAACTTGTTTGAATGGATTGGGACCATTGAGGGCGCGAAAGAAACAATATATTCCGGTCTTAAGTTTCGCATATCCATCGCCTTCGGGTGCGTTCTATATTTATTCTTGCCTATTGCACTCAATTTTGGTAGCCCAAACTATCCCTACGGAGCGCCATCCATCAAGTTTGATACTCCATGCTATCACCCAAATGTTGACATATCTTCTGGTGCGATTTGTCTCGACATTCTTCAGGTGCGTCGTTTTTATTTTGACTAAAAATGTGATTATTAATTCGGTATACCAGGACAAATGGTCCGCAGTTTACAGCGTGCATACTATTCTTCTCTCGCTGCAGTCTCTACTTGGAGGTAATTCTAGTGTTCCCGCTTAGATTTGCGCAACTGATCAGTCTACCAACAGAACCTAACAATGCATCCCCATTAAACCCGGATGCCGCTGCTATCTGGAATTCCCCAACCGGTACTTGCCGTTAGTTAGGAAGAAATGCGTGGCTGACCAAATGAAATAGACTTCAAAGCACAGCTCATGAAGCATTACCGACCATTGTGATTTGTATAGTACTCTGTAGCCTTAATAAATTTTATGGATGGAACTGATGAATGCGTAACAACTTGTTTCCAACTTCCTTGAGTACTGGTTTACTCGTGTGACGACCATTGGTATTGTTCATCTCCAAGTTCATGCTGACCGTCCAGCCAGTTTTCAATGCCACGACGTTCGCCCCCAAGTTCGCTGCGTCTCGTTCAGGGCCCTGTGCCTTCCCGAATGTCGGTTTACTTATTGCGAGTAATTCGACTCTAATAAACTTGAATAGGGTGCCAAAAGCCGGTCATACCCTTCCATCCGTTCCCCGACCAACATTCTCGCAACCCGCTACCGTTGTTAGAGGCCCGGCGCCTCGTCAACAGGTTTTGAGAGAGGAATCCCTCAAGTTTGATGCTCTGCCTGCCCTCTTGATTAGTGTGACAGGCAAAGGAAGTCTTCGTGGACCATGGGACCACAGTTCGTGTCGGGTTGACGTTGAAGAGCTCTTGGCGCCGATGGAGCCTGTTGCGTCCTCGTTTTAAGTTTGAGTGGGGGGGTTGTACGTAGTACATTGTCTGTGACTCTGATCAAACAACTGCGTTCTGCACTCCTCTCTTCTTCTCTACTACCATATCCATCTTCCTTCACGAGCCTATAATGACCAGCTCCCCACCAGACATTTCATCGCTGACACTGTCCTCGTCCCATGCCCGCCTCCATGAATCTTACGACTTTGATGGTTCAACCACCGCTCGCCCTCAATATCACTTCGCAACGTCGACAGGTATTCCAGCCCAAACACAGTACCCGCCCCTAGGTGTGGGTCAGTCTCCTCACAAAATGAAGCCCGCGGCTCGAAGTGGCCTACCAGCTGTTTGTCACTGTCAATCTTTTATGTCCGCGATGGCACTGACGATTAAACAGCAATGGCTCGATAATTCAGATAACCGCTCTCTCTCACCCCAAAACAACTCTGACTTCTCTTCCACGGGCGGTTCTCCGCCTCCAGTCAGCCACCTGTCGTCGCCTCCAGCTCCTGTTGGCTCGAGTCCAAACCAGAACCCGGAAGACGAGATCATTCCTACCGCGATTGTCATTAAAAACATACCGTTCAATGTTAAGCGTGAAACCCTCCTCGATATCATCGTATGTTTCGATGTCTCACGTTCGTCCTCGCTCATGTTCACACACAGGCATCACTAGCTATCCCCACTCCCTATGCATTCAACTACCACCTTGACCAGCAGGGTTCTTTCCGTGGCCTTGCTTTTGCTAATTTCCGCCAGGCAGCCGACGCCGATGCTGTTGTCGTCGCTCTCAACGGATTTGATGTCCAAGGTCGTAAACTTCGGGTCGAATACAAGAAAGTATTGCAAGCCGGGGAAAAGGAGCGCATCGAACGCGAAAAGGCTATTCGGCGAATGCGCTCAATGCAATTGGAGAAGGAACAGGTTACCTATGAGGACTATGGCTCCCCAATTCCTTCGGCATATACTCCACAGCGCTCCTTTTCATACCAGCCTCAGCAGTACTCACCTACTAACGTATCTCCGATGCCACCGTATAATCACGTGCTTGCATCGTCGACTCCCCCTGTCTCCCAAAACGCTACAGTCTCATCCCCTCCAAGCACCTCAGACAAGGGTTCGGCTAACGAACTAGACCTTAACGATCCAGCAACCCTCGAAATCTATTCGAGAATCCTTCTTTTCAAGGATGATCGGATGAGAGATGAGCTTGCGTTTTCGAGAACCCTCAACCCCAAGCAGCGTCGTGTCGTGCATCTTGTTGCTCAGAAGTTGGGGGTGTACCACTACTCGGTGGGAGAAGGTGAAGAGAGGTATGCAGTTGTCACCCGCATTGATCCTGCCAGAGTAAGTTTTCACACCTAATCAGTGCAATATTCACATTCACCTTTCCATAGCAGCCACAACGTCCACCGCACACCCTCTCCCGCGCACCCTCTGCTTATCTGGCTCAGCAGGCCTCTCAAACTGCCGCCCAGTCTCTGCGTGTGAAGAAATCTATGCCAGATATGAAAACTTTGCCGTCGCAACAAGCTCCGCGACTGAATCCACGCTCCTCGAATGGCAACATTCGGGAGGGATACGCAACTATTTCTACCCCACGCCGACAGTCCACTGCATTCACGTCACTGTTCTCTAATGGTGGGGCATTTGGAGGCGTTCCCCCAGTGCCTTCGGTTGCGTTGGCCAGCTCCCTCAACTCTGGTGGACATGAGACTCCCAGTGGAGTAGTGCGGCAACCACGCGGGCCAGGGGCAGGCGGTTTCGGTCGTCGAGACAGTAGAGTTGGGTTGAATGAAGCGGCGGCAGCGGCGGCGACTCGAGGTGGGCTCGAAGCTCGTACTTATGAACCGTTGGAGATCTAATTCAGGCGTTCAGCCCGCTCTGATTCTCTAGAAGGAGCCGATGGTCGAGGCAACTGAACTACAAATTCTCGTCAGTCTTGTATATAAGAATCTTCTCTTCTCTTTTGCTCTTCATTCCAGCGGAATAGTTTTTGTGCTTTGTTTTCATATCGTATGCCTAGTTAAGTAAAATCTAAGTCTATGTGTCACGTGAAAGGATCAATGTCGTTCAGCCCGAGACTATATGATATTCTCTTCAAGGGGGGCATTTTTTTCGTTGGAGGCCTTGCTGGCTCGATGGCTGCAACCCACCACCATCACAACAACTTGAAAATACTAAAAGCCGACCTGAACGTTCTTCATCCGCCTGCAGTTGAATTTGGGCCAACAGAAGACAAGGTGCAAATTTCCAAGGACCCACATGTTAAAGAGGTGTTAAAGTATGGCAACCCTGGTGGGCGCGTTTCGGGTTTCTCTTCGGTCCAATAACACGCTTACAGGCCCTGTTTTTGACGCGCTTGTGCGAAAGGCATATGTTGCTGCATATGACCGACGTCTCCGCCATCCATCATGGGTAGCTTATGATTTGAGGGTTCATCTCAGTGCCCTGTCTGACGTGTTTTAGACCGCACAGCACCTCACTGCTGCTTCGTTGCAACACAATCCCGGTGTCAACCGTTCCAAGTCACAGTTTACCGAGGACGAGGAGCTACCTATACCGTTCCGTGCTCGTCTGGCAGACTATTTCAAGAGCGGATATGATCGTGGTCATATGTAAGTGGTGTTAGGTATTCGAGAGAGAGAGGGAGGCATCTCATGCGACAAGGGTTCCTGCGGCTGACGCCAAATTCTCTCAAGTCAGCTCTTGCTCTATTCCACCAGCCCATAACCTCATAAAATACCAGGACGCGATGAATGAAACGTTTCTGCTCTCGAACATCGCACCTCAAGTAGGCGATGGCTTCAATCGACATTGTATTTCCCCATCCCTCTTCTTTGGCAACATGCTAACCCAAGACTGAAGACTGGGCCTACCTCGAAGACTGGTGCCGTCGTCTGACATCCAAATTTTCCGACGTTTATGTTTTTACTGTGCCTTTATACCTTCCCCGCCAAGGTGCAGATAAAAAATGGCGTATTGTAAGTTTTCGGCGTCTCTGGTCGACTCCACTCATAAAAAAACAGACTCACGAAGTTATCGGTTCTCCACCAAATGTCTCTGTGCCCACCCATTTTGCCAAGGTCGTTTTGGCGACCAAGTCGTCGCCAGACTCGGCACCAGAACTGTCGGCTGGTGCCTTCGTTGTTCCCAATGCAATTATACCTGATAATGCACCAATGGAGAGCTTCATGATGCCCAGTAGGTTACTGTTAGTCCCAGCGTTCCTCGGTCTAATGAAGTTTGCCAGTTGAGGCTGTAGAACATGCAGCCGGTATTCTTCTCTTCTCAAAAGCAATCAAGGCCGCTGCTAAGAACATCTGCACCACGGCAGAATGCGAGCTTATTGTGCGCAAGTTCGACGATAAGAAACGTCAAGAGAAATGAAGTATTAGATTATAATTACTATTGTACCTATCAGTGGTCTGAAAGCATGTCGCTGACACTCGTCCAATATTCCTCTGTTGCCCGCTTTTCAATCTCCTGCTTGGTGACCCATGCGAAATCCTGGATAGACTTGTTGCCGATACGCGCTTGCCCAGCCATAATGTTGGCCTTGAAGAAAAACGTTACTTTCTGCGGGGAGGAAAGGTCAGCCAAGTGAAACAAAAAAACACGGTATGCAAACCTCTTGCTGAGGCGTTGAGAATGATTTATGCACCCCGATTGGTTTCCGCGCGACAACCCAAGTGTCCATGTGGGCACCGCAGTTTTCGACAAGCTCTCTTTGGGCAGCCTGGTGGAGTAATTCCTCCTTGCCCACCTCTCCACAAGGGAACTCCCAAACCACTTGACCAGTAGTCATATCCACTCGTTGGACAAGGAGATATAAATTTCGTCGCCCTTTGCGGTCGAGGCTATGATAGTCTTTCGCCAAATCGGAGGCATGGACGCGAGCCATAAGCTTGTCGTCAGTTTGTTCCTGCATTTCCATTTGCTCAATTGCGGCCTCTTCTGCCACCGTTCGCTCCGTGTCGTTTTTTACGTAGGTCGGACCCCACGCAATCCGCTCTCGGATTCTCTCCTCCGCGTTGAACCGCGCCTCCAATAGAGAACCTGGTTTGAAATAGAATTCAGATGGAAACGGATTATGCAGGGCGCGTTGGATGCGCTGCTGGTACGCATAAAAGGCGTTTTCAAATGGTGTTGGACTTGGGGTGAGGATTGGCGCTCGGTTGAGAATAACCGCCGTATAGAGCGCTGGTTTGAGTCTTGAATGGGCCTCAGTTGCAAATGTACGACTGAGGCTTATAGCTTTTCTTGTCAACATTTGGACGGATCACGGGCCAGTCACATTCATGTCTCTCTCACTTGTCTCCAGCTCGTATCTTGAAGAGAACTCTGCAAAGATCAGGGCCAAGCCCGTTCCATGGGAGGTATCAGTCGTCGCAACTTCAGTAACTTGAATTCACCCTTAGTAGGGCTACCAGAGAGCAGGTCTGATCACTTCAGAGGAGCTCTCCCTCATCAAGAAAGTCGACAGACAACCAAAGGCAAAGACGGAGTCGCTGCTGCTTTCGGAATCGCCTACATATGCCCTACTATACCTTCAACTGCTTAAAAAGCTTCAACGTGTTGACACCATGCAATCCATCCTCGTCCTTATTGCCGACTCAGTCTCCGGTTGACCATCTATTCATAAAGCTGCCTTCGAACCCTGAAACTTCCTGACAGACCACGATGAGCGCATACCTTTGTTCACTCGCGCTGTGGAGGTCGACCCTGAACTCCCTTATCATCCTTTATTGCGGTTGGCATTCAATCTAGCCATCGCTAATCTAAAGGCTTACGTGCATAGGACACTCGAAACTCAAGATGACTTCGTCCAACTCAAGGCTGCCCAAATCCTCACGGTCCTGCTTTGGTATGTCAATCGCTTGTTTCCTGTTCTCCTGTCTTTAATTAATAGCTCAGCTCCGAATCCACGTTACTACAACCAACACTAGTTCGGCCCTTCCTCGCCACACTCTCAAACTTTGTCCAAGGATCAGCACACAACAAGTGTGATATTGCAGTGCAGTGTTTAGAGGCACTTCTCGCACGCCCCGAATGTCGACAGGCTATTTGGGAGATTCCTGGTATCATCGCGGGGTAAGCCTCTGTCCCTGCTCGCAACGCATAACACTCAACGACATCTTCCATAGACTGGTCGAAATTCTCAAGCACAACCCAAGCCCTCAAATGAGCTATCAGGTTGCGTTCTGCCTGTGGTTACTTTCCTTCGAGCAGAATGTCGCCGAAGAGATCAACAAGAGACACGACATAATACCCCTCCTGACTAGCGTCGCTCAGGCCGCCGTGAAGGAGAAGGTTATTCGAGTGATCGTCGCCACCTTTAGGGTACGGTGCCACGTTCAAGCTTTTGTGAACTGCGCTTACCCCAATGCGAAGAACCTAGTCTCTAAAGCTCCGCAAGCAAACCTTCCAGCAATGCTCGTTGCTCAGCTACTGCCCTTTGCGAAGAATCTATGCAGCCGAAAATGGTCGGATGAGGATATCGTCGAGGACGTACAATTCCTTCGTGATGAACTGACTGCCAACTTTCAGAGTCTCACGTACGTAGACTTCTACGGTCTTGAACCCATTCTGACCAAGCTTTAACTAGAACATACGACGAATACAGTTCCCAGTTGACTTCCGGTCATCTGTCTTGGACCCCAGTGCACGAATCGGAGGATTTCTGGAAGGAAAATGCGATCAAACTCAATGACAAAGACTGCGAGCAACTGAAGTAAACCATTCCATCATTTGCGGGTTCACTCACGGTAGCGGCTGCGTTTAGGATACTTGTCAAGCTGCTCCAAGAATCGACCGATCCTCTCGTCTTAGCCGTTGCTGCTCACGACATCGGACAGTACGTCAAGCACTGCGACAAAGGCAAAAAGTGGGCTTCGCTTTTTTTAACAAGATTTGGTGTTCCTAACTGAGCAAATCTAGGCTCGCGACTAATCTCGGGGCGAAGACAAGGGTCATGGAGCTGATGACCCATGCGAACTCAGATGTGCGTTATCGAGCGCTCTTGAGTGTCCAGCAACTTGTCAGTCAATCGTGGGTAACCGTTTAAATTTCCTTTGACGGACAATCACTGTATACGTATAACATAATCAACTAGTTTGCTATCCAAACTTCCGCAATCACATCCCACTGTCTCAATGTCTTGGGTTCAGCGCGTTTGTCGATGTCGTCGGAATCGAGGAATCTGTCGTGCAATAGAACAGCACGCAAACCACCAACGGACGAAAAGCCAACTGACACAGGCATGTACTGCAGTTCAAGTTCACGTACCACATCAATCATATCATCGTCTTGGTCCCCAATCAGCTCAATTGGTTCTAGTTGGATGGCGGATGAGCCGCAAAATATAGTCCGTGGTTTCAGCGGATCTGAACTTGAAAAATATGGCGGTGGAAGAGTATATGTGTCTGCCTCGATAACATCGGCAGATCTAGAGCTTATCAGAGCCGCAGAAGAAATCCCGGACAACTTTTGGTGAGCAAGCTGAACGTTGAATGTAGCAGACATTGGCGAAGGTGTGGAAAATCCAGGGGAAGAAGCTATCCTCGGACTGAAGGATTCTGAAGCTGGTGGTCGTGGGATGGCAGGAGCAGGAGAAGATGTCAACGGTTCCAGATGTTGAAGTGCTATCAACAAACTGCGCCGCCGTCCCAAGGAAACGTGCGCGGAAACACTCATTGTGAGCTCGATTTTGAAAGGCACATTAAGTCGAATGTTGTCTGTGGCGAGATGGCGCACGACGAGGTTCACTTGAATGTCTGATATCGACGGTGCAGGTGGAGGAGTCAGTGTTCTGGGTATAATGCTGGACGGTGGACGATTCCGAAATGGTGATGCCGGCCGTTGAGATGATATGGGAGAGTCAGGTCGCGACATGGAAAGTTGAGGTGAGTGTGGCCCTGTTACTCCTCTCTTTAGATGCAGAGGTAGCGCTGGCGCGGGCTGTACCACGGGGGGTATTTTCCTGGACAACATGGATGTCAAGAGTCGGCCAGGCTCACCATATGCGGACCGCCAGTATATGTCCAGCCGGCCCAAAGGAATAACGCTACCAGGCTCATCTGCCTGGGTTTGAAGAGTATTAATTGGTCGACTGAGAACATAGATGTACTGTCGCATATCTTGAGGTTGCATCGACCCAGCGAAGATTCCCTCGTTAGCATCAAACGCATCCCAATTCCCCGCACTTTCGAATTGGATCCGCTCAAACCACAGACTATCCGTCGTCAAGTTTTGAATGTGGATTTCAAGGAACAGCTTTTCTCGTTCGGCGCGCGAGAGGAGAGCAGAGGGAGATCGTGGGGTGTGAACTTTGGTTTTAACCGAAAGCGGATTCGTGACCTAGGGAACGAATAAACAAAAGCTTTTGTTAGAATAGTAAAAAACCATACGGCAAACTTGTAGAATTTGCGGAAAGTTTGTATGATTTGTTCAGTATCGTTGGGCGACGAGGTTGAAGGCAACCGATAGCTGACCGTGCATGCCAGAACATGCTGCCCGAGCTCCTTGACCTCATGGTGAACTACAGCATCCTCCAACGCGTCACCCACTGCTAGACGCGTGTCGGCGCCTCCGAATTCGCCAAGTGACACCTTGGAAGTGACGGTCTGCATTTCGACCTTGAGATGGACGGCCTCGACGTGGGATTGGGCTTCATTATTAACGCAGAGACAGCTAGAGAAGGTTTCGCCCAGCTCGATCTTGCCAAACGAGGAAGGGAGGGTCAAGAGCTCTGACACATGGAGATCTCGTAGAGTTTTGGGATGGCCAGGCAAGGGATCGGTTGCCTGAAGAGACAGAATGGATGTCGTTGAGTGTGTCTAGACTGGAAATGAGGCTTAGATGTGAATGAGGGGTCTGTCAACACACTGAAAAGGATGGCGAGCTCGAGTAGAACGGCTGCCATGCACTAGCCAGTGATGGTCGCTGAAAGCAAGTGAATGACAAACGACTAGCGACAACGAGCTAGCGTACAGAAACCCGCATGACTTTGAGCGAGAGCAAGTGCCCAGGACCATCGCGAATGTTTTCTGTCGTCATCAAAAGAAAAGGAAAGTTGCTGATTATTTTTTGATTATTTTATTATAATGTACAAATGATGATGACAAATATACTATGAGGCAATGGTCATTTCGATATCAGGTCCTCTTTCTCTACCAAAGGCTTCATACAGATAGATGAGCCCAAATAGCAGGAAAAGAAACGCGCCGCCAAGCGTCACTAAACACAACAGGTCAACATCTCCTGGAAAAAACGGGGGAAAACCAAGCCACCGTGTTTGACTGATATCTTTGACGACACATAGCGTCCACCAATGACCGCTAGCGCTGTGCAGCATGAATGACCGAAGATTGTGCCAGCAGTGACGAGGTATACGTTCTAAAGAGGACGGTTGGTAAGCAAAATAGAGTTGTGAATGACCCACATGGGCAGCCCCGAGAGCAATCGTAGCAATTTGGCTTCTGTCACCCCACTCGCCAAGGAAAGTCAAGATGAATGCTTGCACGAAGACGGGTCCAAAGAATAGGTTGAAGAAATTTCTAGCGCCTTGAGCTAATGAGCGAGGCTGCGAAGGTGATATTCGAGTGGTGGCGGCGAGACCAGCTTCTATGTGTTCAAGTGGGATAGCATTGTTTGGCGATTCGTCTCCTTCTATTTCTTCTTGGGCCTCTCTCATCTCCTCTTGGATTTTGTCGTTCCCAGACTTCATCGCGCGACCCTCCATCAACATCTTCCCACCGAACACAAGGAATAGCGCCGCTGCTGCCGCCTGTGTCCATTTTTTGGGTATGAGGGTCGGAAGAATATGACCCATTTCTGCAGAGAGGATAGACATGACAACGAGAGAGCCAAACGCCCCCGCGAAGACAATTAGTCGTGGATGACGCATAGCAAGGATGGCCGCAATTAAGAAAGTCTTGTCCCCAATCTCCGATGCAATAATCATCGCGAATGAGTTAAAGAGGGCTTGTAAAGAGCCCTCCTCAACCTCGGACATGTTGGACAACAGCAAACCAATATAGTCATGTGACGGACTTGTATGTCTCACTCGGACTCTGACGATCCCGACTTTTTACCGCCTATCGTCGGTTCGATTCAACAACCCTTTCGGACGAACTCTGAGTTGATGGGCCACAGATGCTGAGTCTTCCTCGGATGACGAAGAGCCTAAGCTGAAGCGCCAAAGAGTGGAGAGCCCTCCAAAATCGGTGGACCAGGAGTGCGTGTTAGTTGCTATGTGGCTTGAACGCGTCTGACCTACTCGACAGAGCTGGGAAAGCTCTTTGGCAACGCTTCCTCGCAGAGGGACCTGAACAATCAACCTCCACACAAACCGTAGTTAGCATCGAAAAACGATATTCGTTTGCTGGAGAAGAAGTTACACAGATAGTTCAAGTGCCTCAGGACTCTACCGAGGCGAAAAATTGGCCTCTTGCAGGCTCAACCGCGAAGCGTAAACCTGGTCCACGTAAAGCCAAGACATCTCTTGCTCCGTTGCCAACACGCAAGCCGCAGAAACTCTCGACTCTCGACAAATCCGCGTTAGATTGGAAGCAACACTTGGCTCAAGCTCCCTCTGAGATAGAAGAGGAGCTTGTTGCCAACCGACGCGGCGGCGGATACCTCGAAAAAGTTGATTTCTTGAACCGCGTTGAGGCGAGAAAGGGAGAAGCCCTAGACAAAAGTAGAGCCAAACGACGAAGATGACACAGAATATTCGTGAATAAACATGATGCTCATGATAACAAAGGAATGACGGGGGTTTACAAGCAGTACAATTACAGTGCGCTTAAAGATATTAAATAGGGAGTGTTGGTATACGTGAAAGCCTCCGCGTTGAGACAACGACATTTTCCTTCTCGTTATTTTCCGAGTCACAAGGTATTACCTTTACAATCTTGGATTTGCCCAGTCCCTGGGTCTTGTTGAGTGGCGAAATGGATGGTGAGCGGATGGGCGGTTTAGGAGCGTTATTACTAATCAAGGACGGACGCGAGCGAAGCGGTGGTGGTCCCATAGTGCTGTGGGTCACTTTGGGGCTAGAGCGCGACGAAACTGGGATCCTGCTGACGCTCTCTGCTGACGCCTTACGTTCTCTGATACTTTCAGACCCCGATTCAGAGACAATGGACGATGGTCGATGGCGGGGTGTGGGTGTTGCCTGAAGGATAGATGGTCGGCGGGGAATGGTGGAAATCTTGGAGGGTGGTGGTGCAGTTCCAATGCTACGCCGTTTAAGCTGTCACTCAGGTCAGCCATACTTCCCTCCACTATTCTGAAACATTCGCCTACCGATTCCAGCTCATGCTGTTTCGCCTCCCACTCTTGTTTATCCCGAGCCCAGTCTTTCCTGATTTTCGCATTTTCGTTCTCCAAAACAAGTTGGCGTTCGTTGAGTTGAATGGCAACAGTAGCCGATTCTTGCTTCAGATCTTCGATAAGCTTGAGCAAAGTTTCCTCTTTTTGTTGACCGAGAATAGCTTGTTGACTGAATCTCTCTTCAAAACGATCCTCCATTTCCTTCTCAGCGTCGATACGAGACTGAAGCTATAGATATGGGATTGAGACGGAAGAACGACAAAGGAGCAGGCTACGTACCTGATGCTTGAGAGAAACGTTGAGGGCCTGTAGTTGTTCTAAATCGTGCTCAAGCGCACCGACTCGGCGGTCTGCCACTTGAAACCTCGACAACTGCATCTTCAGCGCATCCCGCTCCATTGCCAGAGAGCACACAGAGGCTTCCGCAGATTTGAGGGACTGATTAGTCTTTTCCGCTGAATCAAGCTGTAGCCTCAATCTGGCGATTTCTTCGCCTCGAGATTTGACAGTTTCTGTGATCGCCTGCAGCTTCGCGTTTTGGCTTTCTAATGCCTTCGTTGTCTGTTCCCTCTCGAGTTTCTCTGCTGCCAGTTGTTCTTCGAGCGTGGTCACCAAGCTGCCCAACTCCTCCAAACCGTGTTGTTGCGTCGCATCTTCATCGTTAATGCTCGCCTCGTTCCGTTGCTCGGTCACTAAGCTTTCCAGCCTGCGTATTTCATTGCCAAGAGAAGTTTCTGCTTTTCTCCACGTGTCTCGCTCGCGTTCAAGGGCTGAAATTTGGCGATGCAACATTCGTAGCGCCTCTGAACTGGCTTCATCCATAACACTGCGTTCCATGCTTTCTTGATGGGACGTTTCGATCTCACTCTCCATATACCGACAAGTTTTTTCGAGGTCCAATACCTTTTTTTTCCACGCCTTGAGGTATTTCCTTTTCTTCGCGTCTTCCTCCTCTGCCTCTTCGAGCTTCTGGCGCAAGATAACGACTTGTTGATCTCTAGCACGTAGATCCGATTCGTATTGTCCACACAATTCACCCTGCATTGCAAGCTGTGTTTGTAAGGAGAAGATAATGTTTTCTTCCTTGGATGCACGACGTATATGGCGCCTGCCAGGTGATGTATTGGGAATAAGCGTTTGTGGCGTATAGTAGGTTTTGGCGTGGACACCAAAAGGATCGTTGGGGCTGGAAACCTCCGGTGCGCTAGCTAATAAATGGTCGAGCCCAATCGATGAAGACGAGGATGTGGTGGTGGTGAACGATGTGTCTGCCTCGGAAATGGAGGATTTGCTGCTTGAAGAACGCTTCGACGACAGCACGCTCTGGCTACTGAGGGAAGCATTTCGACTATGCGAAGTCGTCGGTGTTTTATTGTGATCTTGACGATAAGTTGCGAGGTCGAGTGCGTTGTCGAAAGTTGATTGTCCAGGCGGATTACTGCTGTCATGTGAGGGTGCAAATATGTCGACCACGGAAGGCCGACTCGGTTTTATGGGTGAGCGATGGGAAGTGATTTTAGGTGGACTGGAGTGGTGGAATATGACCTGCTCTGGAGGTGTCGAATGGGAAATAATAGCTCGATTGTCAAGGTCGAACTCTCCGTGGGCGAAGAACCGGACGTTCTTGCCTGCGACAGGGGTGTTGGGTTCCCTGAGAATAGAACGGACAGATCCACTAACAGTGGCTGCGCGTTCTCGTCGGGTGTTATGACTAGTAGAATAGTCTATTGGCGAGCGCAAGGCGTCAATGGATTGTCTTCTCGGGGCTGGTCTGAGAGCATCGATTGAAGGTCGTCGCATAAGGAGGTTGAACGAGGACCTGCGGGTCGCTTTGGGACGAAGAGCGGTGTTACTGAGAGCTTCTTGAGAAGGGTTGGACGCGACAGTCAGTTGGGATGCTATTCACTTGTTTAGAAGATTATTACGCGTCAGACAGACAAAGGTACGCAACAGTTTCCGTGAAGATTAAACGTGGACTTGACTTTGTGAGGAATTGAGTTGAGGCGAAGAGAGCCTCCATCTCGATGCAGAAATCCAGCTGACTTGCGCTTCGAAGGAGAGGAAGAGGGACCGGCCATCGGGTGTTCGTCGTCAGCCTGCTTCGACTTGAATGTGGAACTCAGTTTCGTCCACATTTTCGGTTGGCCGAAGAGGTGAAGGACGAACCCAACAACGTCACGTTACCGTCGACGTACGTGGGATAATAATATGTAATAGAATATTGGATATTATACTATTATTGTACTTATTAATTCAAGTTGTCATCAACTTCAGCAAGAGCTTGTTCTACCCACATCGACTGATATAGCCCCCCTTTGCGCAGGAGCTGCTCGTGCGTACCCTGCTCAGCCACTTGCCCCTCCTTCAGAACAATTATCAAGTCTATGGGATATGGCAAGTCACGATGTCAGAACGTCCGAGTGCGCCACTAACCTGCTTCAACCACAGTCCGCAATCGGTGAGCAATGAATATACTGGTCCTACCCTGGTCCCGGAGAATATTGTTGATGTTTCGCATCAATTCGGACTCAGTGTGAGCGTCAAGAGCGGACGTCTGGTAGCAATTAAACGAAAATCTGAACGAGAAGAGACTAGAAAGCTGACCGCTTCATCGAAGAAGAGAATTGGGGGATCCTTGAGAAGCACTCTGGCAACGGCTAATCGCTGCTTTTCTCCCCCACTGATCATCAAGCCCCGTTCACCAACTTTGGTACTATAACCTTGAGGTAAGCGCAAAATTGTATCATGGACATTTGCTTTGCGTGCTGCCTCAATGACCTGTTCATCAGTCGCGTCCAAACGACCATATCGCACATTGTGCATGACATCCGAGTGAAAAAGTGGTGTCTCCTGTGGAACTACACCAATCGAGCGACGTAGGCTCTCGATCTGAACTTTGCGTATGTCTTGATCGTCAATAGAGATCTTGCCTGACTCGGGTTCATAGAAACGAAACAGCAGACGAAGAATGGTGGATTTGCCGCAACCGGACGGGCCAACGATGGCAACCTTCTGACCCCCGGGAATAGTGAAAGATAGGTTTCGGAAAATGGGCCGGTCGGGGTGATACGAAAAATTGACATGGTCGAATCGAATGGAGCCTCGAGTCAAATCAAGGGCACGAGCTCCTGGCCTGTCCTATACAAGCTTAGCCTAAATTTGAGAGGCTATGAGGAGGAAGAACGCACAATCAATGGCGAATTCTCGTCACGAATCCTGAACAGAACTTCCATGTCAAGAAGATTTTGCCGCATTTCACGATAAATTGTGCCCAGAAAGTTCAAAGGTAGAGACAGCTGAAATATGAGCTGATTTATCATGACCAGCTCGCCAACGCTCATTGTTCCTAGATTGAGGTTTGGTGAGGAATAAAACATTCTCAAAGCATACCGTTGGCAACCCCTTGTGCAGCCATCAACATGGCACCCGTAAGTGCACTTGAGAAGATAACCGCCTGTCCAGAGTTGAGGAAAGCCAACGAGGTGGTTATCTTGATCGAGGACTGTTCATACTCCCTCAAGTGCTTGTCATACTGCGCAATCTCATATGACTCATTGTTAAAGTGCTGCATCCAGTGTGAGTTAGTGACTACGGTAGGAAAACACTGGATGACCTTGACAGCCTCAAAGTTCATCAACGAATCGACGGCTGAGGAAGCAGCTTTGTTATCTGCTTGATTAGCCTCCCGACGGAAACGAGTCCTAAGAATGAGCGATCAGGGCAGCAGCTTCCACCGAACCGTCGAGTGTACCTCCACGACGTAGTCCGAATAGTAAACCAGGTATAGGCGGCAAGAGTAGTGACCGTAAGTGCAGCAAAATCCCAACCGAATTTATATGTCTACTGAGAAAGTCGGATATTGAGGAATAAAAGACAACTAGGAAACCCACCAGAATGCCACAGACAAGAGATATTTCTAGGGCGGTCGGGACAATACGGAATAGAATTGCTTGCAAGAGAAACGTGATCCCTCTTCATATCGTCAGTCTATAGTGTGCTCAACGGAAATAATGACGCCATACTTGGTTCCTCGGTCAATAGCCCTCGTCAATCCGCCAGTTTGTCGTGAAAGGTGGAAACGTAGGTCGAGGCTCAACAAATGTTCGAATGTTTCTCTCGCGACTTTTCTGATTGCGCTTTGACCAATGTTGGCAAAGACGGCGTTGAGCAGCTCGGAAAATACGGTTGATCCAATCCTCGCAGCTCCGTCTAGCGAACCAAGATGATTCAGAGTTGATGCAAGTAATGAAGCGCACATCCAAGAACAAGACTTCCAACGACGGTCCACACAGTTGAGGTGGCAGTAACGTCCAAGTTTAACGAGTCGATAACATTCTTGAAGATGTATGGCACTTGGACGTTTAGAATCTAAACAAGCCTAAGCTATTTTACCAGTCACAGCGCCGACACGCACCTTGGAAGAGAAGAGGAGTCCGAACCCGAAGACGACGGTGCCCTTTGTCTGCCAGTCATTCTTTGGCCACACATGCTTCACGAGGCTTTTCACAATCTTCCAGTCGGTTTGCCGTTGCTCCAGTCGACTTGGAATTTCTTTCTTTGGAGATGACAGGTGCTGAAGAGCTCTGCGGCCAGGTTCCTGTAAGAATCGTGTTCGAGGGACGAGCAATGGAGTGAACCGCAAAGTCTTTTGTGGTTGCAGACGGCAAAACCACATTGATTCCGCTGATCTAATCTTGGTGATCACGGGTATGATATCATATACTTATTTTTGTTGCTAGTACTCTGGGAAAGTGGGGTCTACAAAACGCGTCCATGCTCGCAGTCCACCGACAACGTCTTTCACTACGATGCTCTGGGTGATTTCTCTAACGCTCTGTGCGGCAATCTGAGAGTCATTGCCTAGTCTACAGATGACATAGATGTCACGGTCTGCCAGTGCGGAAACATGCATGCGAGGGTTTGCTACTAGATCTCGTAAAGGGACATCTACCAATGAATACCAAACACTACCCGTAATTGGGGAACGCACTGATGGATCCTGGGAGGGCGCATATACCAAATTCGATAGACGGGCGGACATCGAGAATGGTTAGGTTCGGATGTTCGTCCCAAGTTTTGCGCAGCTCCTGACACACGATCAGCCAACGAAAAAGGAAGCCCAGATGAACGTGCAAGGGCAGATATTCGTTGGTTTGGTTCCCCACGAGAAAGTCCGAGACTTTCCCAGTCAGGGCGAGGACCTCCGCAGAATTGGACATAGTCAATGGATCTAATTTCACCCATTTTCTGTGCTTCGGTCCCACAAGCTGGACATGTTGGCTTTCGGCTGCGGAGTTTGATAGTTCTGAACGGCGGTGTTGCTAATGCAGAGAATAAAAGCAGGTGGACAGTTTTGTCTGCTCCCTTGAGCTTAGCGGTGAGAAGTGGGATAAAGACTAACCATGCAAGCCGACAACAAGCTTGATTGTTTCGAGAGCTTGCAGATTTCCAATCAAGCCAGTGACGGCCCCCAGAATGCCAGTTTCCTCACAAGAGTTCACGAGACTCGGTGATGGTGGAGAAGGAAATAAACAACGGTAGCAGGGCCCATTGTCGCCGAGATTATAGATGCAGAGTTGACCTTCATATTTTTGTGCTGCTCCACTAACGAGCGGTTTTCCTAGCGTGACCGCAGAGTCCGAAAGAAGATATCTTGTTGGGGCATTGTCAGTGCAATCAAGAATCACATCATAAGGAGTGAGCAATTCTAGAGCATTGTCTGGAGTCAGAGCTTGGCAAACCACATCCAACTTGGTTTGAGAGTTGATTCTAGACGCTCTAAGTTCTTGAACTCGGCGGATGAGCTGCAAAATATTACTGTCTCAAGGCTCGTGATGCTGACTCTGCCTTTGCCAGCCCAAGTTTGGATTCATCATGAAGAATTTGCCGTTGAAGGTTGGAGAGCTCCACCACGTCATGGTCAATGATCCCGATTCTGCCTTGCGAGGTTTTGAATGGGATGGTTAATGTTCAAAATCAATGCGACCAACCGACCCCCGCAGCAGCTAGGTATTGGAGAGCAGGACAACCTAGACCACCTGCACCAACGACAACGACCGATGCAGCCTGTAGCTTTAATTGACCTTCAAGGCCAATGCCTTCGAGAATCATTTGCCGCCCATAACGGGCATATTCGTCAAAAGCAAGCATTCTTGATAACGCGGTCACACCATGATCAAATCTTGTTCATTCCCTATCTATGGCAGCTCCGACCGTAGACAACCGGCCAGCAGACGTCCTTCATTCAGGTCTCGGTGAACTTGTTCTGGTCATCGGTATCCAATGCACTTTGTAGGATCAGCTCACAAAACGCCACCACAACTTCCTTGGCCTGATATTTCGTCGCGTGGCAAATGGTCCGTGTCTTCATTCAAGTTTGGCTTTGGTGCGGAATGCCTGTGCGATGGGGATCCAGATACCTTCTGGCAGTATGTGTTCAACACGTTCGGCGCGCTTCCAAAGCTCAAATCTCTGCTTCGCAGTTCTGATGGCCCCCAGCCTCACTTTGTGACGATCGAGTTTCCTTCGAAAGTTGCCATTCAGGTATTGTGCGGAGAGGTCCACCATCACTGTCTATGCCTTACTATTCTGGGTAGAAATTGTGCATCTATCTCAGCCATCCTCAAGACGACTCGTATACGCCATCAGCTCTTGCTATTCGTGCAGGAACGGGGCCGAGCGACCTACAGGATGTCAGAATGGTGACTTTCGACCGACCGGACGGCTGGATAACCTTCGATGTATCGTCAGAGTCTGCCGAAGAAGGCGATGGCTTGTTGGTGCTCGCCAATTCCTTCACATTTCGGGCTTACTGTGTTGCATAGGAAACCAGTCTTTGCCTACGTCCTTCAAGTTATTGTCGTGGCCAACCATATGGGGGGAAAGGATACTCATGTCCGGGGTTTACGCGTTCTCGGACCAGTGGAGTGCGTCATTGTTCACTCGGCACTCATCTACTGACACGCTTTTTAGTGAGCAAGGTGTCGATGATGACCCATTTCCATTCCATAACCCTCAATACAAAATGTTCGAAACAATCAGATGACTTAACTCCACCAAGCATTCTCGTTCAAACCGCCCACCTTCGGCGCAGGAGGACGGAACCGCTTCCTTTCGAGGATCAGGATCGAAAGGATGATGTCGTCGAAGTAAGCCTAGTATTGTGATGAACCAGGGGGTTGGGGTTTAGACGCAAAAAATTACTTGACCCTCCGCTATCGAAAACTAAGCGCCAGGTCAGAACTATTGAGACAACACAAACGATACACCGTAAGAGACGTGGACTTGGGTCGACGTTTCAGAGTTGCGCCTTGGTATTGAGCAATCTTGACATGATGGTTTTTCGCAAGTACACCCTATGGTCATGAGTTGGTTATCGGGCTGGGGATGAAATCAAGCACATTGTAGAGTCCAGGATCTGACGAAACCTGAACCCACCGAATATGACGGCCAGAATCTGCTGCAAACCTCCAAACATGGACATTCCATTCATGTTCCCCCCAAACTTGTTGGAGAAACTTGGTAACCCCCTGCATAGAAACGGTACCTAGATAGCTTTTAGTGCCAATACACGAACCAATGAATGAGCCAACCAGGGAGTGTAGAGATGCCCATCCTGTCAGGAGTAGAAGTAGGCAAAAAGAAAAAAGACCATAAGTAGTAAGTACTTACTCGAATTCTCCAATCACAAGAGCTGATTCCCCAGCGCCCTTCCGCACTGTCGTTATGAATGAGAATGGATTCAAAACCTGACCCATTAGAATCAAAGAGAATCAGCTCCGAAGCGATAGACACCACAGACATTGAGCGCAACGGAGATGTGGTATTTGGGCCTTGAGTATCAAGATACTTGAACACCAATTATGGACGAATAAAGCGTGGCCGTACCGCGAGTCAGGCGAAGAAGAAGGCGGAAGTACGAGTATGGTGTTAAAGCCTTCCGGAGATAGGGCATATATTTCTGTCTCTGTTGGAATTTGAGCTACCTCATAGGCAGGCGGAAGAGGACTAGAGCTGCGAGACGCATCCATGATACGACTCGTCACACAACTCGTCACACTATGGTCTCTTTGCGCATACGACCGCGTTGCTTAAACTTCTGTGCCATCTAAATTTTTTATTTGTTAATGCAATCCAGTTCGGCTTCTACGAGCCCTACCAGTCCTTTCACGACCAACTCCATCCAAAGCGACCCCACTTCTGACGGTGCGCTTCTTCCTTACGAGTCTTGCATTGTTGAACGTAGTAACTCAGAACTACCTGATCTTGGTGAATTCACAGCTGTGTTTCGTCAAGTTCGAGCATGGAACCAGCAACCACTTCCACGTGCACACCGGCCGCAGCTTTCCAGCTCTGCTACCTCCTCCTCTATGGAGCTCGAGTCATCTGAGGTGTCTCTGGTTCCTACTCCAGATGGCTCCACGGTCTGGTCCCGTCGACCAATAGCTTCATATCTCAACAGTGTCTCTACGATTGACATCGATACACATTCCTCCAGCCCCGGCTCAGGGTCAAATACTGAAGGCGACACTCACACACTTGAACTCGACCTGGTTGACCCTGTCGACTACGAGCTGTCTGATGTTGAATTAGACACTCAACCTTCATTGGGACTATTAGATGGCGCACTTAGTTTTTTGGCTGCAGAACGTGCGCGATGGACTGCACAGCGCGAGGCGGGCACAGCCGTAAACGAGGCAACCTGGAAGCATGTTGTTGGTAAGTACTTCTCTGTTTATTCTCTTTCAGACGTTGATGTAATTTAGAACCACGTCGCAAGCGCCGTAGGAAACGCCGCAGTGCCAAACCCGACGATAATTCCCAAATGGAAATAACTGAGGACGTCGACTCTTCGTCTTCATTCGATTACACCACGACAACTACAACGACCACCCATAAATCCGTTCCTTCCACCCCCGCGCGCTCACGCAAGGACAAACGGAGACAACAGGCACTCGCTACCACATCTGGCAGTCCTACTCGCGTCCTTATTCATAGCAAGAGTACCCCGCAATTACGACCAATAGCATTATTAGACGAGACTCATCCGCGCCATGCCCGTGTCATTAGACTGCGTAGTCTGGCCAAGAAGCTAGGAAAACTTTTCCCTGCTGATGAACCACTGCTTAACAGTATCATTTCCGATGACTTTGGGCAAGATGACGTTGACCCTCGTGGCCTACCGCCGGGAGAGAATGACGCGCTTATCCATGTCTTCATTGACCATTCCAACATTCTTATCGGCCTGCTCTCCCACCTCAAGAGGAATCCCCGGGTACTCAACTCGACGCCGTCAAATGCGGGTCAGACTCTTGTCGCCACACCTGCTCCGAATGCTGCCTTTACCTTTCCTCTCAAATCGGGTCAACGTTTGCGACATCTTTCTCACTCTGCATTAGCTCTCATCCTTGAACGTGGACGGCCTATCTCTCGACGGGTCCTTGTAACCTCGAGCCCGTTGTACCAGTCCATGGCTGTTGCGGAGAGCCTTGGCTATGAAGTTAGAATTTATGCTCGAGTACCTGATCTCGGGGATGGTGCCGACAGAAGTGGTCTAGTGAATCCGAGGCCTGGCCACCACGGCAGGAGCCTAAGTGCAGGAACAGGAGTGATCGGATCAACGAATCTGATGGCGTCAAACGCGGTAGATGAAGGGAAACGGCGCAAGGGACATGTCCGCAGAACATCAGGAAGTAATTCCACTGAAAGCGAATACACTCATGGGTTTCCTCAAGCTTTCATCCGGAGTCTTGGTCTTGGTGAAAGCTCGGCGTCCCTTCCAACGACGACATCTCTTCCATCTCCTTCAACAGGAACGCCGACAAAGATTCGTTATCGTGAACAAGGTGTTGACGAATTGTTGCAGCTCAAGCTACATCAGGCTTTGGCTGCTATTGATGGACCCCCACCAAGTGGTTCCACGATCGTCCTTGCCACGGGAGACGGCAATGTTGGGCAGTTCAACGAAGACGGCTTCTTGGGGCCCGTCCGGACGGCCCTCAAGAAGGGCTGGGTGGTAGAGCTGTACGCTTGGGAGGAAGGCTTAAGTCGGGCTTGGATGCGGGAGTTCGGTGAATGGGCCAAACCTCGAATCGAGGAGGGAGAGACGTTAGGTCGTTTCCGTATCGTGGCTTTGGAGCAGTTTGCCGCAGAACTCTTGGAAATATATTAATCATTGTACACATATCTTATTTTGTGGCTATTGTACAGTAGTGTTGCAATTGTTTCAACTTGAAGACCTCAAGTGGACTCGGTGTCACATCAGGTCACAAATCAGGTTCCTCGGCTTCAAATCCTGACTCTTGCGCTCACCCACTCGCAAGTCAGGCGGCGAGATGACGCCCATGGCCGCTTCTACCGTCCATAATCACTCTCGCCGGAGGCCTGCTCAAGGTTCTGCACCCCACCGCCGACCACTAGCCCGTTCAAATTCGTCGTTACTTGGCACTATAAAAAATATGGTCACTGCGCCGCTGAATTGGTTTGCAGCCCAAGACGACTTTGATAGTCCTCCAGACCTAAAGGGAAAGCGTAGAAGGAATGCCACGGGTCTTTCGTCGATGACGATGAATGATAGCGAGGGCCCACCACCTCCAAAACGAATGCGGGTGAACGACCAGATCCAGTTTCATCCTGAGCCTCAATATGTCGCGCCACCCTACACAAGTCCTCCGACATCCTATCTTGACCCTCCAGAAATGGTCTTCACTAATTCATTACCCCGTTCAACATCCATCACCCGTGGCCTGTTTCGGACAATGTCTATCGACCCGCCACACAACCTATCTCGCGAACCTTCCTTGAATATGACACCTTTCGAACGCGATACCTCTATAGATCGCTCTTTCTCTGCTCTACCACGCGATATTTCTCTGCCTCGTCGTCTTGGTACTTCCCTTACCCCTCAACCAGCCATTCTCCGAGAGTTATCAGAGCCTCCGCCACTTGCTGCTTTGGCTCAAAAACCTATGTTTGTTCGACCGCCGATCGAATCAAGTCATGTTCTTTTGAATCAGTCGTCAACGACGTCTACCCTTGGCTCCTTAGTTGAATCCCAAAGACGCGTATGTCTAGTTATTAGAGTTCCTCTTAATCTCACTCTTTCGAAGAATCGTTCCCCAATGCACCAAAGCAGCTCCCTCCTGTTTGGCATAGGATCGCAGGAGCATGACCCGATTGCTGGTAAGACATCATTTCCTTGAGGGAGTCGGACTGATCCTACTTGCCACTAGCTCGTCATCCAGCGAGAACTGAGCGCGCTCTTCATGAACTTGATGTATATCGGACACCTCTTCTGCCCACACGCAGTCGAATCGGTGTTAACGCTGTATCACATTCAGGCGATGCCTCTGACCTGTTTAGACCACGACGTGCATCTCAGCTATTGCTCATGCGAGATGACAGACGTGTCAGCCGGCTAGGCCGGAAGACAGAGTTGGGTTTCCTTGACCCTGAGGTACCCAAGGAACGACAAACGAAGCAGGTCAACGACACCAAGCCATATGCCGGTGAAGGTGGCATGAAGAAGTTACTTGCACGTCGGATGAAGGAGGTGGAAGAAGAGTCGCCGGTGCAACCAGTGATAGAGCCAGCGTTGACTCCTCCAAAATCTCCTTGGACTATCCCAGATGAACCACAGCAATCAACGTCCACTTCCTCGTTACGTGTTGGTCGCACGAAAACGTCACGTAATCATTTCACCCGACCTTCTCGCCCAAGCAAAAAATTCTCAGCCGCCTATGAAGAGACTGAGGATGTCAATGATGATGCGGATGAGTTGGAGCGTCAAAAGGAAAGGCAAGAACTTGAGGAGGCTGCCAAGAGGATTCCCACATTCGATGTGCCTGCAGGCTTCAGTTTTGCGAAGGAACCAGTCCGTCTCCATAGCATGCAGCTGCTTACAATGTCTAACCTTGACTCTCAGGATACAAAACCTCCGATTATTGAAGAAACTGATGCAAAAGAACCTCCCATACCTGCTTTGCCGTTCTCCTTCGTGAAGCCCTCTGCGGTCGCGTCAGTCGTCCCTCCTGATGTCAATACTGCCGACCTCTCAGTTCCCTCCTTGGCCACATCTGCCGCTCCATCGTTTGATTCTCTCCCTATGAAACCGCAGTCGACGGTCAATGAAGGAAGTGTTCCCAACTTCTTTGGCTCTAGCAAACTGCTTTCTGAAGCTAATACACCTCTTCTCTCTACTGTCACAACGCCGTCGTTCATCATACCACCGTCAACCAACGTTTTTATCCCATCTAAGCCCGTGGAGCATCCGCCTGCCTCAATGCCTATCCGGGACATAGAGAACCCATTTTGGGTGGACGGCAATCAAGGAAAGGCTGATGATCATGGTCTTGTTCCCTCCAAAGCGGAAGATGGTGCGGTCAAGAACGACAGTGGGTTCATGTCATTTTCGGCTACCCCTGTTCAACCCATGGCTTCGGACACTGTCAACAATAGCCCAGCGATACCAGCATTCTCCTTTTCTAGTCCCGCGCCAGCAGAAACCACAAAAGGCGAAGAACCCAAACCATCGTCAAGCTTTACTGCGCTCCCCAGTGCAGATTCGTCTAAGTCCAATGCTTTCTCGTTTTCCGATAACACCAAGCTTGCCGATGCCCCCAAGCCATTCAGCTTTGGGCAATCGTCGATACCGACCACCGTTCCCAAGTTCGGCGACTTCGCGCAACCTACCTTAGGTGCCCCTAAATCGACACTAGTTCCCCCACCGACCTTGTCATTTGGCGCCGCAACGCCAGCGAGCGACCCTCCCAAACCTGTCTCATTCAGTTTCGGGACACCTTCTGCTACCACGTCAACCCCAGCATTTTCTTTTGGTGCCGCCCCCGATCCAAAGCCATCCCCCGCTGCGATGTTTTCCTTTGGTGCGACAGAAAGACCAGTCACACCGCCTCGGAATGAAGCACCTGAATTTAAGATGGACGAAAGCCCAACAAGGGATCCAGTCAGTATGGAGACCAAACCCATCGAAACGCGGCCCTCACTAAGTAGCTCGCCATTCTCGTTTGGACACTCTGCGTCCAACTCTACATCAATATTTGGTGCTACTGCGTCTGCTACCCCAGGAGCGCCATTTTCATTCAGTGGCTCGACTTCCAATCCTTTTGGATCAGTAACTACGGAAAGCAAACCTTTCGGTAATACCGATTTTGGCCGGCCGTCGAGCAGCTCATCGAATTCATTTTCATTTGGCCAAAACAACACATCTACAGATCCGCCTCGACCATCAACTGCAGGATCATTCTCCTTCGCTCCTGCCCCCTCATCTTCCAGCCCTTTCACCTTTGGTGCGCCAACGTCAACCACATCATCACAAGGTCCAGTGCCAAATGCATTTGGTTCTGCGCCAAGTAGTCCGTCGACCTTTGGTCAACAATTCTCATTTGGCGGTGGCACAAGTATTGCGTCGTCTTCTTCGACCGCTTTTACTTTTGGTGCCACGAGCCAACCAGCTTCCCCAGCAGGTAGTGTTTCAACTCTCCCTCAACCATCCACCCCAGGAGGATTTGGTGGTGGGCCTAGCTTTGGCGCGGGTGGTGGTGGCGGATCACTTTTCACTATTGGTGCTGCACCCACCCAACAGAGAGCGATGAAGAAGCTCCCTCGTCGAAAGAACTAGCCCCCCCCCCCATATATATTATATAAGTTTGTGTCTCAATCTCTGGTTCATCTGTATCGCATAGGAGGATGTCACTTCCTGGCTCAAGGCCACTCGTACTACTACTATTACATACTTGGCTCAAGGCCATCCGCATAGCATTGTTTTCCATACTCTACTTACCTAAATGTGATAACAAATCAATCTTCTGGCTGCTTATGTTAGCACAGCACGTGCACGTGCGCCGCGTGTGTGACCTGCCAACCGCGTCTGTCTCCTTTCCTAGTGTTGAATACGCGCAGATGTTCGAGTTACGCGACGAACTCCAAGCAATCTTGGATTTAGACACGTACAACATCGAAAATGAGCATGATCTTTCAACTGAAGACCCTGGACAACTTCTGGAAGGTCTGTTGTCTCTAGCCACTCCAACCGTTGCTCACCTCCATGGCTAGCTGCGGTCGAAGCTGTGGCAGATGCGAGCGAGGCAATCGCACAACCTGAAGTGTTCGACACGTATCGCAGCTTGCTCAGACACTCCGACCTTGTTCCCGGTCTTGTCATGAGCAAACTCTTAGATTCGCTTGTCTCTGGACTACAAGCAGAGCTTGATGCCACCCTTCGAGACGACCAGGAACCAACCAACGTATACATGGCCCACAAAACACCTTTTGAAATGTACGCCTTCCTGCTATCGTGGTTCGTCTCCGCCGCGGAGAAGGTCAAGCAACCAGATCCCGACTTGCCAGGCACTCCCGCTCCCAAAGCTCGTAAACCTCGGGGAGGAAAGCCTACAACGAAGTCACGCACCACCACAAAGAAAGCGACAGAGTGGACCTGGGTCGATCAGACTCCGGTTATGCTCAACCTTATCAGTAAAGTCCTCCTGCGTTTGCCCTCACAACGACTATGGACCACAACAGCAGAAAAGGATGCATTCATCTCGTGAGCTAATATCATTGTTTTTTGCATATGAATTATATAATTCTCCTAGTTGCATAACGCGTCCTGCGTACCACGTGATGGACAACGAGCAATGCATGAAGTCCCAGGAAATCAAACTCTGCGCATTCAAAGTCATTTGTCTTGCCGTCAAACATCATAGCCATGCACTTGCTGCTCAAATTTCCCTCATCCAAGGCCTCCAATTTCACGAGCACTCCTCAGAGCCTATCGCCGAGTGCCTGGTCGTTCTTGCGAAGGAATACGACCATTCGCAGCTAGGCGACGAAATTCTGCGCGAAATCTCTGGCATGAATTTCAGCGGACAAGATAACAAAGGCCCGCGTACCTTTTCGAAATTCCTTATCAAGTTTTCGGAACTTGCTCCGCGGTTAATGCTCAAGCAAATGGCCCTTTTACTTGGACAACTCGACTCGGAGGCTTATCCCATGCGGATTGCTGTCGTCGAGGTGCTTGGTGCTCTGATTTATGATTTGGCTGCGACGGAGCCCGACGATGAGTCGGAGGGCTCGCAGAAAAAACAAATCAATGGTTTGTATGACCTACTACTGGAGCGAGCACTCGATGTCAACTCCTATGTCCGTGCTAAAGTGCTTACTGTCTTAACTCATCTCTGTGATATAAAGCAAGGGAAATATCCCAAACAACGGCTTGCGATGACTCGGGTTGCTGTAGCAGCACTAGAAGACAAAGGGGCTAGCGTCAGAAAGGCTGCAGTGACCTTACTCATCAAACTGCTGACGACTCATCCGTATGGGACTGCTTTTGGGGGTCATTTGAACATCGATGAATGGCAGAAAGGCTACAAGGAGTTGAAGGAGGACGTCGCTGCTCGAGAAGCACAGATGGACGATCGCCAGGCCGTGCAGCAACAGTCTGAGGGAGATACCGATGTGGAGGGAGAAGACGACGATGAGATGATGGTTGACGAGGGCCAAAAGAAACCGGCCAAACTCAAGCCACGCAAATCTCAGGTCGCCGCCGAAATGACGGATCAGCAGGTCGCGATGGACCATCACGATACAGCCATATTGCTGGAACGACGGCTCCGCAAACAATACTTCGCCGAAGCCCTCAACTTCATTCGCCAAATCGATGGGACATTCGAGACGATGGATAAACTTTTGGGTAGCAAAAACAAGCCAGAAGTACTGGAAGCCATGGAGTTTTTCAGAATTGCCCACGAGTACAAGTTCCACTGGGCTGAGGTTCGTAAACTCGGCATCATCAGATTCGACTTATCAATGGCACACACAGGCGGGGATCAAGAAAATGATGCATCTCATTTGGAACAAAGACAACACAAGCTCGACTTCCGAAGACGGACAGGATCTCAAGGGCATTCGCCAAAGACTCCTCGAAGCCTATCGATTCTTGTATTTCGATCCAGTGCCTGATTTGGATCCAAAAGCTCAAGTACAACGCATCACAAAAAATATGATAGAGTAAAGTTCTCCTCGACCGGCCCTCTTGGCACCATTGCTCACATAACGCCGCAGGCTCACAGAAAACGCAACTCTGGCAGAGCTGACAAGTCTAGAAGAAATGATGCGTATAATGATGGAAGACGACCAGATTCATGCAGATGTCATCGCAAAACTATGGCAAGTTTATAGTGAGACCCTTGTTTGTCGTCCTTTTTTCCCCGTTCAATGGATCCCAGGTGCTCGGCAAAACATTCCGCCTGAACAACGTCAAGGCGCCATTATGATTCTCGGAATGCTCGCACTGGCCCGACGAAGCGTTGTCGCGGATCACGTGAATGTCATGCTGCAAGTTGGCCTGGGGCGTTTGGGCAGAGTTGGTATCGCATCTCGATGCAAAAACATTCTCATTTCGTTTCAGGAAGATCTCAAACTGGCGAGATACACATGCGTTGCATTGCAACGATTGAACGGCAGCGCGAAAAAGGTCAAAGGCAAGCTCATCTTCAACCAACCCTAAGTAGTGCTTTGCCTCATATCGGACATCAGGCTCGTTGCTGGACAAGACGATCCGACTGGAAATGAACAACCCCATTTTTCGCCATCTCCAAGAGGCCTTTGAACATCCCACTCGCTCGAAAGAGTGGTTCGGATTAGCAGAGCAGACGATCAATACGATATATGCGCTTGGAGATCACCCGGATGTTCTGTGTAATGAGCTGATCAAGAGGCTGACTCGCAGAGCGTTTGCGACGAAGCAAGACACCCCATCTCAAGAGAGGGACGTGGAGGCTATGGAACAGGACCCCGCCGATGTGTCTCCCGAATCAGCAGTAAACGGGGGTGGCGATCTGGGCGACGTCTTTGCCCTCAGTCAACTATTATTTGTCGTTGGCCACGTTGCTCTCAAGCATATCGTCTATCTAGAGCTTGTCGAACGTGAATGGAAACGCCAGAAGGACGAGAAAGATGGGGGTTAGTTATTTGCTTTCATTTCGCTGTGACACCGTTTTACGTGACCTTCAGCGGACAAACAAGCTCAGTCTAAAGCCAAAGAAAGGGAAGAGCTAGATCAGGTTGCCGGGAACGCTGAAGACGAAATCGGCGACCGGATTGCGGCCGTTCGGGAGGACGAACTTCTCCATGGTCCAGATTCACTGCTCGCGCTCTATGGACCCATTCTCCAGCACATCTGTGGAAGTCCACACAAGTACAAGGTAAAAGCTTGTCCAACATCTTGCTACCCTTTTTATGCCTTGCCAGAACCGAACACTGAAGGCCGCTGCGACACTTTCGTTCAGCAAATTTATGTGTGTCTCGTCACGATTTTGCAGCGACAATCACCTGGTTTTGTTCAAAATTCTGGAGACATCCAAGAACCCCAGCATCCGCAGCAACATTGTCATCGCTCTCGGGGACGTCGCCGTTTCGTTCAGCAGCATAATCGACGAAAACAGTAACGAGCTCTACAAGGGTCTGTCGGACAGACACCTGGTCGTCAAGAAGAACACGCTCATGGTCCTCACGCACCTGATATTGAACGGTATGATCAAGGTCAAGGGCCAGCTGGGAGAGATGGCCAAGTGCATCGAGGATCCAGAACCGCGCATTTCCGACCTTGCCAAACTGTTCTTCAAGGAGCTGTCCACCAAGGACAACGCGATTTACAACAATCTTCCGGACGGTATGATTCCTTTGCTAGTCTTCCTGGTGCTCTAAAAAGCCGGTTAGTTATTAGCCATCTTGGGGTTGGTGAACATGCTGTCGACGAAGAGATGTTCAAACGCACCCTGACGTACATCTTCTCCTTCATCGAAAAGGCAGGTCGTCTCGCGGAACCAGCAGCTGTTCTGACTATCCTGTGTAGGAGAAACAGGCGGAGAGCATCGTCGAAAAGCTTTGCCAACGATTCCAGCTCTCCGAAGATCCACGGCAATGGCGCGATATCGCCTTTTGCTTGTCCCTACTGCCCTTCAAATCTGAGCGGTCGGTCAAGAAGCTCATCGAAGGCCTGCCTTTCTATCGCGACAAGCTGCACGAGGAGACTGTGTATGACCGTTTCACTGAAATTTTGAACAAAGTAAGCATACGCACATCTCATCTTGTTGCGGCGCTGATCTGTTATTGGCTAGGCTCGACAGAACAAATCAGCCACCAAGCCTGATACTGAGTTGGCCGAGTTTGAGCAGGCAGGTCGATCTTAGCATCAGCTCCGCAAAAATTGACCATCACAGATTCTTGAAGAGCACCGCACACAAGGCGAACAAGACCGAGACCTCGAGAAAAGGGTCCAGCAGAAGAAACGAAGTAAATCAATTTTTTTCTTTTCTCCAATATCTCACGCCATTCACCAGAAACCCGGCGAAAAGCGGCATAAAAATGTACTTTTTGGTGATCTATGTAGAATAATGTTGTATTATTTTTATGATATTCGTCCGCGTTTTTTGCGCCCCGCGGGTGCCTCGTCGTCCTTGTCTTTACCAAGAACGACCTTGTGGACGACACCCTCCCATATCGCATCATTCAAGCCCTTGGCTTTGCTCAGTTGGTCTCGAAGAGAGTCAATTTCTGTTTCCAGCTCGCTGACCCGCGCTTGCAACGACGCGGGGTCCTGCGAGGCGGATGAGCTGTGCTGAACAAAAAACTCGTGGTCACGAAGTATGTCTTGAGTCATGTCAAGTGTGTCAAGATGCTGTTTTGGGGGAATAAGCAACCACGTCGACTGAGGAAACAAACTAACGGACACTAGAACTCGACAGAATGCTCGCAATCTCGTGCGCCTCGCGCGATTTACTGTCTCGCATCCGTTGGAGTGCTCCGACGCTTCTCGTTGGGACGGTCTCGGAGGTTGTGGGTTGGAGAGCTAGATTCACGTGGCCGAAGAGATCCGGGGGCCTGATCATCGTCGAAAGGTGGGTTATTGACGTGCCTTTGTGGGTTGAAATCGTGCGTAGAAGCTGGTTGGAGGTGATGTCGAACAGGTGTATCGAGCCTGCAGAAGTGCCTGTTAAGAGCAAGGTGCCAGCTAGTGAGATGGCCAACGCCACAACAGGCTCCCTGAAAAATCGATAAGCACGCATGCAGCGACCAAATCAGAGCCGCACCCGACCGAAAAGAACCGGCGCCGTCGTGCTTGGGCGGCTTGCTCGTCGTCATCAACATGCAGAGCATCAGCTGACCCTAACCCGCCAATAGCCGTATAGCTACGGGGGGGATTTCTCTCCTTGAACATGTTCACTTGGAATACCGAGCCGTTTGGGGCCGCAGCAAAGAAAACGCGTTCAGCGGTATCCCACGCTAACGCGGAGATTGGCTGCGGGAACTGGAAGGTCGTCAAAAGCGTGGCCGACGAGAGATCCCAGAGCTGCGAGTTGTCATTGTAATCGAGAAATAATGGCGCGATTTACCTTGACAGAATGGTCAATGGAAGCAGACAGTGCTCTGCAACGAGGAAAGCTGCCTATACCACACACAATGTCGGTAACCGGCAATGTATGGTCTGAGAGCACGCAATGCGGTGTAGGTGGGTCGGACTGGGTGTCATCGTCTAATAGTCTGTCGAGAGTAAACGAGCATCGGTTAGTCGAAGGAGATACTAACCGGGACACGGACCATACGCTCAAGCCAGAGTCTTCGCTGCCAGATAACAGCGCTGCATTGTCGTTGGTAAACTTGAGGACCGTAATCTTGCGGTAGTGGGCGTCCCAAGCATTAAATAGAAGACCGGAGGCGAGCTGAAGTACAGTCAAACGTGACCAAATGAAATCCACATTTTTTTTTTTTACCTCCCAGATGTAGATGCGGCCTTGAGCAGTCCCACCTGCAATATATTGTCCCGCGCAGTCAATTGCCAGGCACGATAGCTTCTCTGGAAGCAGCGATTTCGCAGCCACTTGATCCTGGGGGGCAGCTAAGGACAGCAAAGGAGCAAGTAAAGCATATGAACCTTTTGAAAGTTATAAACATTTAGGAGCGCTTTATCTTGTTGAACTGCAAGGATCAGGCCTCCGAGCTGGCGCTGCGTAGGAACGACAACAGTCGAATGTAGCCCAGCCGTCGTCTGCTTGAAAGAAGCTAGGGTCGAGCCAGTTTGAATATCATGAATCGCAATTGACCCAGAGCCCGTTGCGGGTGTCGAGGTACAGATGATCGCTTCATGCAGAATCATCAGTGCAGAAAAAGAAAGTGACTGTCACACAATGGAGTTCGATTTGGAAGCACTTGTTAATGTCGAGGCGACGTAGGTCGACCGACGACGAAGATCGTGGTTTTTACCTCAGCTTGTTCTTCTAGCTTCTACGATGCTGGCTATAAAGATGGCCATGCTCATGGCCGGATCCATGGCTTGATCGAAGGACGGGCGCTTGGTCGTGAAAAAGGCTACGAAATGTGGGAGGAGCTCGCTTTCTACCAAGGCTTTGCGAGGACTTGGCTAGCTATATACCCACGAAATGACGAGTATGTTGACTTTAATATGAGAATGACTAAAAAAAAACTTGAACCTAGTCGCACCGCTCACCATATCCGCCATCTGCTTGAACTGCTTGCCCAGTTTCCGCAAGTGAATCCCTCGGCAACTGACTCTGAGTTGGATATTCTCAAGCTTTCGCGACAAATCAGTTCACGATACCGCGCGCTCTGTGCGTCACTCGGCGTCAAAGCCAGTCGCGAAGCTCCTTCAGTCTGGAAGCTAGAAAACGCCGCGCAAACTATGTCATTCTAAATTTTGATTACAAGGGTATTAATGGATGGTTTCCGGAGAGTCTTCGTCACCGTGTCAGGGTATGTGATGTCTAAAAGTCTACTTAGTCACTTCTTGGATATGGTCATCAATAGACACTCACTGTTTTTCTCTGTGTACCGAGCCAGCTGGAAGGTTGTTGCTGAGTCGCACCGATATGACCACGCATAGTTCGCATTCCCATGGCATGGACGGCCCCGAGCATTAGCTCTTGCTCCCTTCGGTAACGTTTTATGGAGTCGCTCATCAATCGCTGCCAGTTCTTGAGATCCAATGGAAAAAAGGCAAAAACTTGGACCGACCTTTTGTCGCGCAAGGTCCTCCTCTAGTATCTTGATCTGGGTGCGGAAACTCGCCTCCGCTTCTTCAAACGTTCCAGGGGGAACCGAGAGAGCGTGGGCAGCATGCTGCTCTTTGAAAAGCTTATCCTGCGATTTGATAAACTGAGTATCAAGTCAGCCTTTGCAACTACGACAATAAATGATCGCACCGTTCTGGCCTTTTGGAGCTGAGCCAGTTGTGTCTTGTTGGACTCTTTGAGGTTGATGTTTTCCTCGTGTAAAGCCAGCAGTCGCGCCTTGATGTCTTCTGGCAAATCTTTGCCCGACAACGACGCCCGCAAATCGCTATCCAGCCTCGTCAGAAGAGTCTCACTGATACCACTGATGCTTACCCGAAATCCCGTTCTCTCTGCAACATCTTCTCCCGATGCCCAATTCCCTCGCTTTGCAGTGTGACCTTCTCCAACAGTAGCGCATTGACCTGCTCGAGCTGCATCCGGTTCTTGTCTGCTAGTTCCTTGTTCTGCTGCCTCAGCTTGGTCAAATCTGCCTCTAACCCGAGTTTGTCCTCATTGACGGAATCCCGCAATTGGGCGAGAATATCGAGCTGGTCCTTGTTGACAAGAGTCACTGATTGCAGCGTTTAGACAAGCGTTTTGTTTCCTGTGCACAACGCCACTCACAGTCAGACTTGGCAATAGTGAGCTCCCGGTCCATCGTTTCGAACCGCACTTCGAGTTCAGCATGCTGTTTGCGCAAGAGGTCAAGTTCATCGACGGTCTCGTTGAGGCGTTGTCGTAGAGCGATTGCAGCCTCCGCACTAGAGAGGAATGAGAAACAGTGTGCTTGGCCAGTGTCACTCACCCGTCACCCATAGACTTGCCACTGCGAATCTCTTCCAAGTCGCGCTGCAGCACAAGTTTCTCCCGATGGGCAGTCAGATAGTCGCTCTCGTATCGGGCCTTCATCCTATTGGCATCTTCGAGGAGATTCTCGAGGACAAGCACGCGACTAGCATCCGCCTCGTTCTTGCGCACAGCCTCGAGTTCTCTCTGCAGTTTCTTGACTTGTAGTTTGAGATCAGTCATCGTCGTTTTGGAAATGGCATCGTCCAGTTCTCCCCCAAGTCCATGAACAGCGGGATCATCCGCATCAGCATCAGCATTGCCCAACTCATTCCCAAGTAGCTCAGCCTCAGTAAACTCTTCAGTCGACGCGCCCGATTCTGCAGGTTTCCTGGAGCCAACCGGCCTCTGTGATGCGAATTCCAGTTCACGGACCCGTTCTTGATACAACTCCAGTGTTTCCGCGTCACGTGTTCGCTCGTCCGTGGCAATCTTCAGTTTATTCTTACTCTCAGACAGCTCGAATCGCAGCGCATCAAGCTCTTGAGCCCGCGCAGAGTGTTTGCTTTCCAACTCTGCGATTTGATTCTTGTAGGACTCCATCAGGGGCTTGAATGCAGCGACTTTGCGGTATTCCTCCTCCAGCGAAGCATTCACGTCCACAAGTTCTGCGTTCTGCTTTTCGAGGGATTTGACGCTCTGACGTAGATCTGCGCTTTCTTGAAGTTTTTTCTTGTACTTTTCCATCACATTCTCTGTTTTCTGCAGTTTGTCGGCGGCATGTCGGTATCTGTGAATCGTGAGTGAAAAGCTAGACTTTATTTGCTCGACCCCTACTCGTCAAGCTTGTCCTTAAGTCGAACCGCCTCATCTGCCTGATCTTGCAGTTCTTCATTTCTTTTCGTCAGATCAGCAAGCACACGACTTTGCTTGTCGACTTCGGATTCAGCAATAGCAAGATTGTCTTCGCTCTTCTGGCTATAAAGATTTGATCAGTCAACAAACGTGAGTCTGGCAAGGGCACATACAGATCTGCTCGAAGTCGGTCAATCTCCCCCCGCAACATACCATCTCCCTTGTCGCTCCTCCGCGTATCGGCCTCTCTGCGCGCCTCCCGTAATTTAACGACCGCATCCTCTTTCTCGGAAATTAGGTCATCGTGGTTTGTCTGTAAGGTGCGGTGTTCTTCCAGCAGTGCTTGATACACCTTTTCGAGGGTCTCCTTCTCGGACAGGATCTGGCTCTTCTCGGTCTGGAGTTGATAATAATGGTCGTCCCTGAAATGAAGTAAGAGCACGGAAAAGCCGGGTTTATCAAGGGGCACACACTCAGTCATGTTTGTGTCCCCGACATCTCCTTCCGAGTCTTTGATTCGAGCCATGACCTAGATAGATGTTATAGTTGGTAGCCGGTGGTATGATGACGCACCTGCTCAATGGCCTTCATGAGGTAGTGTTGGTCTGTTTCGCTCAAGCCTTGGATCTTGTCGATGAACTGCTTATTCTGTTCGCACTGCACACCGATGGCAATGGTTAACCGGCACATTGCCAGCGTAGGGAGAACGGAGTGGTCCTTTGCCACTGCCTGGAGGTCTGGCACTTCAAGTCCACTCGTGGGCTTCTGGAGTATATCCGCAAAGTATTGGGTCATAAGTCGATAAAGCCGTTTGAGTGCGCTGAAACGGAGGACCCAGTTGTCAGACGGCTGAGAGGAGGGTCTAGTTGACTGTCGAAAGTATTCCGCATCTCTGATGAGAGTTGTGGTCAAGACTGGATTGACCTTGACGAACTTGGAAACTTACACTACCGACAAGACCTCGAAAAGAGCAGCCCCGTCACTCAGATCAGCAACGGTGGCTACAGGCCGGGCGAGTTCGAAGGTTGCAAAGAAATTGAAGAATGCATCGAGCTCCTTCCTCTGAGCGGCCTCCATGGTAGCAACCGAGAGATTTGTCGGCGGGCTCAAATAAGCCTGAGCGCGATCACGCGCGTCATGTCACGGAGAATCGCATTATTATTTGGTAGTATGTACACTTCAGCTAGCAGTTGTTGGTTACGTAGGATTTTACTGTCTTTCTCAATTGCTGGAGTACTAGATGTGCTCGAGCGGTATCCGCGGGCATTTTAATCTTCCCTGACGCCAACCCGTAAAGGTATGCAAAGTCTGCTCGGGCAGCCAGAGGAAGTCGACCAGCCACGTCGCTTTTTTGACGACTCATTTTTTCTGAAAACTGTTGGGCAAAGTTCTTGGACACGACAGAGGCACGCTCGACAACGGATAACGGGACGCCTACAGATGTTTAGTGAGGGACTTGTCTCAGCATAACAATACTGACCAGCCAAGTTGGCGACGTGAGTTCCAAACGAGGAAGTCGCGACTCCCTCGACAAGTTTATAGAGGAAGACGATCTAGGATTTCGATGAAGGCTGGATGACTGATGCGGCTGATATGATCGTACCTCTCGCTTTTCATCGTCCACGATGGTTTTCATGAAAACATTCCGAATGTTCGGATGATACGTAAAGTCGTCGGTCAGGGAGCCATAGTGAGTGGCAAATATCGACAAACAAAGCGTATGGGTTGCGAGTTGATGAAGAACAGCCTTCATCTCATCAATAAGTTGCGTGGAAAGGGACAAAGACACTCACGCCTGCAATCGCCATTCCGTCGTAGGTCGATGTCCCCCGGCCTAGCTCTGGAGGTGGCAATTAGTCACATTGAATCAAGCCACATTTTTTTGCTCGCCATCTAAAATGACCAAAGACTTGGGTGAAGCATCGCGGAGGATTTTGCAGCTGAAAATCTCGTTACAGCAGCTGAGAATGGTCGTGCATGCTTACCATTCATCGAGCTCGACTTTGAAAGTGCTTGCATTCGAGAACATGTTATCGTACGCACCCATGCGTGTCAGTATAGCATCCACAGGAGAGAGGCTTGGAAGGATGAGAATAGAAGCACAAGGCGGAATAGATGCTGACCGTGCTTCCACAGCTGGAACAAACATCCCCAGTTGCGCCATAATCTGGCACGATATAAGGTTTGCCAAGAAAAGACGACACCCACAAAACACTCACAACCCCAGTCGCAGTCATCCTCATAACCGTTGACTTGCCCCTAGAGAGAAGGCTAAGTTGCTGAGAGACGGTCATTCAAACACGCACGCCATGTTGGGGCCGGTTAGCAGGGCAACATTTCCCATTTCACCACCTAGCTTGATGTCGTTGGGGATGAATGATTCGATGTTGGAGTTCATTGACAAGGTGGGATGTCGCAGTTCCTTGAAATTAACCCAGGCTGAATGCCCTTCTTCGAAAATTGGGCGGCAAGATGGTTCTCCAATAGCTTGAGAAGCTTTGGCAAGAGAGAAAAGGCAGTCAACTTCGGCCAGAACGCGAACGGCGCGTAACCAGATTGAACGGTCCGTGTCGAACTCTGCAAAGAGGCGCAGACGAAATGATTTGATTGCTGCATTGCGCTTCTCGCGCGCCTCTTTGAGCGACTTGACGATTGGCTGGATTGATGCAGGAGTCCAGCGAGATTTATTCTGTCGAAGAGTTTCAGAATACGATGTTGAGTGCCAGTTTTCTTACCTTGAGCTGATGTGTCCTGGTCCAGTCTTTGGGAACTTTGAGTTTGGCGTCGGTCTCGATTAGGTAGATATCCTAAAACGGAAGATAAGTATCAGCTGCATGACAAATAATTCATCCAACCTTGGTTCCAATAGCGCTATGATAGTAGACCAGACTTTTGCACCTGTATACCACGTGAGCAATATGATTTGAGACACTAAAGCAACCAACTTGAGCTGCTTTCGGAATTTTTCAAGCTCATCATCGAGTTCCTTTTCCAGATCCGCCAGTTCCTCCATGATCTCGTCGTAAACCTTGTCTTGACCGATTTGGGGCACCAGCTCAGAAGCATCTAAGGAAATGGTCAACGATTATAGGCAATGGCTGATGGCTAGAACTGACCCTTTTCCGACGCTGGCTTTTCATACATCCGTTGAACCTTGGTGATATTCTGGACGAGATCCGGGGCACCACGCAGCAGACCAAAAATTGTTTTGGATTTGAAGCTCTCGGAAACATCTGCCAGATGGCTCAACCCATGGCTCAGTTTCTTGAAAGCCTGGTAGCCTTTAGTAAAGGGAAGGCGTACCCACAACCAGAAAATGACATACCGCAAGCACCTTCAAAAAGTCTCTGATCGTACAGTTTTTTGCATGAATACGGGAGACGATTCGCTCCAGGTCAGGAAGACCCTTTGTCAAGTCCAAAAAGTCCTGTTCGAATTCCGGGTGGTCCATGATATCCTCGACGGCATCAAGACTACGGAAAGTGAGCCTCCCGACGGAATGAATTTTGGCAGCAGTAAATCCTTACCGAGTGTTAATTTCAGATATTTCCTTCAACGGCATGCACAACCAAATTCGGAACAGCCGCTTGCCGGAGGGCGTGACTGCACGGTTCAACAGCTTCAACAAGGTGCCCTCTTCTGTGCCCTCGTTGTTCAGCAGTATCTCGATGTGAGCAAGTGTCTGCCCATCGAGAACAAGTCCTTGACCACGTTTCATTGGATCATACACATTGAAGTTGCGCATGCTCAGGATGTCACTGTCAATGTTGAGCTGGCGCAAATACCTGCTCAAGTCGTTAACAGTGGATCGATGCGACGCTGGAGGGACAAACCAAATCATTGATCCAAGCGACTCAATTGCACTACGACAATGCAGCATATCTCGAATTGGCTCCGGGACGCTTGAGGGAAGTGACTCTTCACTATCGTCCATGGCCTCATTGCCCTCAGAGCCGTAGAGTTTCCGGAGTTCCACGAGGGTCTGTTCGTAGTTAAAGCCTTCAACCTCCCGTAGCGAGGTCCACAGGCAAGAGGCAGGCAGTGTTGCCTCTAGAAAACATTCAACACAATAATAACAATAACCACAGAGAAACGCACTCAGTGTGCGGGTGGTGGTCACTGATAACTTGCCCTACTGTACATGGAGATTTTCCGTTATAGTAAAGGAGGACGACGAACCTTGGTAAAAAGCAGCTCCTTTGGTCGAAGTTGGCGCATGAACGTCTCAAGCTTGGTACAACAGATGTCGTCCTGGAAGGTACTCAAGTGGAATTGCGACGTAGCGCAGTCCAGAGCAACCAGGCCAAAGGTGCTTTTCGTATCATCTCCTTCGTTGAAGGTTTCGGATAGGGAAATAAAGTGACCAGCTTGATCGTCAGATATCATGTCAGGGTCAATAAGCGTGCCATTAGTATAAACTTTGTTTAATTCACTAAACCAACGTTAGTCCTCCCGGGAGAGCAGAGCTACAACATACCGTCGAACAATTTTTTCCTTGTTCTTGTCAGCCGCCACTTTGCCTTGCGATTTATCTGCCTTGACGCGCATCTCAGCTCCAAGCGCCGTTTCTGCCTGATCCACTCGTCCGACTTTATATCCTAACAAGTAACAGCTTCAGTTCAAGTCAACGACGATTCGAAATCCATGCCTTGACCAAGAAATTTACTACGGAAGATTTAGCCAAGAACCACGGTTAGAAGGCGCCTTACGCAGCATAAAAGTTGAAGGACGTTTCTGGCACACCGACCATTGACATTTTGACTCTCGACGTAAGCTTGAGGTCGAATTGCTGGTGACCAATGCGTGCATCGTCTTCATATAGCTCCAGAAATTTGCTATATATGGGTCAGAAAGAAGAATGAAATGAGGGAAATATATACCCTTTCTGGAAAAACAATATCTGTGTCAAGTTTATGAATGAAATGTAATCATTTTTAGCTCAAAGCTTACTGTGTCGTAATGATTTTGCTTGATTTCCCAGAATTGTTTCTCGAAAGGAGTGAAATCCTTCCAAGCTTTCGGAGGAATGTAGAGTGTGCGGGGGGTCGTACCCGGGATCGCCGGGACTATTGCCGTCTTTCTGTGGGACGCTTAGAAGCTGATATTCTTCCCTAAAGTGAACCATACATCCTTGACGTTCTGCAAAAACGAGAACGGAAGTTCTTCGTCCTTCTTCCCGTTTTTCTTCTCTATTTGGCGTTGCTCGGCGGCAGTGAGGAAGTTCCGCGTACTAGAGGTTGGGTTGGACGTTGTGGGTGTGATTTTGGGCCTTGCTGAGGTCTTGGCTTTTTTAGGCCTATCCTCGTCTTCGTCGTCTACGTCTGAGAAAGCCGATGAACGAGAGCCTGAGGAAGATGCTGTGGATTTCATTGATTTGATTGACTTGGTTTCCACATCCGAGTCCGAGAGAACATAGTCTGCATAGTCATCTGAGGCAGTAGAGCCTTTACGGCCTTACCCAAAGCGTTAGGGAAGAAATTTCATAGCCCATGGTGCATACCGGATTTGAGCGGTACCTTTTTGAAATGACTGAGCCGCTGGGAGAACGAACTAGAGGCACTTTTGTTGGCCTCATCTTCTTCTTCCTCATCCGACAGCAGCGCAGAGAGACGCGCTTTCTTCGCAGCTGAATAAGGCATGAAAAGTCGCGTCGATAAAGAAGCCTACAGTCTAACACACCTTTCTTGACATTCGCAGGCGACGACTCTGGCGGCATCGAACTCGCTTCCGACGGTATTGGCTCTTCATCCGAGTCATCTAACACTATCATTTTCCGTTTACCCTTGAGCGAATGAGGGGCTTGAGCGGTAGTTGGGATGAAGACCTTACAGTCAGAACACGACTGGGTTCACTCTCCCGGTCGGACAACATATCAATATCGATTATATCCACCGCGTCGCTGGTCGGAGGCGTGTCTCTAGAGCTGCTTCCTTGTCTGGAAGACGCCTCAGAAGAATTCAGGGTCGTTGGTTGGGGTGTTTGCTTTTGTGGCACAGTCTTGGTTTTCGGCGTCGACTGAGATTGACCTTTTCCAAAGAAAGACATCAAGCTTTTCTGCTTGGGGCCAGAAGCTCCATTTCCTGACGCTAACTGAGATGATTTGGGAGGCATCCAGCAAGAGGCAAAACGCGAAAGATCACGCGTCACGCCCACATCATGTATTAGTCAAACTATGTTACGGCTTCGTTTGCAGGGTCATCGTTGTCGTTGGTATACTGGGATCCCAATTACTGTCAAGGGTCCCATCTTCCCAGCTTCGCAAAATATTTCCCCCGACTTTGCCCATTTGATACGAAGGAAAGACTCGCAAACGGTCTAAACGACGCTCCCGCAATTTGTTTTTGGGCAGCATCCCAGAAACAGCACGACGGATGATCTGAAAGGCTTATATGAGGAAAGGGCATTAACAGCGATGAACGGGACAGACCTCGTCAGGATTCTTCTGCATCATTGTTTGGTAAGGTGTTTCTTTCATTCCTCCTGGATACATAGAGTGTTTGCGGAAGAGTATTGTTTCGCTCTTGCGACCAGTTACTAGGACTTTTCGAGCATTTGTTACGATGACATAGTCACCACAATCAACTACGGGGGGGTTGACAACAAATTCACCAGCAAAATGACAAAACTAAGTACCTCCTGGGTCATATATGGGCTTGTGTTTACCCATGAGCACGAGCGCTATTCGCTCAGCAAGTTTTCCGAGGATGCGGTCGGATGCATCGACATGGTGCCATACTCTCGCATATGCCAGTGCAGTCTACGACAAGGCTTTAGTCTATGCATGGGTGAGAAATTAACCACCTACATTTCCGATCGCTTGCGACATGGAAGAAAGAAGGAGGTGACAATGTCACGCGTGACACTTCGTGAACGCTTACCTTGGCGCAAGCACGCGAAAGTCGCGTCCAACGCATCCGAACCGGATCGTCCTCTGGGTTGAGAAAGGATGCCGAGGTATTCTATCCTATTCAAGCGGTCTCTAACTCACTTCCTTTTCAAGAGAGCTAATCGGTCTATCCGTAGGACAATGCGGAAACCAAATGGGTTCTGTTTTCTGGCAGCGATTATGCGCCGAACATGGCATCAATAAAGATGGGATTCTTGAGGAGTGGGCGACTGAAGGAGGCGACCGCAAGGACGTCTTCTTCTACCAAGCAGACGATGAACACTATATTCCACGAGCGATACTAATTGACCTCGAGCCCAGAGTGCGTCTCCTTTACTTCTCACAGATTTAAGACTTGATACTCTGCCACAGGTCATCAACGGTATCCTTACCTCACCCTACGCCAACCTCTATAACCCGGAGAACATATTCGTTTCAAAAGATGGTGGTGGCGCAGGTAATAACTGGGCACAGGGCCACTCCGCAGGAGAACGAATATACGAAGAAATTATGGAGATGGTCGATCGTGAAGCCGAGGGGAGCGATTCGCTCGAAGTATATCAGTTTCCTGGAGCAAGAGTTGGAGTGAACGATCACCGTTTAGGGATTCATGGCGATGCACTCAATTGCAGGAGGGACCGGTTCGGGCCTTGGTTCTTTCTTGCTCGAACGGCTCAACGACAAATTTCCCAAGAAACTCATTCAAACATATAGCGTGTTTCCGAATGCGCAAGAAGGAGATGTTGTTGTCCAACCCTACAACTCGATCCTGACTCTCAAACGGCTTGTAAACCATGCAGACTCCGTCGTGGTCCTCGACAATGGCGCGTTGGCCAGAATATCGGCGGACCGACTCCATGTTCAAACCCCGACATTTGATCAAACTAATCAGCTAGTAAGTTACTTATCTGCAGTTCGTCCTTTCGATTCATCGCTCAAGGTTGCGACCGTTATGGCTGCAAGCACGCAGACTCTGCGATACCCCGGTTATATGAATAACGACCTCGTTGGCTTGGTCGCCTCGTTAATACCAACACCGAGATGTCATTTTCTCATGACATCTTATACGCCATTCACGAGCGACAACATCGACAAGGTCCATTTCTAATGAAGCCTTGAGTGTCTCTGAACAGAATTAGGCAAAATCGATCCGGCGAACGACAGTTCTCGACGTCATGCGACGTCTCCTCCAACCGAAGAACAGGATGGTATCAACGCGTCCCAGCAAAACCGCCTGCTACATCTCAATAATGAATATTATCCAAGGAGATGTTGACCCAACAGATGTAGGTTCAGGTTGCCTTCAGGCCGAGGTTTTTTTATCGGTCTGCAGGTCCACCAATCATTGCTCCGAATACGAGAGCGTCAACTGGCAAACTTCATCCCATGGGGACCTGCCTCGATTCAAGTGGCTTTGACACGCCGGTCGCCATATGTCACCACGAGCCATCGTGTCAGTGGACTGATGCTAGCGAACCACACAAGCATTGCCTCTGTGAGTTTTTTTACCAGTTGCCCAGTAAAAGCACCCAACAGCATTATGCAGTTATTTAAACAAATGCTGGATCAATTTGACAAGCTGAGAAAGAAAAATGCATTTCTAGATCAGTACAAGAAAGAAAAAATGTTTGCTAATGGTCTGGAAGAATTCGACGATGCCAGGTCGGTCGGTGTATTAGTGTCTGCTGACAAAGGTTCATTGACCCTTGCAGGGCTGTATGCGACGAGCTCATGAAGGAATATAAGGCGTGTGAAAGCGCCGAATATATCACCTATGTACGTTCACATTCAAGGTCTTCAACTACTGACTGGGTTCGTCTAGGGATCGCAGGACGCAGAACAGCCGGTATGATGTGGTCTTGGACTTGCTTGCTCGCTCTCGATTATCAACTGTACTGTAGCCACGTTATCCTCTATGATATGCTGTCTAGGGAAGGAACAGAAGGGCATGGACGCTATGTCGATTTGGTTTTCGACTCCAACTTCTTTCCGATATCTGATCCTGCGAAAGAAGGTCAATGTGAGTCGTGAAATGTGAACTCGTGAAATACCTCGAAGTTTAACGCCCAGCACACGTTCCAATTTACCGAGGATCTGAGCATTTGGCACAGCTTTGCCAGACTCATAGTCCTGGAGAACTGAGGGCTTCTCGTTAATTTTCTGGGCGACGTCTTTCTGCGACAGTTTGAGTTCCATTCGGGCATCTTGCATCGCCTGGAATTTTCGTCAGCACATCACCGTGAATTTTATTATCGACACACTCGGCCAACCGATGGGGCGACTTTGGCTGGTGGAGCAACCTCGTTGTCACGGTCTAATTTCGCTATTCGCTGGTGGTCGGTGCCTTGTGGGTTGGTCAGCGAGTGCTGAGGCAACTTGTCATCTCGACGCACCCTGGTGGGCTTTATTGCCTCCTGCAGCCACTTTCTTGTCTGTCCCAACGACAGCACCAGCTCTTCGTGCCTGAAGTCCGTCAATGAGCAGTTATGGGAGGTACAAGTGGGCCGACAGCATTGAGTTCAGAGTCCTTTTTGGTCACTTTCGCTACAGTGCGCTTCTGCCCTAGCTTGCGTTAGTCGGAGGATTTTGAGCTCGCCAGCCCTACCGATCACTGTCTTCGAATCCCAGTCAACTTCAGCCATGGTTTGAGTGGTCAAGAACGAACTGCTTTTGTAACGTTGTGACTTGACTCGACTGTTCTCACTCGGCTCCTGCCAGTGTGGCTATGTGTCTACTCACATTTTTCTGAATTCGGAAGTCGATCCGCAATTCCAAACTTGCCACCTTCTCTCTTCCCCGCTTTCCACTCAGACCACTCTCTCTGGAGTCTCGCCTTTGCGATGTGACCATCATATACCTTGTTCAAATTCTTCTTTCACCATCCATTGCGATGGGATCGCGGAATAAGAAACCATGGCCACAGGCGGCCAAAGTAGAACCACAGACCCCCGAGCCGTCGAAACGGACTACAAGGGCCACAGCCAAATCAGCAGTGTCGGTGACACCCTTCACCTCAGTCCACTCCTAATCATGCTGCACAGCGACCAGAACATATCTCAATCAATGGAGCCGCCAAATAACAAGAAACGTAGAAGGGCCTCTCAGAAGAGATCGACGAAAAATTTGACGTTGGTGATCACGACACGGTTCTCCGCTCTCCATACTAATGGCTGAGAACAGCAACGAAGAAACTCCCCAAGTTACCGAAAGTAATGAAGAAGTGGAGCAGCGGCAACCCTCTTCAAAGGTTCAAGGCAAGCGACGGGCGGAGGATCCGGATGATATCGAGCAGCGGCCCGGGAAAAAGGCAAAGAAGACTGATGGTAAAGCAAAGAGAGCGACCGAAGCAAACGATGCGAAAACACTTGGAAGCCCCCGAGAATTGTCCACTAAAGCGGTCAAAATCATCAGCAACGCCGGTACCGGATTATGCAGCGTCTGCCTGGTAAAATCGTTAAACGGCCAACCGGCCCACATTACACCAGCCAGCGAAAGGATGTTCCAGGAGCTGGTCTGTACCATTGACCTGCGCTTCATGAAACATGCTGAAACATATAATGGCAGTGGGTCAAGGCTCATGACTGGGCAATTGCCGAGGAGATCTCCCAGGTTTCTGAGGCTAACGGCATATTTTGTGAGTTATTGTTAGTCCATACTCACAGCTAGGTGCTAATTGCTCTCTCAGTGTGTGCAAGGTGTCACTGGGCCTGGGATAACAGTCGATTCATCTTTGCCCTACCCCTCCGGATGTTGAAAGCCATTGCCACAGAATGGCTCCTGCGCCCCAAAAACGAGCGTCTGTACCTTACCGACTGGATCAAAAAAGAGTACCCCCAGTATGACAACTTGTACCACCTCATCCAACTGCATCCCGACTTTGTTTTACGAGTCCGAAGACCCACAGATGTACCTGCTGATCCGGCGTTACAACTGCCTGGGCGGGATACCTTCCATGTCTTCTCAGCTGTCCTCAAGCATAAGAGGTATAGGGTGACAGCAGGAGAAGGAGGCGATCCCTCCAATGTCGTTTCGCTCCAAGACCGCCTCCATCCATATCGGATGTGGCAATTGCCAGATCACGCAGGTGTCGCTAATTTGTTTGTGATGGCTCTGCATCGTGCTGGCGACGTCAGAATGAAGTACAACTCCCACTCCATTGGTGGTGCAGTGCTGAGCTATCTGTTCCAAATCCGAGACGTGTTGGAGGCTGAACGACTTAGCCCATACGGACGGTCAGAATTACTTCGAAGGATCAAGCTTCCAGACTATGTTGGTAGCCTTTCACTACCAGCTGACGAAGACCAGGATGATGTTACCGACGCAGAATCTCCAGTCGAAACTCTTGGGAAGAAGGCGAAAATGGTTCCCAGGCCTGTCTCAGAGGAGGATCGAGAGCCAGAGAAGAAAGACAAAGATGGGAGGGATCCAGGTAGCAGAGGAGAGAGCCCAAGTCATAGCGGTGGCCGCCCAGGGCCAAGTGCTGACGGTGATGATGATGAAGACGAAAGCGCCAATGATAGCGACGAATTCGCCAACAGCAGCGACGAATCCGAGAGCACCACTGTCTTGCGGTCACATCCTTGGCTCTTCAAAGACTGTAAGCCGGAGACTTTGGCAGAGGAGGCGAGACTCCTACGTGCCTTGGGTTTTAATATATCGGTGTGAACTTTCGTCACGAACATTGTCTGCGTACGTTGTATGTAAGCTTATTCCTCTGGGTCATCCCTCTCAAGCTGCGCGGAAGCCGTTGTCCGGAAGATTCCCCGCAGTGAACGAGGTACACGCAGCCAGTCGAGCAATCAACTTGTCCGCTAGCAGCCGTTTGGACTGTTCTCGCTTGGCTCCTGTCCACTCCTGAATTCTATGGATGCTGGGAGTCTCACCGGCCAACGCGGAATGGGGACCATCTGTTTCGTACTCCAATTCAATTTAGATACCCAACCTCGATCCTTTCCTTCACTCCAAGTAGCTACTATTGGGGACTATATCTAGCTATGGGCAGTATAGGATAGCAAAGAAAATGACTTGTGAGAAGTGTTGTTGGTGGTCTTGTTGTCAAAGGGTCTATCGCGGCCGAGGCCATTCAGTGACTTTTATAGCAACGGTTTCATCCCTTGTGGATCATCAACTTGGGTGCGTCCACATCTCTTTCTCCTTCCTCCCTTCCCCTTCCCGATTCGTTCAAAGGTCCTTTTGGGCTCACTTTCTTTTTCTGCCTTGCCAGTGCTGTTGCGCGAGCGCAAGACGTTGAACGTCCCTCTTTTCAATCTCTTCTCCCGTGGCTAGGCTTGCAACAATCTCTCTGTGAGAGCCACCCATTTGAAGCACCGGAATACATTATATGTGAGCCTCCCTCCGATGCTTTGTCTTGCCACTGAGCATTGTTATTGCAGCGCTAGTAGTTAACAAAGTGCGCATCCTTATCATTCATCGTCTCCTCCCTCAACTCGCCCAGGAAAGCTATGGTTTCGAAGGGTCTCATGGGCTTTTGGGCCCTGCTTGACTTTTTGTTGTTGGCCGCAGGTGGCATGTCCATCGCTCTCTCCATTGTGTGGCGGAAACCAGACATTCTCATGAACCTTGCCCTGAATGACGAATTCCTGACCGGTGCGTCCTCGTCAAACCTTTCCGTCCAGCTTAATCTGACGCTGTGCAGCGGGAATGGTGTTGGGTATCGCCTTGTGCATAACATTTTTGGTCTCCATTGGGGCCGTTGTCCAGCGCAACCACGTCACGATGGGTTTCGTCATCCTCAACTATCTGCTCATCGTCGACGCCATCATTGTCGTTGTTGTAGGGACCATGATTTGGTTCTTCTCCCTCCGCCAACGCGCGGAGATGCACCTCCGTTGGAATGCGTTATCCAACGAGCAGAGAATCACACTGCAGGATGAGGTATACCTGTTCTCCCAATCCTTGTGCCATCTTCTAAGTTTCGCTATAGTTCAAATGCTGCGGCTACTTCAATGCCACTGACACTACCGTCGGAGGCAATTTCTGTGTCTCCCAGGACTTCGCCAACGGTTTGGCGACCAACAACACCGCAAATTTCTGTGTCACACCCATCACCAAATTCACCGATTACACATTGGAGAATACCTTCACGACTGTGAGCATTTTGGCGTCGATCTGTCACTATCGACTGACGTTTCTTCAGATATACGGCTACATCTCTGTCGTTCTGAGTCTCCTCGTTTGTTCCTTGTGTGTCATCAAGAAGGTATGACCATCCATGTGCACCTTGCCACTTAACCCTAACCACCCGTTCTATAGCGACAAGAAGAAGAGCGCTTCAAGAGGATCGACGCTAAACGAGGTGGCCGCGGCTTCGTGTGATGAGTTTCCCCAGAACTCTGCCTTGATTACTACTCCCCCACTTTCACGAACATGGCGATAGAACCTTCCTCACTTCCCTTTTTTCCTGTTGCATAGTTAATTCCGCTCTTTGGTCCTTTATTCCGAATCCTCGTTAGTCGAAGGGTTGATGCTGCATGTAGACAGCAGGAAGAGATTTGAATGTACTTTTTTGTCTCTGACTGTACGTACTCTATTAGTACAGAACCTTGGCCAATCTCTGAACCTCGTTCAGCAAGATGTCCCCCTGCTTTATTACCGTCTCATACTGCGCGTTCTTCTTCAGTGGTCTTGTCGTGTCAACGGTCCCGTGGACTTTGTCGATCGTGCAGTGCAAACGACCAGCAGCGATGAAGCGTGAAATTTCACTATAAGAATACTCAGTAGAATCACCTGGCACTCTTGCAGGACATACTTGTCAATGAACTCGACACTAACACCGAATGCTCCACTGAGGCTTTCAAGCGTAAGACTCCGATAGCTCTCTAGCAATTGGGTGTAGGCAAGTATTCGCATCTCTCGGACGTAAAACCGCGTGTGAGGAGCCAGAATTCGAGACGGAAGCAGATGCGTTTGTTCCAATTCGGCTTCAAGACGATGAGAATGTGTAAACCTTGTAGAAAAGTCCACAGACCTAACGCGACGAAAAACTTATCGTAGTGACAGGCGTAGAGGTTGTTCATGAGCTCGCCGAGAAGAGGAATCTCCGGAAGCACCTGGTTCACTTCCGAAGAGGCGATTATCTAGCAAGCATGGGGGGGTTAGAAAAGGATATCAAGTGAATTTGAATCACCTTTTTCTTGAGATCCACACGAGAAAGCCCAAGAACACCAGCGATGACTGTCATACCCACAAAGTCATTATAGCTAATGAGTTCTGTTGCGGTGAAAGTGGACAAGGCATCAATGAACAAGTCGCCCCCAGTTTTCTAAGGCGGTGGTAAGTAGATAGAGAGAGCAGGACAACCAAGCTACCCACAAACTGCCGGATGGAAAGTAGGTAAAGCCCGCGGTAGACTTTCAGTCGATTGCGTCTGTCCCAATCACCACCTTCGTCTATGAGCGTCTCTGCTTTGCTCAGATATTTGATGATGTCTTCGCGATTTCCCCAGAAGAAAGCAATCCGAACAAGTGTGAGTGCGATGTCAATCCGTGAACCTAAGCCAGGCGTCTTCTCAAAAGCGAGCAGCTGAGCCGCTGACGCGTCCTAACAACACACAATAAATTCCCGACAGCTAACTAATAGACCAACGCGAACATACCTTGTCGCCGATTTTGGTCAAGTAGTTTGCACGACCCCTCAGGGCATCGCTGATCTCAGACTCTCCTTCAGTCTCCTGCGCGTGTTTGAGACGCTCGTCGAGTTTTTCCAGCGCAGACTTGTTCTTTTCATCCAGTTCAGCCAGAAGTGTCGCGTCTAACGGAATGACGGATGATGTCTGGGAGGTTGACGAGGATGATAGTGGAGAGTCTGGTGACGAAACTTGGGTCAACGACCGATACCATGGCCCCATTTCGTTGGCCTTGACACCATCGAGCAAGGCTTTTCGGGCTTCATCGTGGTAACGGGCCAGCGAAGGGCTGGAAATAGTGAAGAGATTCTGTGCAAGTGAGAGGTCAGGAATGGCTAGGACAACGTCGTCGGACATGGTTATGGTGAAAGGGCGACGCGTCTTCGTTACCCCATCCAGTACGTACCGCATTGCTGACATAAGATAGATATATATATTATTATAATTGAATTGATCAGGTATATCATAAATATAATCGTCAACGTCGTTAAATTCCAGTAGGGGAAGGCGTGGTCGTGGGGGGGAGCGGGTCCGTGGCCGGGGTTTGTGGGTCTGTGGCGGGAGGTTGTGGGGGTGTCGGCTCTTCAGGCGCAGAGGCCTCAATCGAGCTGGGAATCAATACCACGGGTGCAAGCCAAGTAGCGGTCAAACAAACGCCATTCCCTTTGTCTTTGCCTTGAATGGTACCCCATATCCATCCAATGAATGTGCCGATATATCTGGACAGTGTTCAAAGCAGATCGAGACAGGACAAATTTAGATACCCAACGTATGGTCCAAGCTTCTGGACCAGAAGGAAGACTGGGAGAAGAGCTGGCGGAACTTGTGACGGATCGACATGAGCCAAAAGCCAAGTCAGCGCAGCTGTAATGGTTCCGGCAATCTTGACCGCTTCAGCTTGCTGTGCGTTGAGGTGAGCCATGACAGGGGGAGGGAGATAGCTGATACTCTGTCAGAACTGCCCCAAACCTGGCATACGATTTACTTACAGTCTGTAGCCCCACCACATAGCCTGGAAGGAGATCTTGGTCGCGGATGGAACCCAAACTTTGACCTGTTTAGTTTCCTGTGGGACCGATTTGACGAGTCCAACGGTGATAGACCAAAGAAAATTCCAACGCGATTGAGATGACGCGGAAACTGGAAGGTTAATGATCTTCGTGTGAGCAAGCTCAAGCTCCGAGTTGTCAGTAGGAAAGAGTGGACAATAGAGCATGACATCGCTGAGGGTTTGAACCGTGTCGCCGTCTGAGTGATGGTCAGGCGAATCAGGAGAGTCGTCACCGCTGGTAGGTTTGCGAGAAGCTGGTGGGGCAAGGGAGTCCAGTGCCTCCCAGACACTACCATGACTATTTTCAGCGGCGCCGTTCATAAAGTCAGGATCGCTCAAGAGTGCGATGAGTCGTTCGTCTTTAATGCGAAATGCCCCTGGAGGAGGTATTGGACGACCATCGGCATCCACTGCCGGAGGATCAGAGCGGACTGGAGGTGGGGTGGGGCTAGGAGTTGGCAGTGAAGTTATGAGAGCACGAATTCGCTGTGCAAGTGTAGCTGGCTCGGGAGGGTCTGGTATCTCCACTTGTTCAATGACGATCTCTGGCTCTGGTTCTGGTTCTGGTTCTGGCTCTTCAACGATCAATTCCGCCGTCTTTTTCGACTTCGGCTTTAGCTTCCCCCCAAGTTTCTTGACACGTTGAAGCGCCGACAACCGTTTCTTAGCAGACGGCGTTGGACTGACGATGCGCTCGAGACTGGAAGGAGCATCATCTCGGCTCATAGTAGTGGAGGGCAAGTGTTCTCGATCATGTGTCATTACTCGATCAGGTACAACGCGAAATCTAAGCAAGACTAATACTTATAGCTATGAGTATTCTATCTTGGCTGAAATAGACTGTCAAACAAAAGTCTCGAGGACAAAAATGGGCTCACATTCGTGCTTCTTGGCTTCTCCAACTTTGCGAGCAGCTTTTGCCAAGTCCTCCTGGATGATGTACTCTCTGAGGAGGGTAAGCTTCCGTTAAGATGAAGGAAAAGAGCTACAAACCGATCGTCCCGGATGGCAAACATACCCGCCTCAGTGATGACATTCCGTAGGTCCGCGCCGTTGAAAGTATCCGAAAGCTATAAACAGTGAGCGAAGGTTCGGCTGGAAAAAAGTGGTTGATACCTTGACAATAGCTTCATAGTCGATTTCACCGTTCTTATTCACGGGTGCAGCGTGAATTTTCAGAATTTCCAGACGAGCTTGCTCATTTGGCAGGGGTACTTCAATTTTGCGGTCCAACCGACCTGGTCGGAGCAGAGCCGGGTCTAATGTGTCTGGACGATTAGTCGCCATTATCAACTTGGTGCGACCAAGCGAGTCGAAGCCATCCATCTGGTTCAGCAACTATGACCACAAAATGAGACATATTCGCAACCAGTCAAATGGGCAAACGCACCTCCATCAACGTCCGTTGGATCTCCCGGTCAGCACTAGAGCCCTCAGAAAACCTACGACCACCAATAGCATCAATCTCGTCCATGAAAATGACGCATGGTTCATGGTCTCTGGCATAACCAAACATTTCTCGAACAACGCGCGCGCTTTCACCGATATACTTGTCGACAATGGCAGATGAGACAACTTTCAAAAAGTTGGTCTGTAGCGTTGCCGCAACCGCTCGAGCAAGAAGTGTCTTGCCCGTCCCTGGGGGTCCATATAACAAAACGCCTTTGGGAGGTTTGATGCCAACGCGTTGGAACAGTTCAGGGTTCATAAGAGGTAGCTCGATTATCTAGATGCGAGTCTCGTCAAGAAAATGTACCCCAAATTAGGATGCAACGCACTTCACGAAGTTCTCGGACTTGCTCGCCCAACCCTCCAATCCCTGCAAACGAGGCATCGCCGGGGTCTTCCAAGCTCATCTTATATACGAGCGGGTCGACTTCGCGAGGCAATATACGAACAATCGTGAGGGTCGTCATATCAAGTGCGACGCGTGTGCCAGCTTTGAGTTTGGCTACGGGAAGCGTTGGTCGGTGAGAAACAACATAGCGGGGACCCGATGAAGCTTTGACTATGACTGATAATTCATTGAGTATCGCAGCTGAACAAGAAGGAGTTGAGTGTTACATCGTTCATCGTCCAACTGCTTCATGACTTCGCCAATAATTTGACCAATCGACTGCACGGCTTTGATGTCCTCTTCAGTCTTCTCATATGCTTTCCCCAGGTCCTTTAATGAGAATCTCACTGTCCGTGTCAGAGAAGTGTGTCCAGCAGACTCAACACGTACAGTTCTTGAGACTCTCACTGGCGGACTCATGGGTTTGCATTTTCTGAGCTTGATAAGTTTTTGGAAGAGCAGAGGACAAGCACGCACTTCGCGGTAGTTCTTGAGTGCATTCTTTCTGCGTTCGTCGATTGCACCAGTCGAAGTAGAAGGTTGGTTGTCAGCCATGGCCAAAGTCAAAGTCGACGCGACGCGTAATGTGTTTGTAACGCTCCTGTCACGCTGAGTCATCTGAAATTGATGTCTTCGACACTCGGAAAACGCAAAGAGCGCGATCCCGATGGGCATGGTTCAACACTCTTTGTCTCTAACTTGCCTTATACCGCGACCTCTACCGACCTCCAAACTCTATTTTCTGACATTGCACCTGTCCGCTCAGCCTTCGTAGTCACTGAATCTGGAACCGGGGTGTCCAAAGGTGTCGGATATGTCTCGTTTACCCTTAAAGAAGATGCAGAATCGGCGTTTGAAACGATATCGACCAACGGAATCTCATTAGTGGGACGGAGTCTACGGGTACAGTGGGCAGATTCGAAGGCAACTACTTTCTCCGTTGTGCCCTTTCTCAATGAATTGATCCATTGCAGCCCAAAGAAAGAGGTCCACGTCCAAAAGTAGACCACAAACCGACGAAATTTACTACGCCCATTGACCCTCTTGCCATTCGTACCATAATCGTATCAGGTGTCCCGTCCGGGGTCGATTCGAAAACTCTATGGAAAAAGTTCCGCAAATGTCCTGGTGCCGTAAAAGTCGATTGGCCAGTAACTGTCGACGATAAAGATGATCCAACGTTGGGTATGTGTTGGCCGCAACAAGTCCATATGCTGATACCCACCAGCTCATGTCTTATTCTCTTCACCCTCTGATGCACTTTCTGCTGTTGGCAAACTTCACGCCCATGTTTTCAAAGGAAGTCTTCTTTCAGTGACCCTAAAAAAACGACAGGACGCGCTCTCCAAACCTCTGGGCAAGAAACTCAAAACTGCTGGTGCCCCCAGCCATGCTAGTCGTCTGATCGTTCGCAACATCCCTTTCGACGCTACGGAACAAGATTTGCGTGCTATTTTCTTACCTTATGGTCCTCTCTACTCGATCCATATTCCTCTAGCCGACGAGACAACTGAATCATCTCCGCCCCGCACCAAGGGGTATGGTTTTGTCTGGATGCTGAGTAGAAAAGATGCGGAGCGTGCAATGGAGGCTTGTAATGGAATTACGCTCTCAGCAGGCGTGGCAGAGGATTTGGTTTCTGACAAACAGAAGAAGAAGAAACAGCGTCGAGTGGAGATGAAGTCCAAGAAACTAGCGGCCGAGGAGATGGAAGAGGACGATGAGCAGGAAACAGGGCAAAATAAAAGGGCACGAGTCATCGCTGTCGATTGGGCACTAAGCAAGGATCGATGGCAGGAAGCACAAGAAAAGCAGGTCGCCGACCAAGACATGGAAACCGAGTCCGAGAGTGACTCTGACAGCGACTCGGAAGACAGTCATGTCGGGGTCCACGATGGCTCCGACAGTGACCAAGATGATAGCGAGAATGAAAATCAAGAGATAGGAAAGCCGCAACTTCCTTTGCCTGAAGAAGGCACGACCTTGTTCGTCCGCAATGTGCCATTTATTGCGACAGACGATGAACTGCGAATATTGTAAGCGACACTTCTCGTCACGAGGACTTTTTTTCTTATTTTCTCAGGTTCCGTGCATTTGGACCACTGCGATATGCTAGAGTGACAATGGATCCAGAGACTGGGCGATCCAGAGGGACCGGTTTTGCTTGCTTCTGGAATAAGCAAGATGCGGATAAAGTAATCGAACAGAGTGACCTTCTTCGATTAGAAGCGACAGGATCAGAGCAAGTAAGTCCGTTATCAGCATCTTATCGCACAGCGAAACTCACTTGCGTAGCCCCCCAAAAACCCCTTTGCAATGCCGTCTCTTCTTACTGCTGACCCCTCATCCACTCTTGCTCAAAGCCTCGTTTTGCATGGTCGAACTCTCGATGTTGTTCGTGCCGTGACCCGAGATGTTGCCACAAAGCTGAAAGAAGAGGGCGAGCGGAAAAGAGAAAAAGCAGACAAAAGGGACATGTACCTGTTACGTGAAGGAGGTTCGTTTCACTGTCGCTCGAGCCTCGATCTTTACTTATGACTTGATCAGTTATTCTGGCCAATACTCCTGCCGCCGAGGCACTCTCAGCAGCCGACTTGGAGCGACGAACTACGTCATTCAACACTCGCAAAGCCCTTCTCAAGTCCAATCCTGCGTTATTCATCTCTCGCACTCGGCTGAGCGTTAGGCAAATTCCTCTATTCGTGACAGAGCGTGGCCTGAAACGCCTTGCCATCCATGCTGTCCGCGCATTCCAGGACGACGTCAAAAATGGAACGAGACTGGAATTGAGCACCGATGAACTTGCGGAGCCGGATTCTGATGGCGAAGAACCCAAGAAGCTGAGCAAAAAACAGCTCTTCGGGAGACGGACCGGCGTCAAGCAAGCCAAAATTGTACGGCAATCTGAACGAGTCGATCCAGTCACGGGAAAAGCTAAAAGCAAGGGCTATGGGTTCGTCGAAATGAATAAACATGCCGACGCGCTTCGGCTTCTCCGTTGGGCAAACAACAACCCTAATGTGATGTCTTTGTTCGAGACGTGGTGGAAGGAGGAGTTGCAAGATCTGATCAAGGCGGAAAAGGCGAAGGGCGAAAACGAACAGGATGATACGCGGTTGAAGAAAATGCAGAGTGAGCTGGAAATTGAGAGTAGGAAAACTAAAGGCACTCTAATTCTTGAATTCTCAATCGAGAATATCACGACCATTCAGCGTCGAGATCGAAAGGAAAAGACACAACAGGTATGCTGGAAACTTGCGTTGTGTACCGGCTAACCTTCGCAGGCTGTGACACAAGAATCCGATCAAGTGGCCATTGAAGAGCGTCCCACTAAAAAACGACGCGTATCAAAGGATGGGCCAGAGAAAAAGCAGACAGAGCACAATCCTGTTGGCTCTTTGATCGGAAGGAAACGAAGGGAACGCAAGCTTGGGAAAGTGAAGGGCAAGTAGTTCTAGAATGTTTTACAGTTGGATTTCTCGATGAACGTCTTGGCCGCCCATTCCTGTGTACCATTCTTTACCAGATATGGTGGGAGAAATGTAGCCAGCACGGATTGTGAAGTCACCAAAACGCTCTCCAGGTAACCTCTCTGACGCGTAGTGTCTGATCATCGGCCCAAGGATGGCCAGAATCTCTCGCTCAGTGACAGTTTCTGCAGTCGGTAAGATCGAGCGAGAAAGCAAGAGCAAAAAAAGGGCTGACCGCGGTAGATCTTGTTCATCCGCTGTCCATAGTACCCTCCTCCCAACAGCATCAGATACGTACCCGGGGCTTTCCCAACAAAGGCCACTTCTAGCGGTCGGTGAAAGTAAGAAGTCGTTGATCCATGCAAGTACGAGGACATCACCTGCAACATATGGCCGTGCACAACCATTGGGACAGCCTGTCATGCGCATGACAATTTCATCGTTTCGCAGGCCATTCGCTTCACAGATAGCTTCAACTTTATCGATGAGAATTGGCAAGTACTGTTCTTGTTAGAGAGAGAGAGAGAGACAACGATGGAGGCACACGTACACGTTCGGATTCCGCCATGGCCAAACCTGTAACCCATCAGTTATGGATAGGGGAGTGAAAATAACCCACCACAAGTGGGAAAAGCGACACAAGCCGAAGAGGCCAATCGTAGCCCAGAATACTCTAGATTATCGAGCTTGAATTGTGCAAGCAGTCGCTTTATTTGCGGCAAGTCCTCTGGCGCAATGTCTGACACACAGAGATGCTGGTTTGTTGTGAGCCGGAAGGTGCCTTTGTGCAGTTGAGCTATCCGCCTTAAACCGCTCTTGAAGTTGCGGTTGGGTTCATCTTGCACTCGTCCGTTCTCGATGAACAGCATGAAATGATGTTTTCCATCTTCTCCAACATGCCAACCAAAATCGTCCGTGTTTTTTTCGAAGGTAAAGGGCCGGGCAGCTTGAAGAGGGTAGCCAAGTAGTTTTTCGACCTCGGCCTTGAAGACTTCGAGGCCCATTCGGTCGATGGTATACTTGAGGCGCGCATTCTTAACGTACTTCAGCACTACAGCGGCCAGATTATCGGTTATACCTTGCGGCTAAAGGAAATGCGTTAAGATATGAGAGGAACAGATGAGTAAGCGCACTCTTGACGGTTCCCATGATCTCGCTGTACAAGCATGACCTTTTCGGCCACGTATCTTCCTTGCTCGACGGTACAGAATCCGATTACGTCTCCAATGCGTGGATACGTTTTTTTGTTGCCGTGAGTAACACCCATTCCTCCGCCAACAGTCACGTCGAATCCGGCCAGTTGACCTTGGGCATCAACAATAGCGATGAAACCTAGGTCATTGGCAAATACGTCAGTGTCATTCGAAGGAGGAACTGCGACTGCGATCTTGAACTGATGGGTTATGTGAGCCTCGATTATTTGTGTTGGCTTCTTATTCTCACTTTACGAGGGAGATAAAATTCTCCATACATGGGTTCGAAGTCTTTGAGGGCCTCACCCGCAACAAGCTTTTTATCCAACCAGATTTCATGGTAGGCAGTTGTCCTCGGAATAAGATGTTCGCTGACTGATTTCGCAAACTCGTGAACCTGCTTGTGGAGTTTGGAGAGAGTTGGTATTGATGAGCACGTGACATTTCTACAGAATGGTCAAGCAAAACGAGTTTCCGATGCAATGGACTCACCTGTTGACATCTCCGCAAGCAGCAAGAGTATCCAGCAAGACACGATTAATGTCTTGGATCGCTGGCTTGAGATGTCTTTTGATAACGCCATGGAATTGGAAGGTCTGACGCGTTGTAATCTTGAACGTGCCACAACCATGCTCGTCCGCAATCTGGTCCATTTGGAGCCACTGGGAGGGTGTGCAGACCCCACCAGGCATCCGAACTCGTATCATGAACGAATATGCGGGTTCTACGCCCTGCAGTTGTCGCTCGTCACGAATGTCACGGTCGTCTTGCTGATAAATACCATGGAACTTGGTAAGTTGACCGTCGCTCGGTGACAGCGCGCCAGTCGAAGTGTCCTGTAAACCTTCGAGGATTGTCCCACGGAGGTAACGCGATGCGGCTTTGATATGCTCATTTGTTATAGTTTCTGGTTCTGCCTCGGTCACCTCAACCGCATCCACACCCATCGCTTTCCATAGGAGTGGCTCCCAAGCCTTATATCCCGTTTGAGCGCCGTCCGCGTCTTGATCGTCGCCCAACCCCAGAAAAGCAAACCGCTCGCCGCCGAGTTTTTCCAACCGAGCATCGAGATCTTTTCCGGGTTTGTTGTAGTAGTGCGAGTCTTCAGGACGGGGCCAGTAATGACTATCACCCATTCCGAAGACGGAGTACCGAAGTTCAGCCAATATACGATCTCCACGCGTCACTGCTGCGTTGAGAGACTTGAAGAAACTTCGCCCATTTTGCGGGGGTTCTCCCTGGCCTGCCGTTGAAGTGATGAATGCAACATGGTGCTTTTTGGAGAGATCTTCAAGCGTGACCGAGTCTAAGATCCCAATGGTAACTGATAAACCACGCGCTTTCCCGCGATTAACCAGTCGTTTAGCCACTTTTTCTGCGGCCCCACCGTCGGAGGCATATAGAACAAGTAGAGGCGGGGCGTCCAAGGCCTGCAGCAAGTCGTTGTAGGATTGTTGCGCTTTCATACGTCTCGATTCCTTCACACTCTCGCCTAAACTGCTGACGAGGTCGCTAGCAATCTGCGGCTTTGAGCGAACAAGCTGAGAAAGATGATTTTGGCGGTCCAAAAATTGTTGTAGATCATGCTTGATAGCATCAGAGTCTAAAGAGAACGGTTCTCTCCCTTGTTGTTCCTCACTTGGGTTCCAACGATACAGTGGCCAATATCCAGTGTCGACAGCGACCTTGGTTTCTTTGAGCACATCGAGTGCAGACGAACTTTCGCTCTGATACGGAAGATACGCCAAGACAATACTGGGACCATCAAAGCGGTCTGCTTCGATGAGCGATTGGAGGACTTGAGAGTAAGAAGAATAGACGGCAACGCTGGCAACGTACACGTCTCCGTGATTCATGGCGTACAGTCCAACATCATGCTTCCTTCGGTTTGACTCTGCAGTGTTACGGGTCGAATAGGGCAGAGTGTCAAGAATGAGAAGGTTGATGTTCAATCCAGAGGAAATAGCGTGATGAAGACCGGACGCTCCGATATCGTATGACCATGCATCAGACCCAATGATCCATCGAGACAAAGCAGGGAAATTGGAACGCAAAGCCAAGATAGTAGTAGCGGCAGGATGGACAACAGGTGATTGTTCGAGACTTTTGACGATGTCCTCACCGAGTTGGCAACTTTTTTGAGGGTCGTTTTTAGAAAGAACCCAGCTAGCTAGAAGAGCATGTAGGTCGGAATCCAGGCCTTTTGCTTGTAAGAGCATTTGGATGGCTTGGACCAATTCTTCCCGCTGTTCCAGTTGTCCCCGAACTCTGCCGAGTGCATACTCGGGGGTGGTCGCTACTTCTCCCTCCGAAGCAACAAGGTCAGGTGAGTTGGAGATTTCAAGTCGCTTGCCAAATAATCGTGAGAGAATCTTTGTATAGGATTGTTCGTGCTTGGGCACATGAGGGCCGACAGAAGTCGTGGGAGCGGTGGTAATAGTCCCGAGCTGCAATGGAGCAGCGTTGTGCTCTATGGCCTGTACAAAGCTGTCTATGTCGGCTTGAGTAAGATGGGTGACATCCCCCAGAATGCCACTCTGGATCACGAGTTTGTGGGCTGCTTCTTGCTCTTGGAGGGCAGCGACAACATCAAGATACAAAGGCGTCCACTTGACCGCCCAATGACCAATCTGTTCAAGAACAACCACGCGCGAAACTGACTCGGGAATTGCGTGGAGAATGTGTCTGGGAGGAAGGGGGTTCAACAGGCTGACAAATGCGAGAGACACGCCTTCGACATTAAGCGCCAAATCTTGCAGACCGAGAACAAACACTATTGTGTGGGGATTTGGTGATCCTCGTCTGACCAATAGAGGGAACGGACGTCGAACCAACGAGAGAGTCGCAAGAGCCGCGGCTTCATAAGCAGCAAAGAGTTGGTGGGAGAGGGTTTTGCCCTTCGGAACCCCGTTTATGACGGGGGCTACGACAAATGGAAGGACTTTCTCTTCAGGGAGCTCGTCCTCAATCGGAAAGCCAGAGTTATAGACATGGACGACGAGTCTATGTTCTGCACGAGCCAGGCGAGAGGAAAGAAGGGCGTTGTCGTGAGCCTGCTGTGAAGACCACGAGAGGATGAAATACGGGGCAGCAGGGCGGAGTAGAAGAACGTCAGAAAGGTCAGTTGCTCGAAGATGTAAGACAATTGGAGCGTCTGCAAGTTGGGATAGATGAAGGATAAGTTGGGCCACGAGTTTGGGGGTCACTGTGGTAGTCAGAGAGACAAGAGATGAATTTCGACTGTGTGAAACCAACGCAGAAGTGGGGTCGGCGTTGGCAGCAATGGGGACCACGTTGGGTGATGGGGAAAGGGAGGGCTGAACTTCCAAAGCAAGGTCGGAGGCAAGACGGGCGATACGGACCACAGAGTCCATGGTCAAGAAATCTACATTCCAAAGCAATTCGCAAGAAACACGAATCTGCTCGTGACCAGAACACTGTGACTTCCTTTACGCCGTCATTATGGGACTCTTTAACCGCAAATCCAGTGACGACGAGAACAAGAAGGAGAAGGGTGGTTGGCGGAGACCGGCCAGTACGTATCTTCTCCCTTGAACAACCGCATTAGACTGACCCTCTTAGATACGGCCTTCAAACAGCAGCGATTGAAAGCATGGCAGCCGATCCTCACCCCGAAAACCGTCCTCCCCACCCTATTTATTGTCGGAATTCTCTTTGCGCCAATTGGCGGTCTCCTCATATGGGGTTCCTCCCTCGTCTCCGAGATGACCTTTGACTACACTGACTGCGAACGGCTCACTCCCTCTGAATCCAATTCAACGCTTTCATTTTCCACAATGCCGTCGAATCGATTCAACTATAACCTCCGTTCTGCAGACTCAAAGAAGTCAGTTGCTGCGCCAACTTATGCGTTTCTCGATAACACAAGTAACGACACTGTTACCGACCTATCCGCCAAGAAGCAGTGCATCATCGAATTCAATGTACCTGCAACCATCGAACCCTCCATATTCTTCTACTACAAACTCACGAATTTCTACCAAAACCATCGTCGCTATGTCAAGAGCTTGAACTCGGACCAGCTCAAGGGCAAACATGTTACCGCCAGCTCTTTGGAGAGCGGCGATTGCAAACCCCTTGCGAGTCGAGATGGGACGGCCATCTATCCCTGTGGTCTTATTGCCAACTCGATGTTCAATGGTGTGTTGCCTTCCCCGCATCCGAATGTTTTCTGATCTCTACAACGGACACCTTCTCCGACCCTGTTCTGCTCAACCCTGGCGAGAATGATGCTCCAAGTTATCCTTTCCACGCCAATGGGATTGCTTGGCCCGGAGAAGCCAAGAAATATACGGAAGACCCCGTCAAGGCAGGAGTTTACAAATCCTATGATGAGCTCGTCCCTCCTCCTAACTGGGTGTTACGTTACGGGACCACTTACAACGAGTCCAATTTCCCAAACCTCAAGACGGACGAACGATTCCAGAACTGGATGCGAACTGCGGGTCTCCCGACATTCACCAAGCTGTATGGCCGAAATGACAAAGACAAAATGACCTCAGGCACTTATCGAATCATAATCGGTCTTAGTCCGTTGATTCTAAGTCTTTTCTGCGGACACTGACTGGTATGTCTAGATTTCCCTGTCACACCCTACAAGGGCACCAAGTCCATCGTCATTTCTACGGTGTCGTGGATAGGCGGGAAGAATGCTTTCTTGGGGTGGGCGTACGTCGCAGCAGCGTCCCTCTTCGTTCTGCTTGCCATCGCAGGCACTGCCCGCCATCTCATCAAGCCGAGGTAAGAAGACTGCACTTGGATCTTGAACACAGTTCTGACTGGCAAAAATAGGCGTCTTGGAGACATGTCGCTACTTTCGTGGAATCGGTGAGAAGGAGTCACGACCTTATCATTTGTACAGAGGCATATATCATATTTATTCGGTACTGGCTGAGTATCCTATTCCTTTACAGCGGATGACTGTTTGGCCCGCTTCAACCGAAACGTTGAATTTTGCGTTTGTTAGTTGTTCTGCGACCCAAATGGCCGTTCTGTCGCTCATTAGCTCCTACATATTTGTCATCTAGTAATATAAAATACGCGCCGTGTATGCAAACTGAGACCACCTGTGCCGCATTGGATCTCTGAAGAATTCTCTGGGCTGGCAAGGGCCATCAATATCACAATTTGGTCTTGCAGGTACTCATCGACAACTCCACCGTTGTCCAAGCCTCGAATTAACTCTTCAGCAGCTTCTGAGCCTACCGTAGCAGCATCCTTTTGCTTGCTTCCGACAGCGCTTCCTCCTGAGTAGTCGATGTTAGACTCGAGCTTGGCAAAGACGAGCAACTTCAAACCAATGATACCCCCACCGGACAGCTCAGCCCAGAGCACAATTCCACTGCCTCCGCCCACGGTATTATCATTTCTTTCCCGAGTGCCTCGGATTTGGATAGGTATAGAGTCTGAAACGAAGCCTTGTCGACTCAGCCGTTCGATGGCGGAATCCCGCATCTTGTCAGCAAGGTGAGAAGGAAGTCCAGCAACATGAGCAATCCCTTGAATAGAAGTCACGCTTCCTCGTTCCATGACACTGGCCGCTTTCAGACGATGCGAAGGATTGACAGTGACGTGGATTTCCCCTCCACCTCTGGTGCAAGGTCAGCTGGAATCTTGTATGGCTGCCGGTGGAGCAATACTTAGGAAAGTAGCCTCTTCGGCGCAGATTGAGCTCGACCGTAAGCCCAAAATGACGCTTGGCAAATGGGAGGAAAACATGTTGGATGTAGTCTATCTGAGGGGCGCCTGTGGCATTTGTGCCACCCTTAAGCGTGAGGGTCGATGATTTCGAACCAAAGAGCAGCAGGGGGAGGGCTATTTGAAGTAAAAGAGCCGAAGCTCCAGCAGTCTGTGGGTCCTATTTCCACAATGCGATTGAGCGCGAAAGGAAAAAGACGAGGATTAACTTCAACCGACAGCATGATAATCTCCAGGTATAATTTCTCCAGGGCTGAATTCTATGGTTTCTGCCCCATTGGCAACCCCAACTATGTGGGCAGAGGAGATTCGGGCAGCAAGCTCGAGTCCAGTGCGATGTTGAGTTTTCAAACCCGGTGGGCGTCGTCCTTGGCGTATTTTTTGGATTGTGATCGGCTTTCCCAGAAGAGCAGATAGACTTGTTGCATTTCTCAAAATCTGGCCTCCTCCTTCGAGGATGCTGCCGTCGATGAATTGCATTGGAGACGGAGTCAAGTCTTGACATCAAATTATGATCCGTTGATTTGTGGCAGCGGAACCAACTTGATCTTGTTTCTCGATCTACGCACAGCAAGTGCTGCAGACGGTTGTTGACGATGGTTTTAACTTGTTATTCGGCCTGTACTAATGTAGACAATACGGTAATCATACTTACTTTTCCTTCTCCCTGACCCACTGTTGAAACATTCTCCCTGTACCACGGCGCTGACTCCACTCGCCCGCCCATCTAGATTGTTATGGGCCAACTCCAAAAAGTATCGCCAGACTTGGCAGCGCGGTATGGTCTGCCTTCTACCACCCAGCCGATCTCACAGCTAGTGGATTTGACCATCTCGAACTGATTCGCCATTGTCGAGTAGCGTGTAATCGACGGGAGGCGGGGGCAACAACTGAGGTGGCGCTGGAGGCTTCATGTAAGGCAGACCATACGGATTGAAAGCATGAATGTTTGGCGGAGGAGCGACGGGAAACGTTGGTTGTGGAATAGCTAGAGGGTTGTGCAAGGGCTCCATGATCGATTGAGGGTAATATGTTGGATAGCAAGCGTCCTGGCTCGTTTGAGTCGTTGGCGTTGGGTCATTCGGGCCAGCGTAGAAAGTTGAATAGGCGAAACCGATCGCACTTTCTTCTGTGGCCACGCCTGGCAGTGGAATTACTGGATCCATTAGCACCCTGAATTGAGCTGGGCAGACCTGCAAAACCTATTGCATTCCGCTTCTTATAAGGACCACGTTTGGCACCCTTCTTACGTTCCTTTCTCTGCAACTAGTTAGCTGGTACTTGAACCGTCAAAGTTAAAATGACTTACAGGAGAATCAACACATTCCTCGATACCGAACCTAGCACCAATAAGACCTATTCAAGGAACAAAGGAAGACACAAACCCATATCTCACACAGCGTCTGCAGGAGATCAATACCAGTCCATTTTCTTGTTTAGCGAGACTGACCTGCATGGCCGCGAATCATCGCAACCTTTGCTGGCTTTCTGACACTTCGTGCACGCATTCTTAACTTGTCTCCGCTTTTTGGGAGGGCCGGCAGAAGTCCCTTCGTCTGGCAACATCGACGAACCTTCCTCAATGCGAGCCATGACAAGAGGAGACAGGTGGTTTAGGCGTGTCTGCTTAGCACATTCACACACCGTGAACGTAATTGTATCGAGCGGCCCATGTTTCTCCGCGAGCAATCCCGGGCTCAAACAGGCGCCTTTTGAGAGCCCTCAGATTTTGTCGACACGTAGTTGTCTGATATTCGCAACCTTTTAGTCACGTGCGGGGATCAGTCTCTTGGTTGGCAACTGGTAAACTCGTTTACGATTGCCAAAAAAAATGGCAATAATTTGTGCTCATCGTGAACGAGCTCTACTCATTGGCGCGGTCTATGCGTCATTACAGCACTGCCAAATGCTATCGGGGAGAAACCTTTCAGTGGATTCGGTGAGTGCGGGCCGAGTGTGGGGAACCCACCATCATTGATCCGTTGGCATATTATTGGACTGTAAATGTTTCCTCCAAGAAGAAAAACTGCAGAGCGTGGAAGGTGGGTGAAAGACTCAGAATCTGACAAAATACTCGCATATTCAGGGCAATATCCCATTGCCTTCCACGTGCCACCAAAAATCGAGCTTTATCATGATCATGTCACGCACTCCAGCCTGCTTTTTCGTGCTTCGTCGTCTCTACCATCGATATCCGCCTCGGATTATACTCCCAGCCTTCAAAATGGCCGACATCGACGGTCCTCCGGCCAAGAAACAGAAATTAAATCCCCCAGAAAAGAAGGCTGCGAAGAAGAACTCCAAACGACAGCATCGCAAAGACCAGCGTAACTCACTTCCGGAACCGTGTTCCAACGAAGATGTCCTCTGGCAGGAGATAAAGGAAGTTCTTGGGGAGCAGTATGTCGACGATGCATTAGAGCAAGGAACTGAACGCGACTCTCCGTTCGAATTCCACCAAGAGCTTCAAGTACAAATTGTTGCATTGAGTTCGACTGGTATGCTCATACGTTAAAATTACTTCTTCTTCCGCTCATATAAATGCGGCAGGCTCTGCACTTGCGACAGCTGTAGATAGCTCACGACCATGGGTTATTGTGGTTCCCTTCTCACTTCCAGGCGAAATTGTGCGGCTAAAAATCTATCGGAACGCCCGTTTGCACTCGTTTGGTGACTTCATCGAGCTCGTGAAACCAAATTCAGAGCTGCGGGACGACAGTCGTGTAAAGTGCCAGTATTTTGGACGCTGTGGGGGTTGTCAATATCAGGTAAGTCGTAATTCCAAGTCTAGCCTAGCCTTCAATTTTTAGATGCTTTCCTATGATACACAACTTGAACTCAAACGGGATGTGGTAGTGAAAGCTTACCAAAAATTCTCCAGTGCGTTTTTTTGTCGATCTTCGACACTGAAGTTTATTCTATCGTAGAACTCCCGCAAACAGCACTACCCCCCATAGGATCCACGCTTCCCTCTCCGTTGCAATACGAATACCGCACCAAAATTACCCCTCACTTCGAGGCGCCCACGAAAAAGCAACGGAATGATCCAAACAATCCCCAAAATGATATCGACAAGCCCGACTGGTTCAGGATCGGAATGAACGAAGCCGGCAGCCAGAGAGTTGTCGATATTGAAGACTGCCAGATTGCATCGCCTACAATCCGTCAAGCGTTACCAGAAGTTCGGGCAAACGCCGTCAGGTTCGTACTCAGTCGACCACCACAAGTCGTAACGGCTGATATATGTGGCTCAAAGAAACCTGTATAATTACAAAAAGGGCGTATCACTCATCCTTCGTGATTCCCTTCCAATACCCTCCGCTGATTCGGTGGTCGACTCTTTGGCTACAGACCTTGACAAGCATGTGTGTGTTACAGACCACAGGGGAACAATCCGCGAGAGAGTCGGGTCATTGCTGTTCGAATATCCTGCGAGCTCCTTTTTCCAGAACAACAACTCAGTTCTTCCATCGCTCACATCTTACGTCGAGGCACAAATTTTCGCAGACAAGACCTACAAGCCAACCCATCTGGTAGACGCCTATTGTGGTGCCGGGCTCTTTGCCATATCACTTTCTCCACACTTTGAAACCGTTGCCGGTATAGAACTATCAGCCGACTCCATTCGTGCTGCAACACGTAATGCGGTCACCCTCAATTCTATACCTGCTAGCAAGATCTCTTTCCGTGCGGGCGACGCTAAAGACATATTTTCGGCTGTTGGTGATTTCCCTCCACAAGACACGGTCGTGATTATCGACCCCCCACGGAAGGGTTGCGACGAGCCTTTCATCAAACAACTGCTGGCCTTCAGAGCTCGCACAGTTGTTTATGTCAGCTGCAACGTCCACACACAGGCCAGAGATGTTGGCATGATCCTGAACGAGAACAGAGAGGCAGGACGCGGGAAATATGTCTTGGAGAGCCTGAGAGGCTTTGACTTGTTTCCCCAGACCGCTCATGTCGAAAGTGTTGCCACGCTGAGGCTTGTAGAGGATTCGTAAGCTTCGAATATACTTTACAATTTGTTGTCATCGGTTCTTATTTCCTTCGTGCGTTCCATCTCCATCTCACAAGCCCACAAGGCAGCCCCAACAGTTGAAGATAGGGTGAACACGGGTCCGATGACAGGAATAAGGCCTAATGCTAGAGCGGATGTTCCAAACCTGGACAACAAGTAGCATACAGAAATGATAGGTGCAGAAGCACCTACGCTAAATACGATCCTTTTCGACGTGTAACGAAGGCGTCGCGAGCGGCGGGACCCATGGATTTGGACTGGAAATAGTGCGAATGGAATGCCGGGCCAGACTTGGCGCCTGTTGAGGGAAAGTTTTAGACTGGAATTGAGGAATGTTGGAAGCTGGATACCATTGTACAGCAGGAACAAAATGGTTCCCAGACCCGGAACCAGATTTAACGGAAGGGACACGATATACCGAAGGATTCCTTCTCGGCTGAAACGACGGAGTGGTTTGCTGAGTGACTTGAGCAAACCGCGACTACGGCTCTTTCGTTCGACATGGACGAGGGGAATACCCTTGATCCGGAAAACTGCGTTGACTAGGCGGTATGAGTAATATCGGATGTAATCAAAGGAAGGTACCAGCATAGTTGTTCTTGCGCCTGGTCAAGGAAGAAGGCCCGACACACGAACATAGTGAGGACGTATGCTTCACCCAGCACCATTGTTGCGGCAGCAGCAAACGCAAACGGACCCAACATCGCGCAGAATGCGACCAGAGGCAAATAGGTGAAGAAGAAGGCTGCAGTCGTGATGGAAAAAGCAGTAAGCAGGAATTTGAGAATCAACGGCGCAAGACTATGGGCGATCGACGCGTGCGACAGCGAGAATAGAATGCCTAGTATAGGATACAGCCAGGCCCCAGAGAATACTGCATCACTGATTATGTTCGTCGCGTCTGCGAGAAGATTCATCGTGGTTCAGGGTAGGCACACTCGCGATCATGTGCTGATGTGACATCGTGACACCTACTTCCCTCTCTACTCTTGCACTCCTTACTTACTCAAGCGATACATAGAACATTATGGCGGGACGATTCCCACATCACCAGATATCGGTATCATTACCGACTCCTCCTCGAACTACCCATAAACGCAAAAGGGTCAATGACGTCGAAGGTGGCTCATTCACCTCCGACGAAGAAGACGAAAACAGTACCAGAGCTCGAGCAAAGAGAGTCAGAGATGCCGAGTCTGAAGAGTCCTTTTGGCTCCAGGGTCCCTCCAAATCCAATTCACTCCTCCTTTTCACGCGTAAACAAGAACCGTTCACTAAACAACTTGAATCTCCTCCCCACACACCAACCACCAAATCTCATTTTGCATCACCGCCGACCACCCCACCGTCCAAACCGGCGCCAAATCTTACCTTCAGAGACTCGCCTGATAATCCATTCCTCGCAACTCCCATCGGACCAGACGATGAAGTCATTGTGACCTCGGAATCTGTGTTGCGCGAGGAAAAACCGACAATGACTTATGTCTTGTATGTCTTTCTATGCTTCCGCAAGCACTGTTAACAGTCCATAAACAGCCGAGGGATCCGTCGTGACTTTCCAAACCCCCATTATGGTGTACCACCTAACCCAAACTCACAACTCCCGCCCGAACACCCTGATTTCGAACCTGACGAAGCAGCAGTTCCCAAATTACTATTTGGGGTTAAATCTCGTCAGACGGCTCGGTCTGCTCAACAGTGAACAGCAGTTTTGCTTCATATTCTACTCTACCTGCGACACATATCTTTTCGTCTGTATCTCTTAGCAACCATATTGGGACTTGGTATAAAAATAGTTTTGTTCTAATTCACCAAGTGCTATGCATGCATTTCTACGGCGCCCTTTGCTAATGGCTCACTTTCCCGTGTCACAAATGCTCGTGTGCACTGGGCCATAGTCACCGAACTGTCGCGTTATTAGCACAAATCGGAAATGTTGAAGGGAATAGACATACGCTCGGGAAACGACGTCCGTTTGGTAGAAATTCGTGATGGGCAGCTCTAATTTTTGTCCAGTGGCCGCTTTCTTCTTTCCCGCTAGAGAAGCGAGGCCTGCCTTGGCGACCGGCAACGAGGTCTCCTCCAACGCATCCCATCTCACCAACGAAGGAGAAATCGCCCACATCCGATCCCTGACGCTTACAACATCATCATATGGCAGATCAACGCCGACAACCTCAGCCAACGCGCGGACAATCTTCCAGTCGTCACGTGCCGCACCAGGAGGAGGGACTGCGGCGCGTCCAAGTTGGCTACGGCCTTCGGTGTTCACCCAAGTGGCGCCTTTCTCGGTATAAGCTGCGCCAGGTAGACAGACATCAGCCAAAGCGGCTCCACGGTCACCGTGATGTCCCTGGTAGACGACAAACGCATCTGCCGGGATAGATGCAGGGTCAATTTCATCGGCATTGAGCAAATATATGAATTTAGGAGTGGTAGACGCGGCAGCACGGGACGGGACGAAGCCAATTTCGTATGCAGCAGGTCGGGAGGCCACCTATAACTCATGAAAAAAAATAAAGGCACAACTTGCGGTAATACGCACCCTTTGTAGAACGTTGAATCCATTCCAATCGTCACGAACCAAACGAGTTCCCGCAGACTGGATATACTGAGCAAGCATACTGAAGACAGCTTCTCCATCGACATGCTCTCCAATCGCGCTTCCAACGATAATCATTGGTCGCTCGGCTTTCGCCCAGCGTTCAGCGAAGTCGCCATTGGTCTTGCCACCAAGGAATTTCTGCAGGGCTTTGGCGTCTTCACCTAGATGTTCGTATGCATATGTGGTATCGGCACGGGGCCCAACCATTCCAACCACGAGCTCTGAGTGTAACCAGCTCTTGCGTATCCGTGAGTTGAGGACGGCCGCTTCATGTCTAGGGTTGGTGCCGACAAGAAGAATGGCATCAGCACTTTCTAAACCCGGAATGCTGCTATTGAAAGAATAATTCGACTTGATGTCAACACCGTGAACTGGTGGAGCGTCACCAGATTTGTCCGCTAAGTCACTTGCAAGGTTGTCCGAGCCGAGCCGATTGACCAAGTCCTTCAAGACCACAAGACTTTCGGTATCTGCTAGATGGCCAGCAACAGCTTTAATCTCGTTACCTGATGCGCCAGTACGTTTGAGGCCGTCAGCAATGGCGGAAAGGGCGTCAGGCCAAGACGCAGCAACGAAGCGGTTGTCGGGGCCTTTCACGAGAGGTGTTGTGAGCCGCTGTGTGCGCAGGCCATCGTAAGCATAACGAGTTTTGTCACTAATCCATTCTTCGTTGACATTGTCATTGGTGCGTGGCTGGATTCGCATGACTTGAACGCCACGAGAGTCAACACGAATGTTGCTGCCAACAGCATCGAGAACATCAATGCTCTCCGTGTTCTTTAATTCCCACGGTCGCGCTTGGAAAGCATAGGGCTTGCTCGTCAATGCTCCGACTGGGCAAAGGTCGATGACATTGCCAGAAAGCTCGGAATCCATCATTTTCTCCACATACATACCAATTTGCAGATCGTTTCCGCGACCAGTTGTACCCAAATCTTCAACCCCAGCGACTTCATTAGCGAAGCGGACACAACGAGTGCATTGGATGCAGCGATTCATAGAGGTCTTGACGATGGGCCCCAAGTCTTTATTCGAGACGGCGCGCTTGCCTGTTATCTCATGGAAACGAGTGCGGTCGGAACCATAACGAATGGACTGGTCTTGTAGATCGCATTCGCCACCTTGGTCGCAAATGGGGCAGTCGAGGGGATGGTTGGCGAGAAGAAATTCCATTACTCCTTCACGGGCCTCGTGGACAAGCGGGGTGTTGGTGAAAACCACTTGACCGTTCATGGCAGGTGCCGCACTGGAGGAAGAGTAAAAAAAACTCGACACCAAAAAAGGGAGAGAACGAGCCATGACGCAACGGGTTTTGGTGAGCGTTGTACCTCGACGAGGCACATGCTATCATCAGGTCATTAGATTGGAGAATGAGTGGTGGGTTAGCCTCAAGACCCACCGGCAATTGCCAGCTATAGCGAGCCTAGGAAGAGTTAGGCTACAGATTCGAATATTTTGAATGCGAACCTATCATGGTAGCAGAATCTGGAGGAAATAAGCAAACCTCGTCGAAGAAAACGCGACGGGGACTAACCTGGGTATTGGTGATCCAGCCGCTTCACAGGCCTGTATGAGAGCGGAGCCTTGAAAATACTTAGGAGGAGGCTTCTTGCGAAGAAAGAAGACACACCTTGCGGTACAGTCACCTCTTTACCGTCGACGGTAAGGGTGATGTCGGCCTGACGAGCGGATGTGGATGCGATATTCCTACGGTCTGAGGAAATAAGAGAGTGGTGAAGACAGGCATAGGGACTACGGACTTGCTACAGCAAGTCGAGTTGGACGAGAAGCAGACGCGACTATACGAAGCATGGCTCGACAGCGTCAACGTCGTTGACGAAGAACGCGATGCCAATTGGTTGGAGGTAAGGAGTGATGGCATCAAGGATCAATTCCAGAGCGAAGACCGAGATTTGATAACACGCGTATTTTATTCAGCTCAAAACTTAACAGCGATTACAAGTGCGAGTAGCAATACGCAAAGAGACATCCATACTATGCGCAGACTAGGAGGTCCGATCGTCACCGCTTCCTCGAGAGCAACTTCCAGTTGTGATGCCATTGTCTCCATGCCAAATACGTCGCGTGCTCTCCGTTTGGCTCTCCGATTCAGCTGAACACGCTCCTCTTCACTGAGAGCAAGAATTTCCGACAGGCTTCTGGCCCACTTGTCCGCATCTGGTGGCCGCAGCCAACCAGTCTTTTCTGCAGGAGGGGCATCTACAATACTTTCTGTTGGACCCCCACTGTCGCAAGCAAGCACAGGAAGGCCACAACACATAGCCTCGACAGGGACTATGCCGAAATGTTCGTTGGATGGAGTATAGAGGAGAACGCGTGTCGACGGGGCAGTCAGGAGAGCCGTTCGTTGTTCATCGGAAAAATTGAGGAGAAACAAGATATCAGCGTTTGAACAAGCGCCGTCAAAGTGAGGAAGTTGAATAGAGGAAGTTGAGGGAGTGATGACGTTGAACGTAAGGGTGTGCGCGATAGTGAGTGCCACAAGAGACGACAGAGTCTGTACATTGTCTTCTAGTCGTGGATCGTAACCACCTTGATGCAGTTGATCAACGCAAATGAAGGAGAAAGTACAAAACAGACCCCCAAGAACGAGACGTATCGTACCCAGTTTGGTTGTTTGGGTTGCTTGTCTCAGCTGAGCGAAGGATTCCACAGCTAATGCTATGTTTTTTTTCTTCTCAAAGCGATTCAGTGATAGCAAGGTTAGTTGATCCCTTTCATAAAGTTGAGCAAGACTGCAGGGAGACAAGCAATACTCACGACACAATGGCGGCAATGTCTGGTTTCGATGTGTCGAACTCTTGCTCATACGCGGAGATATTGATTCCAGGGTATACGGTTGTCGGGGTTTGCTTGATTGATGTAAAATAAGACTTGAAAACGCGAGCGGTGAATTTGGAATTGGATAGAATGACGTCGGCCTGTCCTGGAGACCTTCAGTATGAGTAGTCAGTCTGATAGTTGGTTTTACGCGTCGTGACTTCCTCAAACCAGTCCATGGGATAGCGGTAGATGCGTTTCAACAGGCTTGTGCGACCTCGTCTGAGGTTTCCTTCGACAAATTCTCCTTCCGCCAGCAGTTTGTCTGGAAAGTGACAATAAAACACGACTGGTGCCCGACCAAAGAAACGAAGAAATGGAACACATGTTGAGAGTTGATCGACGAAATAGACGTCGTATTGTGGTGCCCAAGGCGCGAGGAGATGCAAAGTTAAATGCAGTTGTCTTGCGTGGGCGAAGAGGATATGGAGTTTTCCTTTCAAGGAACGGGGGAAAAGGAGGGCGAATATGATTAACCTGGAGCTGGCCATTCTTTGTCTCAATAAAACATCGGTTGGGATCATGGTGTGAAGTGTAAAAGACGACAGAATGACCTCGTCGTTGAAGGCCGATTGCAGCGTCAACGACAAGTCGCTCAGCGCCGCCTGAAACTATTTGAACTGACTGGCGATAGCGGAAATACCACTGCGTACCTATTCCAAGGTCAGGATGAACCATACATATTTTCATTTGGTGGCAGTTTGAGGCAAGTCGTGTCATGTGAACACAATCTGTACTTGACTTCAAACTCGGAGCTCTGCGGAGGCCACTACCTCGCTGAAGCACAATTCGCAAGGATTTTATGATGCTAAACAACCATATACTGGAAGAATGTTTGCTGCGCAACTCCTGGTGGCTAGCACAAACCATGAACCGACGTTCCGCGATCCTATCCTCTGTCCTTATTGGTTGCTTTCACTACTCTGTCTTTGTCGCCGGAATGTCGGCTCAAGCTCGTCTGAATGGCTCAGAGTCTCATCCAAATCAAATCTCAAGCGACATGGGCGTAGAGCACATCTGCAAAGACCGGTTTTCACCACCGAAGTCCAACACCCACGAGGTTTAGTTTGGGTCTCGGAGAGCTCTGAGAAAAGCGTGTGGGCGTTTCTCTTAGGACTTTGGACCTCTATTACTGATTTTTTAGGCATGGTACAAGGGTTACTGTGTTGTGGAAGCTGTGCCCCCCAGAAAATTGCATCTTCTCGTTCAACGAGCAAGTTCATGATTGACGTTGTAGTCCAAGATTGTCCCCAGAGTCGATAGAGGAAATGAATTGTTGCTGTCTGAACGTTTTGAGTTGTGTTTAGTGGGGTATCGGATTTCCTTGTTCTGAACGACCATCGAGACAGATTCTTGGCTTCTGCATGGCTTCCACCAGCATGGCTCAGGCTGCATATCTCTTACCAGGAGTTCCTGTCCACCAACCCTCTCATCTCGACGGCGATCCTTCTCTAGCCACCGAAATCTTGCCAGGCCCCCCTTCAATTCTCTCCGTCCAGCAGCCTCACAAACGCGACCCCAAGAAACCAGTTTACTCGTATCTTCATCCAACAGACCCTGGCTCAACATACTCTGGTATTGTTCACGGTACTATTGTCGCCCAGGAGGAAGCCTTGAAAGGCAAGCGCAGGTGCGTATTACTCAACTATTTCACGACAAAATCCAACCTGTCATCTCGCAGTGCTGTCTCAGGTCGTGCGCAACGCGCTTCTGCTCGTAACCATAACGGGGCGGTCTCTGGCGAGGTGCCAGAACCGTCTCTACCTGTATCAGAGCCATACATCATGGTCGTCGATGACGATACCTCCCCATCCCGTTCGAATTCACTACCCGCGGTTGACGCAGGTATTGCTGCGACAGACAAGACTCGTCTTAGGGAAAAAGGGAAAGGCAGAGAGATTGAGCCGGCAGTCAGGGTGAAGGAGGAACCAAGGACCATGTCTTTGCATGCCACTCCCGACCCCCCAAGTGCGTAACAATACTTTCTCGGTGCTGACAAGACACCTGAATACCCCCTCAGATCAACAACGATGACCATTGCTCTTCATGTCGCTCACATGGGGCACTCGTCTATTGTGACGGCTGCCCTCGTGCCTTTCACCTCTGGTGTCTCAATCCACCCATGGACCATATTGATGAAGGAGATAGTCGTTGGTTCTGCCCAGCTTGTGTCATCCGCAAGGTGCTGTCCATATCGCCCGACTCTTACCATTCGCTAACGTGACGTGTCAGCATCCTCCACGGAAACCACCTCCTGGCCTCTTTTCGCCACTCATCAGTCAGCTTCAGGCCTCTTTTCCTACGGAGTTTCAACTGCCAGAAGACCTTCGATCATTTTTTAAAGACGGTGCGGTTGGATGTTTAGCGTTTGCCCCCCTCTAAACTCAATAGTGGGAACTGGTCCCAAGGGCAGTTATGTTGACACTTCCGTGGTCAGGCAACCTCGACTAAAGTACGTATCTCATCATCAGTATTGTTCTTACCAACTGGTCCGGTAGCCGTTTCGGCCTCGTCGACGATCGAGATTCTCAAAGACTGCGTGATAAAAATGGGGGCCCCGTTCTCTGCTTCAAGTGTGGAACTTCCTCTCTTCCAACAGCCCTGGTACCGCCACCACCCACCAGTTCTCGGCCACAGAGAGCGGCTGCTACTGTTGCCAATAACGAATTGTGGAAATCCATCGTATCATGCGACTACTGTGACCTTCATTGGCATCTTGACTGTCTTGATCCCCCATTACCCACGATGCCCCCGATAAACAAGAAGTGGATGTGCCCAAACCACGTTCAGAAAATCCTTGTGCGTGACGTTTTCCTTGAAATTAACTCGAATGCGAACTCGTTCATAGCTTCCCAAGCTCCGCATTCCGAAAACCGCTGCTCCCATCGATATAACGAAACCGAGGCAGTCCAACAACGGCAACATTGAAATCATTCATGCTCAACCCTCAACCAGTCGAGTCAAGAATGTGCAGGTTGAAGAGGTCTACATCAACGGTCGAAAGTATAGGGTCCCTGAAAGAATCGTGATCCTCGATTTCTGGAATAAGGTTAGCAGTAAAGCTGCAACCAAGTGCGTGTCCGACGTTGGACTTGTGCCCCGCTTTCCTAACGAGATTCAGAACGGATGGCAATGAGTCGCCCTCGGAGATGTCATCACCACTTACTTCGCTAAGTTCGCTTGATGAATGTGATGACAACCCTCCAAGAACGGCCGAAGAGGAGCAATTACGGGTAGCCCAAGTGCGTACACCATGAACCCAATTTTTTCTGCTCACCCTTCTTAGATGCTTTGCAATTTCCAGCGAGGAACAAGGCACCATGATTCCGAGCCTGCAAGTCATACAGACGATACCGTTGCCTCCACGAGTCGATCATCGAGACCTGACACTCTGAAGGTCTGCACTTGTCCCACTGCTCTGTGTTGCATTTATAAGCAGCCAAAAGCCCGCCACATCCTCTTCTTCTTCTGGTGCTACAAATGGTCAAAGCTTTACTCCTGCCTCTTCGGTGGACGCGGGTTCCAAGACATCTACGGCCAAGCGGAAACATGATATCAACGGCTCACAGCGACATACTTCCTCTAGCAGTTTAGACGATCCGTTCAGTTCCCAACCCTCTGTCCGGATCAAGCTAGAAGAAAAAGAGCCCAATGTGTTTTCCCATAAGGTAACTTGTTAGTAACCTCGCGCGGCCCTTAATGAGTTGGAATAGGCCGCAACAAGCTCTCGTGGTCGGTCGATACGCCGCGCGTCACACAGAGGCGGAAACCAACACGAGCCAAAGCGCGGGAAAAAGCGGAAAGAGCGCGAAGATGAGTCTTCTGAGGATGATATTGTCGAGTTGGACGAACCCAAGAAGAGTCGAACCGAGAAAGGGTCATCGGGCAAGAAACTGTCCAGCCCCAGAAAGGTCCCTTCAACTTCAACACAAACGACACCCTCACTCAAGATACGGTTACCACCGCTAAGTGATGTCGCGGCACGCACATTGCCTGCAGTATCAAAACCGGTAGCTGAGACTAATGCTCATGGTTAGCTATCTTGAGTCTGTACTATTATTATAGAATTATAGTCAAATTTCTGGGTGGAAGACTTATGGTGGTCACGGGACAGTACGCGCGTCGTCACATACTAACGCGCAATGTCTTCCGCCATGTCTGTCGACCCAAAGCCCTACAAGCTCAATCTGGATGAATTTATTGCGACCGCTACCTCAGCCACACCGTCCGAACTTCATCCCTTCTTCGACGACTTTCGAGTGCTCTACAATAAGAAGTTGGTTTGCTCATCTGTACCTGCTTTGTGGCTCAACAAGTTATCCCATAGGCTATGGCACCAATTGACTCTCAAGCTTTTCACTTTTCTCGACCATCCAGCGTCTAAGCCATATCGTGTCGATGTCTTCGAGTCGTTCGTGCGCGACTTTGAGACCAAGATCAATCCACTTCGTCTGGTAGAGATGGGAGTACGAGTTTCGAAAGAAATCGACAGTATGTGCCTACTTTTTTCACTCTTCGGTCATCCGATGCGTCTGTCTAGATCCTCAAACACACCTTAATTTTCTCACTTCCTTACTATCCCGCATAACTGCTGCACCTTCAAAATCCGAAGAGGCCCATGTTCTCCTTCTAGCTACGATTGCCCGCGCAAAACTTCTCTACGGAGACTTGGAAGGGACCAAGGCAGACATGGATAAGGCGTGGAGCGTGTTAGACCGATTGGAGGATGTGGACAATGGCGTGAACGCTGCCTATTACCAGGTCGCAGGCGACTATTATAAGGTATATTTATCCAACATGGATTCTGAGGTAAACTCACAGCCAAAAGGCGAAAGGCGAATACGCGCCATACTATCGACACTCTTTGCTTTACCTTGCCTGCGTGCCCAATCTGGAAACGGACTTGACCTCTGAGGATCGGTTAGCTCGTGCCCACGATCTTGCCATCTCTGCTTTCCTTGGTGATACCATCTACAATTTCGGAGAGCTTGTGCGTTACTGCTCATCGTTTATAAACCTATCGTTTCTCACCTGGTTGAACAGCTCATGCACCCAATACTTGACTCTCTCGACAAAACACCTCACGAGTGGATAAAAAAACTGCTCTTCACCTTTAATGAAGGTAACATTGGTAAGTTTGAAGCTCTGGCGCCATTATTTCCCAAGGAGGTTTGTGGATTAGCTCTAACAGGGATTCCTTAACTCATCGTTGACAGCCGATCCTTCAAAGCAACTACGCGTTCTTGCGACAAAAGATCTGTCTGATGGCTCTCATTGAAAGCGTTTTCAAGCGAGCGGCGAATGATCGTACCATGTCTTTCCAGACGATCGCAGAAGAGACGCGGCTACCTTTGGATGAAGTCGAGCATCTAGTGATGAAAGCGCTTAGCTTGAAGCTGATTAGAGGCTCGTTGGATCAGGTAGACCAAAAGGCCCAGATCACGTGGGTTCAGCCCAGAGTACTGTCGAGGGAGCAAATTGGGACACTGGCCACAACACTCGGAGACTGGGTTGCCAAGTTGCAAGTTCTGGGTGACGGAGTCGACAAAATGAACACAGCTCAATAATAAACGCGTAGATGTAGGTGTGATGTAATTAGATCCCACGCGTGACCGCAACTTTTTTTTTCCTCTCAACATCGATGGCGCCTTTGAGCCACCCTGCGATTCGAGGTTGGTAGACGTTTGCGTCTCTCCCTGAGCTCATTCTTCCAGATGGCTGGTTTCGGGAAATCTCTTCGCAATGGCCAGGGCAAGCCATGACCCTTCGTGTCGTCAAAGTCTTGCACGTCGAAAAATCCGCTTATCAAGATGTACTCGTATTTGAATCGGAAACTTATGGAAACGTTTTGGTTCTCGATGGTGTCATCCAGTGCACTGAGCGCGATGAATTTTCGTAAGGTTTGAGCAAGAAACTCAGTTGGAACTCACTGAGCGACAGTTATCAAGAAATGATTGCGCACCTTCCTCTCGCAAGCCATCCTAACCCCAAAAATGTCCTAGTTATCGGCGGAGGTGATGGAGGCGTGGTCCGCGAAGTACTCAAGCACTCCTCCGTTCAGAAAGTTGTTCTTTGCGATATCGATGAGGTGAGCCGTTGAAGTGTTGCAAGAGAAATCGTGCTCATGTTATAGTAGGCAGTCGTTCGCGTCTCCAAGCAATACCTTCCTCACATGTCGTCACTACTCTCCGATCCCCGAGTGACTGTCTTTATCGGCGATGGATTCAAATTTCTGGAAGAGAACAAAGCTTCCTACGATGTGATCGTCACCGATTCGTCCGACCCTGTGGGCCCCGCTGAAGCCCTCTTCCAAAAACCGTACTTTGAATTGCTTCATGGTGCTCTCTCTGATGGCGGGAGTATCTCGACGCAAGTCAGTACCTCCCTCTCCCAAGTATTTCGGCTCACTTCTCATAGGGTGAATGCCTCTGGCTTCATCTACCACTCATCACCCAAAATCACAAGACGGTCAAAAGCCTCTTCCCCGTCTGCGAATATGCCTACACTACCATTCCCACCTACCCTTCTGGCCAGATCGGCTTCGTGATTGCGACTAAGGACGCTTCTCGAGATTTGCGGAAGCCTATTCGAGACGTGCAAGGCACTCGTTATTATAATCGCGCTGTTCACTCTGCTGCGTTTACCCTGCCTGAATTCGGGCGGGCGATCTTGGAAGAGGGCAAAGATGTCAGACCAGTCTTTGGTCGTGCCGCTAAGGAAGCTCAAACCAACGGAAAGAGCCACAAAATCTTGCTCTTGGGTTCAGGTATATATCTAGTGAACTCTTGATTCATCTACTCAAACTGTTAAAGGCTTTGTTGCACTGCCCTGTGCCGAATACCTGACGAGGGACCCTTCTAATCACCTCACCGTAGGTCAGTGTTCAAACCATTTTTATTTCTCTTGGCTGATGTCCCATAAGCATGTCGTACCCTTGCAACGGCCCAAGCTTTCAGCCAAAATTTACCGTCTACCACTGCCATTTCCCTCGATGTCAATGACGCTGCCGCTCTAGAAGCAGCCGTTGCCGCCCATGACCTAGTTATCTCCCTTATCCCCTACACTCACCATGCAGCAGTTATCAAAGCTGCCATCAAGGGCAAGACCAACGTCGTTACCACATCTTATGTTTCGCCTGCGATGAGGGAATTGGATGCTGCAGCGCGTGAAGCCGGTATTATCGTTCTCAACGAGGTCGGCTTAGATCCCGGTATTGATCATCTCTATGCGGTCAAGACCATCGAGGAGGTACATGCGAAGGGGGGCAAGATCAAGCATTTCCTTTCCTACTGTGGTGGACTCCCGGCGCCAGAAGCATCAGGCAATCCGCTTGGATATAAATTTTCTTGGTCATCACGAGGAGTCCTCCTGGCTCTACTCAATTCGGCCTCATTTTTGTCATCTGGAGCAGCGACCCATATTCCTGGAGAAGAGTTGATGTCACACGCAAAACCTTACTTCATCTCTCCTGCATTCGCCTTTGTCGCATATCCAAACCGAGACTCTCTTCCTTTCCAACAATTCTACAACATACCAGAGGCTGAGACGGTTGTTCGGGGCACTTTGCGCTATCAAGGCTTCCCTGAGTTCATCGCAGCTCTGGTCAAGCTCGGATGGCTCAACAGCGAAACTCGAGACTGGCTTGTGGATGGTATTGACTGGAAGACGGCTACACAAAAGGCTTGCGGGGCAAGCGATAGTAGCGAGAGGTATGGGATGTGAACTTTTTTGTGCTTGCCGATGCTGATCATAAATAAAGCTCCCTTGTCTCCCAAATCAAGCAGCTTTGCTCCTTCCCAAATGAATTTGAGAGCGAGAGGATCATTTCCGGGCTACGCTGGATCGGCTTGTTCTCGGCCGAGAAAGTGGTCATACGTAGTGGCAACTTGCTCGATACCCTCTGTGCTCGACTGGAAGGGTTGATGAAGTATGAAGCGGGGGAGCGAGATCTTGTTATGCTTCAGCACAAGTTCATCGTCGAATGGGCGGACGGTTCCAAGGTAACGCGTAACAAACCCATCTTCTGCTTCACACTAACGTCTTCGTGTCCAGCAAACCCTCACATCAACCTTGGAAGCATATGGGACCCCTGGAGGTCATTCGGCGATGGCATTAACAGTCGGTCTTCCGTGTGGAATTGCGACTCAACTTGTCCTTGATGGGATACTGAAAACTCCGGGTGTCCATGCTCCATACTCAAAGGAGATATGCGATCCCATCAGAGAGAGGCTGGAAAGTGAAGGATTGGGACTCGTTGAAAGAGTGCTTTGAACGCAATGTCCATAGAGGCGAAGTATCATGTATCATAGAAAAATAGCGAGAGCCCCTATTTACATCAACTCTGACGTAATCCGGCGCAACTCCGTGTTCAACCATGTCGACCATTGAGCTGCTCGCTGCTGAATGGTTGCGGCTGGATCAGGTAAATAAACCTGATAGTGCATAGGCAAATCGTCCAACCGTCTCAGAATCCTGATACCCGTGCTGAAATCGAGGAACTAGTGCGTGAAAAAAATACCAAGGAACTGGAGCGCAGGTTGCGGACCCGTATTGAATTTGGAACCGCGGGTCAGTCGTTGGGTGGGGCCGATGGTTGATTCTGAACTATGCGTAGGTCTCCGCGGAAGAATGGCGGCTGGATGGGCCTGCATGAATGGTCTGGAATATCTGTTCCACTTATGTCTTGCAAAGTTTGACTGGGTCATAGATATCATCGTCATCCAAGCGTCTCAAGTATGCTCTTTTTTCGCCGAGTGAACCAATTTGAACCACCAACAGGGCCTTTGTGAATATGTACGGGCCACCATTGATCAAGCTCCGACACGAGGAATTGTCATTGGCCACGATCACAGACACAACTCGGAACGATGGGCCAAGCTGACTGCTTCCGTGTTCATCAACTCTGGATTCAAAGTTTACCTTCACAGAGGCCTTGTACATACGCCACTGGTCCCATTCAGCGTTCAAGTATGCCAACCAAGGTAGTAGATGCGTCCCTCACCCTCCTAGGCTTTGAATGCGTCGTGTGGCGTTATGATAACGGCGTCCCACAACCCTAAGGTAGTGCCTTACCTGGTTGTAGGCTCAACTTGCTGATATGTGGCTAGGATGACAACGGTTACAAGGTTAGAACTGTTCGCCTTTTTTCGTAGCTTAGAATCACATCATTTCCATAGGTCTACTGGGAGAATGCGGTTCAAGTGCGTTCTGCTGCGAATCCCTTAACGCTTGTTCTCAGCGCCACAGATCATTGGACCCCATGACAAAGGAATATCAGCAGCGATCGCAGTCAATTTGGTGCCCAAGACATGGTTGAACGACCAGCTTGACTCGTCCTCTCTTTGCGTGGACTGCACTGAAGACATGAAGAATCAATATTTCACAAATTTATTCACACTGAACCTGACCAAGTACTTCAACCCTTGTGTTCTCCAGTCAAAGCTATCTAATCATCGCCAGAACTTTGAACCAGGCTTCAAAACTGAAATTCGTCAACACGTCATTGCATGGAGTTAGTGACGCCTTTGTTTCTCGAGCGTTCGAGATCTTTGGGTTCCATCCATATGCTCCGGTCCACGAACAGCAGCGTCCTGATCCAGACTTTCCTTCCGTTACCTTTCCAAATCCGGAGGAGAAAGGTATATTATTCATTGCTTCATGACGTCAACTGATCCTCCGTAGGCGCATTAGATCTCGCTATTAAGACTGCTGATACCCAGCAAGCGAACTATGTCCTTTCCCAAGATCCTGACTCGGATCGATTCTGTGCAGCTGAACGCAGGTTGATCAGATCTAATCTTATCTAATTGTATTGACGGGTTGACCAGAAATGGCGATTGGATCATCTTCACTGGTGATCAGCTTGGGACTCTCTTCGCTGCCCAAGCCTTGGACCGTTATAAAGCTGAGAATAAGCCCCTGTCAAAGCTTGCTATGGTAGCATCCACGGTTTCTAGCAAGATGCTTGAAAAAATGGCTCAAATAGAGGGTTTTAAATTTGTTGAATGCTTGACTGGTCAGCTTATCTCGTCGTTATCGCTGCCACTGGTATGTAACACTCTACCAGGCTTCAAGTTTATTGGCAATACAGCCTTGAATCTGGTGGACCAGGGCTACGAAGTGCCTATGGGGTACGAGGAAGCCATTGGTTTCATGTTTGGCTCTCGAATAAGGGACAAGGATGGCGTCGCAGCCACTGTACGCCTTGAACAGCTTGACCAACAACATCTTGTTGAATTCAATAGATGGCGTTCGCTGAACTGGCTGTTCTTCTTGAAAGTCAAGGGAAAACTGTGTCCTCGTATCTGCAAGAGCTCTACCAAACATACGGGTACTTCCAGGTACATAATTCTGATTTGCGGTTTTTCCCTTGAAACTTGAATGTTTCTAGACAAGCAACAGCTACTTTGTCTGTCGAAACCCCACTATAATCGACAAGATATTCAAGCGCCTTCGCAACTTCGAGGTTACTGAACTTTTTTTCGTTTGACCTGGATGTCTGAAATGTTTGGACAGACAGATACTGGTCGCTCATACCCTCCAACAATCGCTGGATTGAAGGTAACCAGTGTGGTCGATCTGACAACTGGATACGACAGCACAAACCCGCCCAGCTACGAGCCGTCGTTGCCGCTCTCATCAGGCCATATGGTCCAGTTTAGGGCTTCTGCGAATGACACTAAAATCGTTCTTACTATCCGGTTAGCGTTTCATGCCGTTGAAACTATGTCTGACCGCCGTTAAAGAACTAGCGGCACTGAACCCAAGATCAAGTATTATCTTGAAGCAACGGGACAGGAAACTGACACGGTTCACGCGGTTTTAAAGCAAGTCGTGAACGAGCTTGCGAGTGGTTGGATGGAAGCCGACAAGAATCAACTCGGTAGACCATAAACGAGTTAGCTGGTTTTAGGTTCTCCTATGACATCCAGACGTGCTTTTCTCGCTGCTTCCAACCATTTGACACGCTTCCAAACGTCGAGGGATATTGTAGTTTGGTGCATCGACATTGCTATCAACCTGGATTCGAAGTCAACGAATTAGCTGTTTTTATTAAGAGCGCTCACCTAGCGACTGTCATGCGATGGATGAGATCCTCAGAAGTCACTGTCTCTGCAGTAGCACTTGTCGCTTTCCTCTCTGAGACAAAATCCTCTTGGATATGCTGCATCGCATGAGACTGTAGTTTGATGGCCCAAGACGAATTTACCTCAGCAACCGCCTGCTCAACAGTCACATTGCCGATTTTGGCCCCTCCCACGAGTTGTCTGAAGAGAGCCAGTTTCTGGAGACTGGGCAGATTGATCGATTCGGCAGGGCCATAAAGGTTGCTCGATGTGTCATGTTGGAGAGGCACAGTGCTATGTGTCTATGCTCCATCCAGAAAAGCATTCGCACAACAGGGAAACTTGAATGGACACACCTGGAAGAATGTGCTCTTTCTTCCTTCTGCGAGCACGAGAAACGCAATATCAGTCTCGAAGGAGAACCGACTGAACGGGAAGACATAATCCAAGGTCTGAGAGGTCATGGCGACTTGAAGCGCACGGATGTTCATGACGCCCCGCTCGACGATACCTCCTTCTGTGACACCTCCTTCGGTTACAACACAAATACTGCCACGTGGGAGCTGGAGGCGGCCACTGTGCAAGTCTTCATTCTTCGATTCAGGCGAGAAGGAGGAGTGATTGATGGTGTCCAGAGAAAGAGGGAGCGCGTCTACCATCGGGAAGAGTTGCGACAAAACTGCTAACAGCTTTGGGGTTTTGAACTCCCCAGAAGGAGAAGGGAATTTTGAGATCGTTAGTGAAGGAGGCAGTAATGGAGGCGACCTAGATTGCCTTTGAGATGGTCAATAAATTAGAGAAACCTTGAAGAGAAATCAACCATACACTCGTGCTATTGTGGCCAACAAGACCCACTCGGCAACGTGCTTGTCGCCGCCGAGCGATTCTTTTGAGATCCAGGCGATGAGTTCTTCGCGCAGAGCCTCCGATTTTGAAAGATCGGTGTAGTATGGAAACGTACGGGGCACAAGAGTAGTTGTTAGTGGTTGAAAGAAGAGGACGTGTAGAGTTGGAACCAAGATTGGGCCTGGAGCATCTAGTTCCCCGGTCATTCTCGACGAAAGTAAGCGCAAGCATAGGAAAAAGAAACAAAAACCTACTGTTCCATTGTGTAGATTCCAACGAGCGTATAAATCTCTGTGGACTTGAGGGACTCCCCCCGAATGGTGTCGTAGATCTGCACAAATGTTGTGGTCGTGAATCGGGCTACAAGCGTTGATTTACCTTGACTTGGACCCCAAGATGTCTTGCTCGTGTGGGGAATTTGTGCGGATGAGTCTCAGGAACATGGGGCTCGGTAAAGTGAGTAGCTATTGGAAGAGTTAGACGTGAATTACATAATACCAGAAACTTGAACTTGCTGTTTGGCCCGTCGATCTCTGTGCCGACCCAGTCACTTTCATGTGGGATTTGGACTGCCCAAACAACGACATTCTCGCGTAAATCGAGACGCGTCTCTTCTAAAATCTCGCCACCCGAGTTTGGGATATCGTCAGCAAGGCCCCAGCCCCCACATTTGCCCTCACTGCGATGGGCGAGGTACATTTCTGGAGAAGGACTTGTGTCTTGGATCATGAAACGACCTAGAATAAATCAGTTTTGGAATGAGAGAATGCAACCCACCTTTGACGAGTTTTCTGTCGGTGTGGATTGGGTTGATCGCATGAATGCTAGGTATTTCAGAGAACGCGTCTTTTGACGCGAAGATCGACGAGAAATGCGACCATACTCGGCTTGGGAAGTCTGGTTTGGCGTCGTAAAGGTCTTCAAGCTCGCGACTGATATCGGCTATAGCGTCAATGAAGTCAGCGTTGACCATCTCGGACGCGTCACGTGTCATGGCTCGAAAAACGTTTGTATTATTACAATGTACTCTAGTTGTAAACTTGGTATAAGGGCCTGGGGCACAAGTCAATGGAGATTCAGCAGAAGGAAGAAACTGGGTCTCACGTGCTGGAGAATTTCGTCCCCTCCTTGACGACCTTATTGACAGCGTCAAGGAAGTCGCGCTCAGAGGCAACCTTTCGTCGAGCGCGAATGGCAAACATTCCAGCCTAGATAAACATTGTTAGAGTCTCGATCGAATAGGGTAAAATAAGATACCTCAGTAGCAACCGACCGCAGTTCTGCACCTGTTGTGCCTTGACACAGTCGGGCAATAAGGTCAAACCGAATGTCGCGTTCAACACTCATACTGAGCCAAGTTAAGATTAACAATCAAAAGACAAGGACATGCAAACCTTCTAGCATGGATTCTCAGAATATGAGCACGGCCATCGGCATCTGGTAGCGAAAACTCGACACGACGGTCTATACGCCCTGGTCGCAAAAGAGCAGGGTCTAGTGTGTCAGGACTTGAGGAATGTCAACGAATATCAAAAGTGAACTTTCAGAGGCCCACATACCGATTGGTAGCCATAAGCACCTTGATGTTGCCTCTTGGGTCGAAACCGTCGAGTTGGTTGATTAGTTCTAACATCGTTCTCTGGACTTCGTTGTCACCACCAGCGCCATCATCAAATCGAGCGCCCCCAATCGCGTCGACTTCGTCGAAGAAAATAATGCAAGCCTTCTTGCTCCGGGCCATTTCGAAAAGTTCTCGCACCATTCGAGCACCCTCACCAACATATTTCTGGACCAGTTCAGAGCCAATAACACGGATGAATGTCGCGTCTGTCCTATTGGCAACAGCACGCGCACACAATGTCTTCCCAGTCCCAGGAGGTCCATATAACAACACGCCTTTTGGCGGGTCAATACCAAGGTTGACGAAACGCTCCGGCTGGCCATGGGCATTAGTCGAACCTCGATGTTGAACAAGAGACACGCACAGAAAGGAGAGGGGTTTCCACTACTTCCCGCAGTTTTTCAATCTGCTCTTTGCACCCTCCTACATCTGAGTATGTCACGTCGGGCTTCTCCTCTACCTGCATCATGGTTACCGACGCGTCGATCTTCGGAGGGAGGGGAATCTGTATTTGATATTTGACGCGGTCGACACTGAGCGCAAGTGAGTAGTTGCTGAGCGAGTGCATTTAAAGGCACATACCCTACCCGCATCCCTTCCTCGATATCAGACGAAGCTACACGATCACCGAGACCAACAACGAATTTCGCGATTTGCTTAATGTTGATGACGTATTTATCTTGTTCGTCCGCGCCTTTCTGACCCTGGAGAGCCCCAAGTGGGTTGACAGCCTTTGCCGCTTCAGCAGCAGCGGAATCCACAGGAATTATCTTGGTACAACGAGCAACTTGAAGAGGTGGCTCTTCACGTGCTCGGTCTGCTGCCAGATCCCAGAGGTTTGGCGACGAGAGACCTGTGTCTGACTCTTTGATTCCGAGTCGCTCGTTTATCCGTTTCTGCACGTCTTTAATGTCTGTTTCAACCGTCTTCAGTTTGGCCGCGTAAGGCCCTTGTCCCTGAGGCCATAAGCAAAGTATTAGCACCTAGTAGGAGACGCATACGTATGTCTTGAGAATTTGTATGTCGCTATCGTCGAGCGCAATGATTTTCTCTTCATCTTTCTCGTCAGCTTTCTTCTCGTACTTTTCCCAGTCGCTACTTTGTGTGAGCAAAGAGATAGTGGCAGCAAGGCTGACTGACGCTTTGGGTGGCATGGTTCTTGAAGGGAGAGTTCGGCGATTCTGGTTTATAAGAAGAGTGGGGGTCGAGGGAGACGCGTATTCGCGTTACTTCGCGTGACGCGCGTCACACGGTTAACCCTCAATCTCATCATGGCAGGCGGACTTCAGAACGCAAAGCGGGACCTAGCCAAGATTCGAGATGAAGAGCGGGAGAGTCTGTTCGGCCAAGTTTATGGTGTCTCTGGCCCTGTTGTTGTCGCCGAAAATATGGTCGGAGCGGCTATGTATGAACTTGTCCGAGTTGGGCACGATGAGCTCGTTGGCGGTCAGTGCTCCTTGCTCGATTTATAATCGTCGCTCACCCATTAAAGAGGTTATTCGGATAGAAGCAGATAAAGCCACGATCCAGGTCTATGAGGAGACTTCCGGCGTTACTGTTGGAGACCCTGTACTGCGAACGGGCAAACCGCTCAGTGTTGAGCTTGGTCCAGGTGTGTCAATCAGCTAACCAACCGCATACCCAACTGACAAAGAGAAGGCCTCATGGGTAACATCGTCGACGGTATTCAACGACCCCTACGAGTAGGCTGAATGACATCAAGCTCATGTCCTGTGCTGACGATGTGCAGTCTATCCAAGAGCGCTCGAAATCGATATATATTCCGCGTGGAATCAATACTGACGCCCTTGACCGAGAGATCCAATGGGACTTCAAGCCTGCCGGGTTCAAGGTGGGCCATTCAAGCCCCTCTTCACATCGCTGAATCCTGTGGCAGGTTGGTGATCATATAACTGGTGGAGACATTTTCGGCGGTGTCTATGAGAACTCTCTTGTCGACAACCACAAGATTATGCTGTCACCGCGCGCTCTTGGGACCATCACACACATTGCGGAGAAAGGTAGCTACGCCGTCAACGTGAGATCTTTCCTTCCGTTTGGTCTCTTGTACTCAAACTCTCTAGGATGTGGTACTTGAGACCGAATTCGAGGGCAAGACGACTAAACACACCTTAATGCAATTGTGGCCTGTTCGAGCTCCGCGACCAGTGACGGAGAAGCAAACAGCTGACTACCCTCTGCTAACTGGCCAGCGCATCCTCGATGCTCTGTTTCCGTATGTCGCCTTCTGAATAGCTATGATTTGACCACGAGCCAGCACAGATGTGTCCAGGGTGGTACGACTGCTATCCCCGGTGCTTTCGGATGCGGCAAAACAGTCATCTCGCAAGCTCTTTCCAAGTATTCAAATAGCGACATCATCGTCTATGTCGGTTGTGGCGAACGTGGAAACGAGGTCTACAGTTATCTACCTCCTTGACTGTGCTAAATCATTCCAGATGGCTGAAGTTTTGGCTGATTTCCCTACACTGACGATGGAGGTCGGAGATCGCAAAGAACCTATCATGAAGCGTACAACCTTGGTTGCCAACACCTCCAATATGCCCGTGGCTGCTCGAGAGGCCTCAATTTATACTGGCATTACTTTGTCCGAATACTTCCGTGACCAGGGCAGCAATGTCTCGATGATGGCTGATTCTACCTCTCGATGGGCTGAAGCTCTTCGCGAAATCTCAGGTCGTTTGGCCGAAATGCCAGCAGACTCTGGATACCCTGCATACCTCAGCACGAAACTTGCCAGTTTCTATGAACGCGCAGGCAAAGTTGTCTGCCTCGGTAATCCTGCTAGACAGGGAACTGTCTCTATCGTTGGAGCGTGAGTCCATTTTAATCGCTTATTTCATCCTATTCATGCTCGTCTTTCCAGTGTCTCGCCGCCGGGTGGAGACTTTTCGGATCCTGTAACGTCTGCTACCCTCGGTATTGTGCAGGTGTTCTGGGGTCTTGACAAGAAACTTGCGCAACGCAAACATTTCCCCTCTGTCAACTGGTCTCTCTCGTACTCCAAGTACATGAAGGTGCTGGAGCCCTATTACGAGAACAACGCTGAAGGCTTCATCGAATTACGGATGAAGACGAAAGAAATCCTACAGAAAGAGGAGGATTTGGCGGAGATTGTTCAGCTTGTAGGAAAGAGTGCCCTTGGAGAAAACGACAAGATCACTCTTGAAGTCGCTCGTATGCTCAAAGACGACTTTTTGCAACAGAATGGCATGAGCGAGTACGACCGATACTGCCCCTTCTACAAAACTAGTGGCATGTTGAAATGCTTCGTCGGTTTCCACGACGCAGCCATCCGTGCCGTTAGTCAGAGTCAAGGAGACATCACATTTGCAAAGATTAAGGAGGGTGCTAGCGATCTGATGTTCAAACTTTCGCAGATGAAGTTCGAGGTGTGTTTATTCCAGTTTTTTTTGCCTAGATTTTGGTCTCATCTTTGTTGACCAGTCCCCGTCACAAGGGAAGGAGCCCATCGTGCAGAAGTTGGATGCTTTGTATACCGAGATTCAGGACAAATTCCGTCAAATGGCCGAATAATTGTATCCATGGACTTTTAGTATTATTCACGACACTTAATGTTAGAATTTGCATCGAAAAGGCTACGCAAATAACGACATCGGGCTTTCTTCCGATTCTCCCTTGACCGCTGACTCAGCTGGAGGGTGTCTTGCTGCTCGTTTACTATATTGAGCCGCGCGATGTTGCTCAGGCGTCATTCTGCGAGCTAGGCGCCTATGAGTTCGAGCTTGTTGGTGAGCAGTCATACGATCTTCGTCAATCATTATTGGCCTCGTCGAATCAGTTGTGCATGTTTCACAGATGATCTTGCGCTGCGCGTTCAACACAGCCGTAGGTCTGCGGAACTGGGTTGATGACGAGAATTTAGGCGACTGTGAACGCACGCTACAGGCTTGTCACTACCAAATAGCATCGTTGCCGCAAGCTGGGACAATATTGATGGGTTTGGAAGCTCGATGTGGCGGAGGAATTCTATGGGTACTGTGTTAACCATCCAGTTCCTATTTGCAGGCTCACTGTCAGTGATCGACACAGCGAGCTCTCGAACGTTAACTGTCCAATTCTCGTCCAGGTCTAATAATCAATAGTAGTTCAGGCCTCCGATAGGAATGATGCTCTTACCAGTTGCATCGAGAAGATAAGTGGGAACGTCAGCAGCGCGGACGGCCGGAAGAAGTTTGTTCTTAATCCAAGATATTTGCCGTTTAGCGTATTGCCACGTTGAGACTTTCATGTTTTCCACTGCTTCTTTGAATAATTTGTCGGTCGGGGTTTCCGTGGAGAGGTACTGGTGAAATTCTCTATAACCTGACATTTGATTCAATAAACAGAGCGTCATCTTTATTCGACTTACCGATGGACTGGTAGATGCCTAGAGTATAGTCTGCCTCTGAAAGGCTTTGGAGACTGCGAACCTCATCCAAAAGCCCTTTCTGATGACTAGTCAGAGGCGATAGAAAGCTACAAGCAGTAAACGCACGCCCAACATCTGATCAACCCGTTCGTCCAATCGTGGATGGAGGGCTGACGGCTCAGCGTATAACCAAAAGCAAAGAGTGTTATATCTGAAAAGGGTTTAATCTGAGTCCGAGTGACCTGACAATTGAACAAACCTCGATTTCAATACGTTTTCTGATTGCTCATTGACTATTTCACTGGGTCGACGACCCGTTTCCTTGAGGATAGATAAACTCCGAAAGACTTTGCGAGTATCCTTCCAGTGCCAACGAGCTGCAATTTGTGGATCTAGATGCTTTAGTAGAGCATGTAGGGCAGAGGCCCCGTCAGGATCCAAAGCAGCATCTGGCGGTTGCGGGGGTAGAGAGTTGAACAAGTTCAAAAGTTCAGGGGGAAGAGTCGCAAGGGAGGCGATGATGCTTTCCGACATGGGTGGGGTCTCGCCGCGTTGCATGCCAGAAAGTCGATCAGGGAACATGAGATGTTGCATCCAGTATGAAGTTCCACCAACGACAATAGGTATTTCTTGATTTCGGTGGGCTTCGTCGATCTGAAGCGGTTGGCTAACAGACGGACGGTTTAACCGCTAACTGACCGCGTCAATCGCGTCTTTGACCCATTGCCCTACAACATACTGCTCTCCTGGTTGCTTGAATCCCATCAGAAGATGAGGGATGCCCTGCTGTTCTGTTTCGGAGACTTTGTTTGTTAGGACATCAAGACCGGCATAAACTTGCATCGCGTCGGCATTGATAATCCGCGCTCCCTTCCTATGGGGAGAACGCGCCAAGTGAAGGGCAAGTTCGATTGCAAGGTTGGATTTTCCAACGCCAGTTGTGCCAAAAACTGCAATCAGTGGTCGGAAAGCCATACCAGTCTCAGTCACAGCGCGTCACTCGCAGAAATGTCTTCGACCCGGATTGTCTCCCGCATAAGCCTACGCAATCTCAAGCCTCAACGTGGATCCCAGCAAAATGTTTTTGCTCCATATTTCGACCTATTTCCATTCCTGATTCTTTCTTTTATAGCCCAAACGTGTGGGACGCGGTCAAGGGTCAGGCTATGGCGGAACAGCTGGACGCGGAGCAAATGGTCAAAAGTCGCGTTCAGGGCCTGGCATTCGCCCTGGATTCGAGGGTGGTCAAACCCCCATAACGAAGCTGTTTCCTAAACGCGGCTTTGTGAACCGGTATGTCGTTCAGAGGTGAATCCTCTTACTGAAACTGAACGTTTTAGGAATGAGAAGCAATGGGCAGTTGTCAATCTGGACAGAATACAACAATGGATAGACCAAGGCCGACTTTCTTCTTCACCCGAAAAACCAATAACTGCTCGTGAACTTCTTCTGAGCGGGTGTGTGCATGACGTTCACGATGGAATCAAGGTGCTAGGAGACGTAAGCTCTGCGGAACCAAAGTTTTTCGTGACTCTCAAAACAGCCTAGGGCCTACAAATGTTTAAAACACCCATCTACATTACCCCCTCCCGTGCATCCAAGAGCGCCATAACTGCCATTGAGAAGAATGGTGGTAAAGTCGTCTGCAAATACTACAACAGATTGGCCCTTCGTGATTGCGTGAAAGGGCGCACCGACCGGATAGAAGCTGCGCCCACACGTCGGGAAGACATTGGTGATTGTGGTATTGCTTTTTTTGCAAAAGTTAGCTCACGTTTTACCAGTGTGGTATGGCAACTTCAGAAATAGAGGGTACCTCTCCAAGGGAACCCTTACATTGGCGGAAAAGATGCCGTTCGTGCAGGAGAGGTGGAGATTGCTTGGGGAACAACTTGGCGTGTGGAAAAATCAATCGTTCTCCGGTAGGACAAAGAGAAAATGAAGTAGACTACTCAAGCTCCATACGATCAGGCGAGATGCTACGACTTCGTGAGCGAAATCTCGGCAGGGAAGGCGACCTTGAGCGAGACGGTGAGCGAGAAACGAAGCGAGAGCCAGCATCTGACTGTGGTGTGCGACTTCGACTACGGCTTCTGCTTTCGCTCCGACTGCGATAACTCCCGTGCTCGCTCTTTCCTTCTAACGCGTCCAGCAATCTGCTCTGACGAGGGCCTATTTCACCGTTCTCCTCCAGAATACCGCGTTTGGTCATTCTGGGAAGTATGATGTCGCAGACGCGTTCTTCAGTGAGCAGCTGGTCAACGAATTCGTCGATGTATGTTAACGAGTAGCCCGCTGATGCTCATATATAAGTCAGCAACCGAGTAAAACAGTGAATATACTCACCCATATTCCGATACCGCAACTTGCGATAGTCTTTCAGTAAAGGTTCCAACAACTCATAGACGTCGACAGCTCGGAATGTCATCCGGATGTAGAATGCTGCCAGGGCACGAAGATACCTGTTCAAGTCAGCCAGCATCCGTGAAAACAAAGTTCCACAAACTTGAACTCGTCTGCACGCAGATATTCAACCAGAATTTCTTTCTCCGGTTGAATTTGGAGTAATTTTAGAAGAAGACAGAGGAATTCGGTCGGCCGTTGGTTTCCATAGACGCCGCCAATAAACTTGAGCTCGATAGCTTTGTCGATGAGCGTTTCAGCCGTAAGCGCAAAACAGTGCTCTTTCCAAAAGACTGACTCCCAGATACGATTCCTAATCACGGTTTCGACTAGAAACTATAAAGTTCAATCAAATCAGTACAAGGAGAGACGCGTTTACCTGTGGATTTTGACCGTGAATCGAAAGCGCGCCTGCAACAGTAGTGTTTGCCATAAGCTTGTCACGGTGTGACGCGACACAAATGCGTTTCTTCCGCTTCCTCCACAGGCGCACCAAGTCAGATTCTGCCATTCCTAACCCCACGCCCACATCATGGGACAACACCCTACACCGGCCAAAATCTCTTGATGCGGCACAAACCGCCTTGTTCGCAACTGCCTGTCCACAAACCTTCCTATATCCAACTCCCGCCGACACGTCTAACACCATTTTCGAGCTTCAGACGACCAATACTCGGCTACAAAATGACCTCGCCATCTGCCAAACCGAAAGACAACAATTTCGTGTTCAGCTCGATACTATTCACGCAGATCTGTTTACTCAGCTTTATCAAAACTCCCTTCTCCAGCGACAGATCCAGAAAGACAGACTCGAAATGGAAGAGACACTCAACAAACTGGCCAAATACGAACGCTTTCTGAATCTCATGATCAACATTGGTCTTCATCAACGAGTACTTGGCGACGCTCATGCTGCTTTGCGCGCCGGTGTTGACCCTGACGCTGCCTTGGTCGATGCGATCAAAGATGCTGCCGCCATTCCTGGTAGTCCCTGGTCAACTATTATCCCAAGCGTTACTGGCCCACGCACACAGGAGGAATACCGAGCATCTCTCAGCATGACGCTCAAAGCGAGGAGAGAACTTCGCGATATCAAGAAGATTGCAAAGTACTGGAAGCAGCTCGCCCTTGAAAGCTCGCAAGTGGGAACCGTAACGCCCTCTGTGTCTAGCATCTCCAGCATTCACGAGCCGCTACCTCCTGACCGCCAGAAAGCTGTCGACGAACTTATTTCCGCAAGAAGGCGTGCTTCACTTCCAACTGTTGAACCGCCACAACAAGACACTCTGAGCGGGATTTCATGTCCTACTGAACCGTCAACACAGGTCGAGACCGACGTTAGTGCTGTACCACTCTCCCCATTAGCCAGCGAGTCGTTCAAGTCCGAGCTAGCGACAGTATCGAATGGCTCACGACTGTTCAAACGACTTCCTCATAAGCCAAATCGTGTGGCATTGGGCCAGATAGATTCTAACATACCTCCGTCGACAAAACAAGGGTATTCTCGCAGTAAATCTGGTCTCAAGCAACACATCCATCAGCCGAAGGAAAACCTCGCTGCCTTCCAGCAGGACGACGACTTCCTATCCAAGCCCCGTCAACGGCCTCGTGAACTCGCTATTGCCAATGTGGTTCCCTCATTTTCCAAACACAGTCTTTGTTCGACACATCTAGGACCTCTAGGAAGAATCGAGGAGGAGCACGACGAGTTTCCACCTACCAGGGTGACAGAAAGCGAGGATAACGATCAAGAGTCCTGGTCGCTGGTCGAACACCCCGATTCCTCTTTCCAAACAGTCACCCCTACTAAAGCATCACGGCTTCCTAAACCCGTTTTGCGTCAACTCAATCGACTATCCCTGACCAAGACAGAGTCACTGGTGGTTGCTCCATTGGTCATTCGAAAGAAATCCACTCCTACCGCATCTGTTTCGCCAACGCGTCTCCCAGTGTCAATGCAAGGCAAACGTACGATTGTGAGGAGGTGACACAAAGTTGTGTGTGTGGTATCGGTACAGGAAATGTAGTAGATGAAGCATAACAAATAATACATACGACTAGTCGGCCTTCGTTTCTGCTGCTGCTGCTTTTGTTTCTTCTTTCGGAGACGACTTCGGACTCGAGATGCCTCTTCCACGACCACGACCACGTCCACGAGTTGATGATCCTCGAGGTCCGCCACCACGAGTCCAATTACCTGAATCATTTGGAGAGCTCGATTTAGTTGTTTCTTCTTTAGTCCCTTCTTCCGTGACTTGGTCTGTTGACTCCTTCGGGGCCTGACTCTCCACTTTGGCTGCTGCCTTTTGCTTCGAATCGCCTCCGCCAACCGGCTTGCCCGAGTCCCATTCTCTGTTCTGCATCTTGTCAAGTTTGCGTTTAGCATTCTGCTCTCGCGTGCGGTCTACGCCTGGACTTGTGTTGGTATGGTCAGGTTGAGGGCAGCCTCAATTTCGCACCGTCTTGGATCTTTCGTATCTGAGCTAGTCTAACACGCTCGCTCTCTTGGGTCTTCTTGAATGCCTCTTCATCTGCTTGTACGTCCTGGAGGTTGCTGGTGAGACAACGATTGGACAAAACATAGTTACCTACCAATCTTCGTTGCTTGATCTTTTCGTTCTGTTCCCGCATTCGAGCCATTCGCTCAGAGAGTTCCTCCTCCGTGATTTTGTCCTAGAGATTCGGTTGGGTAAACAGTGGTTCGTTGAAGAAAGGCACATACGCGTTGGGGACCACCAGTCTTGACGCGTTCTGGATTGACATATGGTTTCTTCTTCTCCTTGTCAAGTAGATCGTCCTTCTTCACTTCAGTTTCTTGCGTCTTCTGCTCGAAATCAAGACCAAGAGTGTTGGGAGGGCCTTCAGGCTCAGCTGGACTGGCCATAGGAAGGAAAGACGATGGGGTCAAGACGAAGCCAAAACTAAGTTGTCACACCACGTAACCTTCCTGTAACTTGCCATGTCCCTCGCGAACAAGCTTTCGATAAGTGAGCTGGATCTCAATGGCAAGCGCGTCCTCATCCGCGTCGACTTCAACGTGCCTCAGCAAGATGGGAAAATTACTAATCCGGCGGTAAGTTTGCCTGCGAAATCGCCCTTCATCGTAACTAACGGAGGCATCGATAGCGCATTGTCGCAGCTCTCCCCACAATCCAATACGCGCTCAAAAATGGTCAGATCCACTGCATACGACCAGACCATCATCCTTAGCTACTTTCAGGCGCTTCTGTCGTCACTCTCATGTCCCACTTGGGTCGGCCAGACGGCAAGGTTGTTGAGAAGTACTCGCTCAAGCCGGTTGCTGCAGAACTCGAGAAGTTAATTGGCTCGTCTGTGACCTTCCTTCCCGACTGCGTCGGCCCAGAAGTTGAAAAAGCGGTCAACTCTGCATCCAACGGCACAATCATTCTCCTTGAGAATCTGCGTTTCCACATTGAGGAAGAGGGCTCTGTCAAGAACAAGGACGGGACGAAGACGAAAGCTGACCCCACCAAGGTTGCGGAGTTTAGGGAGGGGCTTACTCGGCTGGGCGATGTTTATGTCAACGACGCTTTCGGTACTGCCCACAGAGCACACTCGAGTATGGTCGGTATCAAGCTGCCCCAGAGAGCTGCTGGTTTCCTCGTCAAAAAGGAGCTGGAATTTTTCGCCAAAGCCCTCGAAAGCCCCGACCGTCCATTCCTCGCCATCCTTGGTGGGGCCAAAGTGTCAGACAAGATCCAACTCATCGATAACATGCTCGATAAGGCTCGTTTTTCTTGATTCCCCAGCTTTCACGTTGCTTACCTTCCCTCCAGGTCAACTCACTCATCATTTGTGGCGGCATGGTGTACACTTTCAAGAAGACGTTGGACAACATGTCTGTAAGCACAATACGCCTCGTTTTCTTACTCCAAGCGTCCAACTGTCGCTTCCAAGATTGGCAACTCTCTGTTCGATGCACCTGGGTCCGAGAAAGTCGCCGGGCTCATTGAAAAGGCAAAGAAGAACAACGTCAAGCTGGTTTTCCCAATTGACCACATCACCGCTGATAAGTTTGACAAGAATGCCAAGGTTTGTTTGTGCTGTATTTGCTTTTTCATATCCGTCAACGCAAGATCTAGACGGGGAATGCCACAGATGCCGAAGGTATTCCGGATGGCTGGCTAGGCCTCGACGTCGGTCCGAAAAGTCGAGAACTTTTTCCGCACAACTGTTTTGGAAGCCAAAACAATTCTTTGGAATGGGTGAGAGTCTTGACGGTAACTTGGGGGTTTTTTGAACTCACCGAAAAACTGCAGACCTCCTGGCGTGTTCGAATTCCCTGCTTTTGCTGAAGGCTCCACGTCTCTTCTAGAGGCGAATATCGACGCTGCTAAGAATGGGGCGGTTGTTATTGTTGGTGGTGGTGACACTGCGACGCTTGTCGCTCAGCATGGTGTAGAAGAAAAGCTGAGCCACGTGAGCACGGGTGGTGGAGCCAGTCTAGAGTTGTTGGAGGGCAAGGTTTTACCTGGCGTTGCTGAGTTGAGCGAAAAGTGAAGAAGGAATAAAAATGTACAGGTGTCATGTAATACATATACGAATTTTAGAGATCAAGGTTGACTCGCTTCTCACCTTTATCATACTTCTTGTAATGGCTCGTGCGCGCCGCCGTTCTACCCGCAACACTGCGACAACTACACGGGCTTCCGGCTCTTCACCTTTATCCTCCTCCCCATCCACACCAGAACCAGCGCCAGAGCCAAAGACTGGTCCAACTGACAGCTGTCCAGGTTGCACCTCTGAATCGCGCGCCACATTCAACCAGTTCGAGAAGGAGAACTGGTAAGTAGCTTTAGGCCACACTTTCATCCCTTGACGACGCCCAGGATATGTTGCGACGTGTGCAAGGACTGGTATCATTGGCGATGTGCAGTCGCAGGAGAGGAAGACAAAACGTTGAGCATGGACAAAATCGACAAGTGGTGAGTAGCCTCGACATCGGTTCGTTGCCCAACTGACACAACTATAGGTTCTGTAAAACCTGTTTGGGCCAAGATTCAACGCGGACTATCACTTTCAAGGCACCGACAAGGAGGTCAGACCGGAAGCGCAATTATCAGGACTACGCAAATTTGAGTCTCGGGCTGAATGCGGATCCTGAACGTTGGCAACGAATGCTGGATAACAAAAAATTCAAGGCCGACCAGTTCAAGCGAATGGAAGGTGCAGACGTGAATTTGGACTGGCTTGAAGAAGACGATACCGCCATGACGGAGCCAATACTGATCGAGAAACCTGATGGTCTGGGAATGAAAATGCCCGATGAAGGCCTGTCGGTTGAAGATGTTGCTCAGCTGGTTGGCGAAGACGTCCCAGTTGAAGTCGTCGGTGAGTTGTCCACTAAACTCTACTCCCATCCAATATCGGAAATTAGATGTTGCGACACAGTCAGCCTCGCCTGGGTGGAATCTCGGGAAATGGGCAGACTATGTCGAACTAGAACCTTCAGCGCGCGAGAAGATATATAACGTCATTTCGCTCGAAGTCTCTGGCACGGAATTAGGGAACCTCGTTCTCCCTCCCAAACTTGTTCGAGACTTGGACTGGGTTGATAATTTCTGGCCCAGCACACGAAAAGGAAAAGGCCACCCTTATCCCAAAGTCCAGCTATATTGTCTGATGGGCGTTAAAAATGCCTGGACGGTGTGTAACACCATCTTTGCCAATAACCTCTGACGCTCTCTTTCTAGGATTGGCACATAGACTTTGCTGGGTCGTCTGTGTACTACCACATTCTTAGTGGCTCTAAAGTGATCCCATTCGTTTTTCAGAGAATGCCAATGACGCATGATTAGGTCTTCTATTTCATCAAACCAACCCCGGCAAACCTGGCGGCATATGAGAAATGGTCTGGGACTGAGCTCCAGAACACTTGGCTGGGCGATATGGTCGATGAGGTCGTCAAAGTCGTGTTAACAGCGGGTAACACAATGATCATACCCAGGTTCCTTTCGTCTATGCCTATCTCGTCCAAGTTGACCCATTGGCAGTGGCTGGATTCACGCTGTCTTTACTCCTGTAGACACTATCGTCTTTGGGGGTAACTTCTTACATTCATATGCTGCATCAATGCGTAGGTCAAAAAACCTATCTTTTTGTCTTTCTTTCTCATCGGTTTCGCAGAGTTGAACATCCGGAAAATCGAAATAGCCACCCACGTCCCCAAGAAATTCCGATTTCCTTTATTCACCAAGTGCGATCCATGAATCAATCTTTTTTTGGTCATACTCACTAGCATCAGGCTCTGTTGGTATGTTGGGGACAAGTATCTGCGAGACTTGAAGGGTCCAAATGTTTCTTATCCATCTCGAGTACTGAGCTCATTGCTCGCGTTGGCTGAATTTCTGGTGTCCGAAGTTCGTATTCTCGAGCGTGGGACGGAGCAAGCTAAGAAGGAGGTTCGAGAGCAAATACCGTCAGACCGCGTCAAAGATGCAGCCACTGTTGCGCGGGAACTCAGATGGCGGGTACGACTTGCGGCAGGTAATACGAGTGACGATGAGAGCAACACCGTCAAACCCAGTGGCTCGGGTGTTAAAAGGAAGCGAGGAGAAGAGGAAGAGCACGTTAAATTCAAGAACTTCAGACCTAGGAGGTGGGACAATATGGTCGAACAGACGGCAGAAGAGGAGCCCAAGGTTCTCCATGCACCCAAACCCACTGAGCAAGACTCTGGATGGAAAGAGCGTTGGATAGATTGGGCTAATGAAGAGGGTGAAGATGGTGACGAAGTGCGACTCAAGCGACGGACAGACAAAATAGTACGTGTTCGGTTGACCAACGATGGACTAGAGAGGCAGCGGATAGAACGGGTAGTTGAGTCTTGGGCTTGGTGGTAGCTTAGTCACGTCGAGGCGATCACGTTCAAGTCACGTTACGTTTGTTTCGCGCCAAGTCACAATAGTGTCACACATTTCTCTTCGCGCTACCATGTCCGCATTCAAAACACCCTCTCGTCGCCGGGTCCGCTCTGAAGTGAAGACCCCGCTGACACCCTCTCTCGCCTCTGCATTAAACGGAGTCACACTCGACAGCCCCGTCAAACGCTCCAGTTCTTCGATTCCAGTGACAGATGCTTTCCAACGACAAGCCAGCAGCGGGGTAATCCGCAAGGGTGGCGTCGAGAGCAGAATCGATGTAGTCGTTCTCGACTATGTGCCGCCTCCCATCTCGAAGCCTGCTGAAGTTAAACGGTCACGCTCCACTCCTGCCATTGTGTGTTATGTTCCTTTTGACGTCAAGCTCACAAAATCTGATTGTCTGCAGAAAAACGTGGCTGACCGCGACCGCTTTATCACATCCCGTGAACACAACCTCGAAACACTTGACCCTATGGCACTCAATACCAAATCTGCTTCGCCTGGTCACACAGCGCGACTTGTGGAAGCGACTGGTGTACCTCTCAACCGTCGCATTCTTGGATACCATCTCCCTCCTCCAACCGCCTCATCAGACACAACTCTTGCCCTCCAACGCGAGTTTGCTCGTCCGCTATATGCCAACCGACCGGGGTCGCTTGCCACCTCTACTGGCTCAACCACGAATAAGACGCGGAAAATTTCGACACAGCCTGAACGAGTCCTCGATGCTCCAGGTCTTGTCGACGACTTTTACCTCAACTTAGTCAGCTGGTCGTCTCTCAATTGCGTTGCGGTTTCTCTCGACACCAGCACGTATATCTGGAAGGCAGACACCGGGGCTGTTGTGCAAATGGGCGAAGCACCGAGTGGCACTTATGTCAGCAGTGTTAACTTCTCAGCGGACGGCGCCTTTCTCGGTATAGGACTTGGAACCGGAGAAGTCGAGCTGTGGGATGTTGAGAGGGGCGTTAAGCTGCGGACTATGGCTGGCCATCAGGCCCAAATCGCCGTTCTTTCTTGGTACAGCCATTTACTGAGCTCTGGATGTGGAGATGGGAGCGTTTGGCACCACGATGTCCGTGTCCCGAGGCATAAAGTCATGGAGTTGTTGGGCCATAATGGCGAAGTCTGTGGTCTGCAATGGAGGAAAGATGGTGAACTAATTGCCAGTGGCGGAAACGACAATGTGGTCAACATTTGGGATGGGAGAGTGGGCGATACGCCGGTTGGAGGAGACACTGTTGCCACAGGCAATGCCAAATGGACCAAGAGAAACCATACTGCGGCCGTCAAGGTGAGTTCAATATTTTCTGTGTTATCGTATTACTGACTTTGCCAGGCGCTCGCGTGGTCCCCGTGGCAGCCCAACCTTTTGGCTTCAGGCGGAGGTACCAACGATGCGACTATCAACGTTTGGAATAGCACGACGGGTGCACGTCTTCACACAGTCACGACACCGTCTCAAATCACGAGTCTCCACTTTTCACCACATAAAAAGGAACTTTTGAGCACCCACGGCTATCCTACTAATGCCATCGGAGTCTGGTCCTACCCTAGTCTTGAAAAGGTTGCCGAAATTCGAGATGCCCATGACTCGCGCGTTCTCTACAGCGCTATATCGCCTGGAGGGGACATGGTTGTTACTGGGGCAGGAGACGAAAGCCTCAAATTTTGGCGTATTTGGGATACTACTTCAGAGACCAAGAAGACCAAGACCGCTCGTTTAGAAGGAGCAACTCGCAGCGGCGTCCTTTCCCTTAGATAGCATGTGACATTATTATGTAACTTAAAACTTTTGTGGATTCACGGCCATGGCTCGGATAACCCACGCGCTCTTCGAGTCTGCGTCGGGCTATGCTGTCTTCCAAACAAAACTCACGGACGATATTGCTGCACGCTCCGCTGCTGTCCAGCAATCCATCTCTGACTTGGCAAAGTTCAACAAAATCGTTGAGCTCGTCAGTTTCTTGCCGTTCAAGAGCGCTGCTCAGGCACTGGAGAATGCCAATGATGTCTCGGAAGGTGTGTGGTGGGGACTTGGTGTATCTCACCAGCTCAACTGATATCGTTTGAAGGCATTCTGAATGACCACCTCAAATCCGTCCTTGAGCTGTCGCTTTCGAAAACATCCAAAAAAACACCCGTTTTGCTGGCTATCTCGGATCCTACTCTTGGAAAAAGCATCAAGGATGGGGTGAATGTGAACTGCGACGCTTCGGAGGAGGCCCAGGAAATCATTCGCGGAATTCGGCTCCATGCCTCGAAACTTTTGCAAGGGTTACAGGAGGACGACTTGACCAAGGCCCAGCTTGGTTTGGGGCACTCGTACTCTCGGTCAAAGCTAAAATTCAACGTGAATCGCGTGGACAACATGATCATCCAGGCCATTGCCCTCCTCGACCAGCTCGACAAGGACGTCAACTTATTCTCGATGCGGATGCGGGAATGGTATGGCTACCACTTCCCCGAGCTCGTCAGAATTGTACCAGACAACCACCAGTACGCGCGCGTTGCTCAACTCATTGGCGACAAGGATACCCTGGACGAAGAAAAACTTCCCGAGCTCGCCGCAATTCTCGACGACGACTCAACAAGAGCACAAAATATTCTCGACGCCGCGCGTGGGTCAATGGGGTCTTCTCTCTCCGACATCGACATGCTCAACATTTCTGCATTCGCCACTCGTGTTGTGTCCATATCCGAATACCGCAAGTCACTAGTGTCGTACTTGTCCGAGAAAATGAACGTTGTGGCCCCAAGCTTGACCGCTTTGTTGGGCGAGCGAATCGGTGCTCGTCTCATCAGCCACGCTGGTAGTCTCACGAATCTGAGCAAGTACCCTGCTAGCACGGTTCAAATTCTCGGTGCAGAAAAGGCTCTATTCCGTGCCCTCAAAACCAAAGGAAATACTCCCAAGGTACTTCATCTTTCCTTGTGGCTTCAAAGTATTGACTCAAGATTGTGTAGTATGGCCTTATATACCATTCAACTTTCATCGGACGCGCTGGCCCTAAGCACAAGGGGCGGATTTCACGGTTCCTGGCTAACAAGTGTTCGATCGCATCTCGTATAGACTGCTACTCGGACAACCCAACGCCCAAATTTGGCGAGGCTCTGCGGGAGCAAGTTGAGGAGAGGCTTAACTTCTTCGAGACCGGCGCCGCGCCGTCCAAAAATGCCGATGCGATGCGCAAGGTGTTGCAGGATTTAGCGCTTGAAGACGAAGAAGATGACGACGAGCCAATGCCCTTGACAACTTTGGAGCCCTCGCCCAAGAAAAAGAAGGAGAAGAAACGAAAGAGTGAAGCTATGGAAGTTGATGGGGAAGAGGAGCCTGCCCCGAAAAAGGTCAAACTTTCCAAGGAGGAAAAGAAAGCTTTGAAAAAAGCTGCAAAAGCAGAAGCCATTGCAGCCGCACCAGTAAGCATAACAGTTACTCGCTCAATATTTCAAGCTCAACATTACTTAGGAGGGTAAACCAGAGAAGAAGAAAAAGGACAAGAAAGTGAAGACGTAGCAAGTAACTTACTTTTCTCGATCTATATTGTAGGCAGTCACGCTATTCCCCTTTTCTTCTGTTTTGCCATGCCGAAAGTCAGCAAGTCGCGCAGCCTATCCCACAGCCCGCCAGGCACAAACTCAAACCCATTCCATCGTCTGCTATCCCGAGTCAAGTCTCGCCAGCTCGCCAACTCTCCAATCCAGAAACCCGTCCGTCATGGTAGACCAGATCCAGATCCAGTTGTAGATACGCCTCCCGAAAAACCAAGAGCCCGCGTAGCCCTCCAGAACGAAGACTTGACTGAAGATGTTGTTGTCATCACTGCTCTTTCGACGCTGCCTTTCTGCTGCCATGAAGATCTCTTGACTATGTCTCGCCCGGGTTTGGTTGCTGTAGCAGAGTCGCTCAACGAGAAACTTCCCATCGCGATGCGTATTTCTATCAGTCGTACTCGGACGGACACTGCTATTCGAAACGAAGTAGAGTTCATTGTGGGCTTGCGCAACAACAGAACACATGTCCACTCAGTCACAACAACACGACACAGAACACCTCCCCCTACAACTCCTACTTCAGTTTCCAGAAAGAGACATAGAGTTATCTATGGAACACCGGCAACGCCTATGCTCGAACGTCTTGCTGAGGTCGAAGAAGAAGTAGAAGAGCCAGTGCGTCGCAAGCGACTTGTTATGAAGACACCAGAACCAGATGCTTCCTCGCCTATTGCCTCCCGCCACAACACTTCCAGTCAATCACCAACCACCAAACCAAGGGTAGACCATGCAGTTGTCAAAATAAAGCTTCCAAAGAGCCGCAAGCCGCTGGAGATGACCCGTCATGTTAGCCAGCCTCTCGAAACACGCCGACAACCTATGCCAAACACGGGACGTCGTGCTGCAAGTTGCTCGTCTCCATTGGTCAGCGCTGGGGCGTCTCGGAAGGCATTGTTGGAGGATGAGTAGGTGTCGGTTCACTATCCAACACCTGCTCGAGTTCGGGAAAGCATTGTGCGATGGCGTTATTCAGGTAGTTTCGATACGTGTCAATGGCGACTATTTTTCCGTTTATGAATTGGTTTTCTGTGGCTGCGCGCTCGAGTCGTTCACGTGTGAGTTGCATGGGATTACGAGCGTTGTCGATGTCCATGAGTACTTGAATCGGAATCATAGTGCGAATGCCTTGCGCCATCTCTTCTATGGTGGAAAGATGCCCAATGACTTCATTCACACGCAGTCCGACTTGTTTGCCACCTCCCGGCTTGTCGCGATCCTTTGTCGAGTCGTGGATAACCGTAGTGCCAAGGTTATAGAGGGCATGTGCGAGTCCCATCAGTTCCAGCTCCAGGTCACCCTGTACTCCTGTTGGTGGTGGCGATTGGGAAGAGCGTGGAGAGTCTGGTGCAGCTGGAGTGTTGACCGTGGCCATGGCGGTCAAGAAATAAAGTACAGGTTGCGTGACAAACGTGATGACCCTCTTGACAGAAGTCTTCATCTCTGCCCTGTCCCATGAAGCCTACGAGACTCTTCCAGATGACCTAGAGAACTGGCTCTATAATGAGCACCGTATTCTGCGTCAAGGAGATATTTTCTCCCTTGATGGACCCAATTTGCACTACCGGCTCGACATGCTCAGTCCGGTCCTCCAAGGCTTTGCTCAAAAAGGCACCACTAGAATTGTCCTTACTCTAGGCAATTCGGAGGGTACTCTAGAGAGTGCCGATATCGAACCGGACTTTGTTGAAATCGACGAACAATTTCTCGCCTCCGCCACGTTAGGACTGCCCTCTCAAAACGCGTCAAACACCTTCGATTGCAAACCATTAATAGACGCAGTTTCTCAAGAATACGACGACTGTACTATATATCTGAAGACTCAAGACCTGAGTCGCGTCGGAGGGTTAAATGGGGACTGGGTGATCGCTGGTTCTCCCGGAATGTGAAAGCCGTTGACCTAGAAAGCAGGCAGTAGCGCAACTCGGTGGTACAAACTACCGTCGTCTCGTGCGGATATTAGCGGATGACTCTGTCATACAACATAGGTGTGCCTCCCTTATGGCTCGCCCAATTGAATTTTCATCATGGAGGCTAGCAATGTGGTTCAAATGGCGCCGCTTCTTCTTCACAACATATGCAAGAGCCAAACCCCTTCCATCCTCTTGCGCTCGAGCCCTTTCGGCTCTGGTTCTCCTGCTATCCCGACCGCCAAGTCTGTTACGGTTGCTCGTGTTGCTTCTCCGATCTCGGTTGACAAAACGCATGAACCCGCGTTCTTGAAAGCACTACGACATCACTTCAACGCGTCAAAGCGCATAGTCAAGAAAGGAGATCTAGTTGCAGTGGGTATCGATACGACGAACAGGAGGGACACCGACGAATTTCCTGAGTAAGTCAACTTTACTTTGTGAAGCCCAGAAAATAAACCAGGAAACCTAGAACTCAGCGGTCGGACGAGGTTGTCTACTTCATTATTACCAACACAGAGCACGATGTCGTGCCTGTTCATGACTCGTATCTTGACTTGGCTGGAGGAGAGCTTGGTTGCTATGTTGATCCTACAACGACGCGACTAATTCAGGCTGGGGTGGAGCATTGCCGTGTTCCTTCTGTGGGAAGGTATTTCAGACCGCGTATGTACTGCCTGCATAGAGTTTATATCATCATTGAGTTGCGCATTCAGATCGTCGAAGTCCTTCTGCTCTTCTTGCCGATCTCAACTCGACATCGTGTTTGCTTGGTCCAGCAAGTCCGTTTTCCAAACTCTCTACTTTATGCTCTGCGACACTGTTGCGGGACGCGGTCGACTACAATCTGAATGTGTCCATCCTACTCAAGGGTGTCAGCGGTATAGGTAAATATACGACCGCACGGTGGGTTGCAGAAACGCTGGGGATCCATTTTATGGAGGTTTGCGGCTTGACTTGTCTCCACTTGATTGCTTAGTTGACGCAGATCAACTGCTATGACATTGTGGGCGAAAGCGAAGTTAAAACCGAAGGAACTCTTCGGGCTCGCTTCGAAAAGCTCGAAGAATGCTCGCCTTGCATCTTGTTCCTGAGGCATATCGACGCTTTCATACAGACCACCCAAAATTTGGAGCCCGGCAAAGGTCAAAAGTTGTGTGTCGGTTGATCTCAAATAGCTAACCCTCGTTATCAGACCTCCCAATCGTGAACGTCCTCCAGGAGTGCATCGGAAATCTACAAAGCAGTTGGAGGTTGGCTGGTCAGCCAGCCCTGGTTTTTGGCAGCACCCACGAATCCGACCGGCTTCCCATACAGCTCGTAGCCTCCTTCAAACACGACATCAGCTTCGAGGTGGGTCTATTCTGAGCTTTTGGGGCTGGATTTACTTCCGCTCTCTTTCAGGCACCGAATGAGGATGAACGGCGAGAAATGCTGCGCATACTCCTCTCGGGGACGCCTTTGGCGCCGGACGTGTCCCTCTCTCGACTGGCTACTGAAACCGCGGCACTTGTGGCCAGTGATCTCACCAGTCTAGTCCAAACCGCAGAGAGTCGTGCTGTTGCGCGAGCCGCCAACGTGACGTAGGGATAAATTTGTTCTTAATACCCTTTTCTAACTTTTTTTTTTGCGTTTTTAGAAATTCTACGGAGAAAGAGGTCATCGAGGCAAGGGTGGGGGTGACCGCACAAGACTTTGAAAGCGCTCTAGAAAAGATACGAACCATACATTCAGAGAGCATAGGGGCTCCGAAGATTCCGAATGTGACTTGGGACGATGTCGGTGGCCTGGCCTCTGTGAAGTCGGACATTCTCGACACGATACAACTGCCCTTGGAACACCCAGAGCTATTTTCCGACGGCTTAAAAAAGCGATCAGGTAGGTGATGCCATCGTCTGATCATCAATTCCGCTCACTGGGGGTTGCAGGCATACTGCTGTATGGCCCGCCGGGCACAGGCAAGACATTGTTGGCCAAGGCAGTCGCGACCTCGTGCTCCCTCAACTTTTTCTCGGTCAAAGGACCAGAGTTGCTCAACATGTACATTGGCGAGTCAGAAGCCAACGTGCGACGCGTTTTCCAGAGAGCGAGGGATGCGCGCCCGTGTGTCATCTTCTTTGATGAGCTCGACTCTGTTGCACCGAAGAGAGGCAACCACGGCGACTCTGGCGGTGTTATGGACCGCATCGTGAGCCAGCTTTTGGCGGAACTCGATGGCATGTCCAGTGATGGCGGCCCTGATGTCTTCGTTATTGGCGCCACAAATCGCCCCGACCTCCTCGACCCAGCTCTTCTTCGGCCAGGCCGGTTCGTCCTTGTAGCACCCCCCGTTAACTCCCCTAACTTTGTCGCAAGGTTTGACCGCTTATTATATCTCGGAGTCAGCGACACGCATGAGGCCCAACTCAACATCCTCAAGGCTCTCACTCGTAAATTCAGGCTGGATCCAGCCTTAGATCTTCAAGCCCTGGCTGAGCAGTGTCCATTCAACTACACTGGCGCGGATTTCTACGCCCTGTGTTCAGATGCGATGCTGAACGCAATGTCTCGCAAAGCTGACGCGTTGGAAGCCAAACTGGCTCAACTGAATGTCACCCCGTTGGAGGGACATCCACACCCGCTAACTGCCCAGTATTACCTCGCTGAACTGGCTTCATCAGAGGATATCGACGTTTTGGTCTCCCAGGCCGATTTCGACCGTGCGTTGCGGAATTTGGAGCCAAGTGTCAGTCAGTCGGAGATGGACCATTACAAACAAGTACAGCAACGCTTTTCTGGCGCGGTATAATAGAGTCAGATAACAGAGCTTCCGGCTTCGTCTGAGAGACATCGTAATTTGAGAAACACATCGCTGCCTTCAAACCCGTTAGCCAAGTGCATAACTCTGTTCACGATACCCACCCCACCCCTCCAACGACACGAGCTCCAGAGAGCCGCCAAAATACCTGAGGGCTGTTTAGTTGCTGATGAAAACTCGCTCGCTAATCGCCTACTTGGCGTATAGTTTACTCATAGGAAGACCTGATGGATATTGAGAAACTAATGGACGATCCGAATTGAGGACTTGCCGTAACCCAACCCTGCGATAGAGCCGAGCCCAGTTTGCAGTCCTTTGGATGTTATTTCGCTGAAGAGATGTGGATCGTCTCCGCCAATATTAGCGAGTCCTCCAACATGCTGGGCTGCATATGGTCCGCCACCAGCATCTTCGTCGTCATTGCTCTTCGCGGTGGTGAATGCATACGAGAAAATGCGCGCCATGTCGCTGGGGGAGACACCCCCCGCCTTCGTCTCGAATTCTTATCGAGAAAAAGCTTGAAACAGACGGCGCCAACGTTATCCGCACAGGCGGCAGTGCCTTTTTATGGTGCTCTACCGTCGCTCGGAACGAGTTCTTTAATATTTCCGTCAGCATGTATTCGAGGTCTATCCAGTCAGAAGAAACCCATAGGAAGATTAGTAATACCCACGGACGGGAACATATCTGTCTAGCTGCATCAATACGGGCTGCGCCAGAGGAAATTCACCGGAGCTCACGCAAACGTTGCGTCGACCTCTCCATCAATTACAACCGACGGACTTGCGCCCAGGGTGGCAGAGCACAACTCGGCAACATAAGACTCGCACATACGAATCATTCGCTCGACTCTCAGATTAGTGTCGACAACGCCGATTTCGCCTGTTGATGCTTCTTCTAATGCTCGTGAAACAGCGATGTGCTGCTCCGCTATCAGTCTCACCGATATTCGATTCTGGATTGCTGCAAAAATCGTTATAAAGGCATCGGATCGCCCCACGCGTCTCCTTACCGCCGTCAAGAAAGTTGCTGATTTGTGTTGGCGACATATACTTTGCACTCTCCAGAAAACCTTTCGCCATCGTGGGAATATCGTTGGCATGCCTTTGCACTAACGCTTCTAGCTGTGGTCGTTGTTGGATATATTTTGCAACTCGAGACTGCTTTACCTGAAGCGTGAAGCGTTTGTTGTCCTCAAGCGTTTTCACCTGAAATTCTGGTGATTTGGCGCTTTCTAACCAAACGGTAACGCACTGGAGGATAACTGCAAATATCTGAGGGAAGAATACGGAATTAGCACACAACTCACGTCGCAAGTAACTGAAAGCTGTCGCGATAGGCATTGAGTGTGTTGGCAATGTATGGATTGGTCCCAACAATGAATGGTAGTGATTGAAGTGAGTGAACCCGCATTGCCAGTCGTCGAGGAATCTCTTCCAGTGCAATAGCTACAGAGGAAAGGACTGAACTTGATGTTGCCTTTCAAGTCGATTAGAACCGACTGATAGAACGACTATTCAATTACCGGTCGACCGAAAGATAATAGAGAGGCAAGGTTGAGAGAGACAGTAGGAGGAGACTGGGCATATCTCTGCAAAATTTCGGTGGACGTCCCTCGAAGAGCAGAAAGCATTTCAGTGACGTCACAAGCGCACGGTCACATGCTCTGGGAACACAAAAGTTCCAGATGCGATGTGCGAAATTAGAAAGAGGTGTAAAACGACAACAAGAGGAACAGATATGCGACAAGAGTAGTTATTAATGCCCGAAATAATAAATTCTTCATTTTCCAGCGGTCGTCTACAAGACTCGATTAGTCTTTGTCATGTGACCCGACGATGAGCACTCACAGCAATGCCGTTCAATGTCCGGCTTGAGTGGTAGTTGGACAAAGTTTGACTTTGTGTTGTTCGATACGTTCGTGAACTTCCAAGCGTGGCAGATTGCGATGAATTTCCTGGTGTCGTTTGAAGACTATTCCCAGTAGTTCGTGTGGTTCTTGCCGTCAAGGGAGTCGGAGCACTGATTAGCGACTTTTTCGGGGTCTCTAATAGCGATTTGGTGCGACTGCTGCCCAATGTCGACGAAGTTGCCTTGGGGGTCGTTGAAGTTGGTGAAGCTTTCGGACGCTTCCCAGCCGTCATGAATGGGTGTCGCATAGCAGCTTGTGGCTTGATTCTGCGTTCGGGATCCCAAACCAGGCACTTCGCAATAAAATCAACAAAGTCTTCGTCGTTGCAGCGCAAAACTTGGGCCAGCGTCTTGGATCCCGGCCGTCGTCGACGCCCTTTCGAGTTAACCACAACTCGAGGAGTGCCATTAGGGTCTGCAGGATGGTTAAAAATGAATGCAGCAATTGACAATACTTACCAAAGAAGAGTTTTTTGCGAGTACTGCGGTTAACAAACTCCTTATCTGGCACACCGAGAACCTCCATGATGCAAGAAAGCTGCTCCTGTTCGTTTTCCCCGGGGAAGATGGGGAACCCAGTGTACAGTTCCGCCAGAATGCAGCCTAAACTCCACATATCGATAGCCATATGATAGTTCATACCGAGAATGACTTCGGGTGAGCGATAAAAACGACTTTGAATATAGGTATAAACTACGAGTCATTAGCACCAGGAAAAACCTCAACAAGACCCAGAACTGACTTTTCTCGTGCTCAAGACAACTGCTGCCGAAATCGATGACCTTAATGCCACTCTTCGCAGGATGCCTAAGCAACACGTTCTAATAGCAGCGTCAGATATCATCGACCAGTTCAAGCATCGATTTCTCACCTCTGGTTTGAGATCACAGTGGACAATGCGGTGATGGCGCATGAGGGAAAGTGAAAGTAGCATCTGACTAGTGAATCGGCGAATTAATGTAGTCGTAAACCCAACAAAGCCGTTGGCTTTGATAAGTTCGTAGAGGTTGATACTAAGTAGCTCCATTGCAATGCAAAGGTGACCGCGGAAGTAGAAGTTCTCTGTCATTTTTATAACATGATGTTTTTCTTCTGGATCCTAGCAACTCATTAAGTAAGACATGGCGTATTCGAGGTAAGCTCATACCCATTTACGAAGATTATCCAAAATTTTGATTTCCACGATGGCCTGGTGGTGGAAACGCTTCTTGTTTCGAATGATCTTGATAGCAACAGACTCTCCTGTGCAATGGTCTCGACAATGTAGCACTTGGCCAAAGGAGCCCTTCCCAAGCGTGTCAATGACTTCGTATCTGTAGGCAAGGTGATCTCGGTTTACGACCAAGTAGTCTCCGCGTTCGTCGTCGTATCCATAGTTATTCGTCGAATTGTCTAATACGGCGGGCTTCTTGTTGCTTTTTGCACCAATGCAATAGACAGAAGGGTAGTCGAGAATTTCTTTGCGCTCGTATTCTGAGAGGTACTGGTTCTGCGAGCCTTTGAGAATAGCTAAAAGGGTCATCAGCCTTTGGGGGAAAAGTAGATCACAAGCAACAACCGTACCAGAAGGAGATGCAGGTGTTCCTGGAGGCAAAGGTTCAGGGAACTGTAACAGTTCGTCCAGCTCTTCTTGATTTGCCCCGGCCGCTAGCTTCTTAGCATGCTGGCGACGAATATAATGCATCATCTCTTCATCACCCTGCACTTCCTCGTCATCTACGGAGCTTGGGGAAGGAGATGGTGTTGACAACGACTGCCGACTTGACGAGGGTGAGCTGACAACTTGCTGTATGCTATGGGTCGAGGATGAATTCGATGCATGCTTGGATGACAGGCCAATCTTGGGACTGAGAAGCTTTAAACCTCGTGAGGGAGAAAGAGCGGAGAATCGATGATGCGACGTTGTTTCTGGGGCAGCTTGCGTCGTGGATGAGGTTGCAATTGAACTAGTAGACGACTTTCTCAGTCCCGTAAAGGAGATGGAATCACGGTTTGATTTTCGGAGTACACTGGAGGAGGATGTCGGTTGACCAACTGATTGTCGAGGGACACGTGACGTTGAAACAGTTGCAGGGGATGCCCTAACCGATGCATTGCGATTCGCCCCAGAAACAGTCTTGGCCTGTCCGTCCTCGGATTCCAACACACCAAATTCGTTGGTACCGATTGGTGAAGGATTTGTCGACGAAGATGTTCCAGCGATGCTGGCACTAGCTCGACGAGCATTTGGCTTTTGCATCGGGGAACCAACGGTCGAGGTCCTACTCGATATGCGAGGAATCTTGGTCGGGGTTTCCTTAGGAAGACCGGAAACAGAAGTACTGAGAGAAGACGGAGGTGCATCTTTTGCTTCCTTGGCAGCAGCAACGCCGTTCGTGCCAACAGACGGTGAGCCCGCAATGGTAGGCAACAGATTCCGTGAACGGAGAGAGCTATCAGATTGTTTCTGCATTGAGCTGACAGTCTGCGAGGTCACTCTGGAGCTTGAAACCGTTCTCGTGGTACTGCTTGGTGTCGAAGAAGGTGTGGAACTAGCAGAGGAGGTTGATTTGAGGCGAGCAACTCGTTGTGCTGTGACAGGCTCCAACGCAGCTATCTGGAGAGGAGGTAATTGTACTGGTGACTTATTTTTCCGGCTTGGAGGGTCCGTTGATGACAGAGTCTGCAGCTGATTGGTTGAGGAAGTAGTGGGAGGGTCAACGCGTACCTTGCCGCGTTTCCTGCCCATCAACGCAGATATTCTACTCTCGCTGCGGTCCTTATCGTCCTTCTTCTGTTTTTCGAGTTTCGCGTGCTTTTCTTTCTCCTTTTCTGCTTCTTTGATCTTCTCCATCTCTCGAGCCGCCTCCTTTGCGTCGGCATGCAAGCTCCGGCGCGATGAAGACTTGAGCAACGAGAGTACTGACGATTTTTTGCCAGGAGTAGAAGTCGAGGTCGGATTGTGGTCACTATCTCCTTTGCTTCGCGCTGAAACAGTAGAGTAGCTGGTAGACTGAGTGGGAGACGCCGGGTTCGGTGCTGTGATAGGAACCTGCATAGACTGAGAAGACGAGCGACGGAAAAAAGGTATGGACGATGGTGTGAGTCGTTTAGATGGATTCCTCCGGACGGAAGACGTAGGGCTGAGTGGTCCGCCTTGAGTCATATTATGAGTGCTCGCACTGGAATCAGTGCCAGTGCGACTCGTCACTGCCCCTCGGTCTGGCGTCTTGGATGTTGACGGAGGATGGAGGCCGGGACTCCGGACCGATCCAACAGAAGACATTGAGGTCAACGAAGCCGCAGATGACATGGCGGCTGGCTGCTCCCATGGATTACCGACGATTACGGAAGCTGGCGATAAAGCTTGATCTTTCGACGTCGATTTGCGTAGCTGTTGTCCGAATGTCACAGCTCGAGGAGACTTGGGACTCCCAGAGGCTGTTGAGGGAGAGCCGGATAACCTAATGTTCAGAGCGTTCGAAAAACTCCATTTCTTTGATGGTGTCTTGACTACAGCTGGTATGGGCTCCAGACCAGTAGATGCGTGACTAGAGTATCCCGAGGAGGGTTGGCTACGTCGTCGAGAATCAGACATACTTGGTTCATGCGCCGGGACCAATGATAAAAGGGGGTGCTCGTTCGCTGTCATGACTCGTTCGTGGTTTCTCTTCATCGGACTGGGAAATAGAAGGAAAGGTCACACCGGTAGGTGATCGATAGGTCGTTAAATTCTTGGGGAGCGGCGGGACAGGGGGGACAACAGTTTCCTCTGGTGCATCACTATTGCTAGCCAACGATGCGACCCGGTCTTTGAGAGAGGTGGCATCGCTGGAATGTATACTCGACGCATCACTCCCAGCGCTGTTTCGACGAGCTTTGCCAAGCGAATGACGACTAGAAGCGGCGGAAACAGAGGTTGCAGTAGTTGTGACGGACATCGTGGCCGAGTCACGCGAACTGGTTGTCGGAGTGCTCGCGTATGTAGTTGACGAGGTAGAGCCACGTTTGGGAGTGAAACTAGAGCGCGCACTGCCGGAGCCTTTCTTGGGGGTTTTGTCAATGACAACAGAGGGACTTAGCGGCTGTTCGTCGCTGCTGATTGCAGTCCCAACCAAATCATTCGCATCAACCCCTTCAACTGCAACCCGCTCTTTGGTGGACGATGCACTTGCGCGCCGGCCAAGATCCATCGGTCCAATGCCTTCCCATTGGGTGCTTATCTTGGCTGGAGTACCTGGCCGACTGTTGGAAGAACGAGCTGTGAAGCTGCCAATGCTAGCGCGGGCACGTGCTGTTTTTCCACTGAGACCATCGAGTTTGCGAAGAGCTTCACTGGTTGCTTCATCATCCAAACCAGACCAGCCTTCCTGGGTTCCACGAAGTAGAGAGTGGGCGACGTTGGGGGATGTATGGGATTGAATAGAATCTCGGCTGACGAGAGGAGGAGTCTGGGAAGTACTGGGCTGTTTGAGAAAGCTTAATATGGATGTCGACGAAGGCGAAGGTGGAAGATGAGAAAAGTCAGTTGTATGGACACGCCGGGTGTTGTCAGCATGGTTGGAGGATGATGAGCTTGTCGATGCATGTCTACTGTGTGAGACGATCTTGAGACTACTGCTGTGAGAGAGTCCTGAACTCTCGCGACGACGGTCTTTAGGTTTGTTTGGGCTGGTGACATTCAAACTGCGATGTTTGCGAGCAGATGGTTTTTCCTCCTTGGGCGACTTTGCCGCCCGCTTAGAGACAAGAGAGCCAGTTTGGTCGAGTTCAAACTCGTCCGAAGTTCGTTTGCGAGCGCGTTTTGGCTGGGAAAATGCGCTTGGAGGGGGGGAGGGCTGGTCGGTAGGAGGTGGTGGGAGTTCTGCGATATTTGCTTTGCGTGGATAAAGGATTTCCTCGCCTCCACTCTCTTCAGTCATGGAAGGTCTTTCCCGAATTGTGCGTGGGACAAGCTGGGTCATTGTGAGCAAATATCAAAGAATAAATTCAACAAAAATGACCTCTTCTTTGTCGGACTCAACTGCTTCGATGGTCCAAGGACTGTCTGGCACATCTGGAAGCTCTTCTGCGTCTTCTCCAAGCGAGTCAAGGAGGGGAGTGACAGTCTCGTCCTTAGCGTGACGGGACCGTGTCCAGCGAGGTGTTGCAAGCTCTCCAACGCCAACAAGGCCTCGTCGGTCAATCGAGGCTGGATCTGATCTGGCAGGCGTGACTGGGTCGCTGGAATGTAGTTGGTCGGGAGTCGTGCTGAGTTGAGCACTGGGTAGGGGTGGAATTGGCGACTCGGAAATCCCAAAGTAATACGCCAAAGATGAGCCAGAGGTGGCTGATTCAGACCGTTGTTCCGTAGGCGTCACCAACACGCTAGGCTTTTAAGAAATCAGCGGTTGACAGAAGTAAAAGAGAAAGGATAATAACCTGTGGGGCGCGTAGTGGGGGAGGTAATTGCTCAATGTCAAGAGCTGGCGGGCGTTGACGAGCCTTGGTATCGTTGGTGGACATGGTAGTTACACAGAGTGGCACGACGACGTGGTGAAAGTCGAGGCCAGCTCGGTTGGACCGTTACTTGAAGTCTTGAGGCAAGGATTGGATCACGGAATTCTCAGAGGCCCATCATTTAGTCACGGTACTTTAGATTATGGCCTCAGGACTAAACAGATCATCCGTCATAGCGCAAGTTTGCACGTCCTCAACAATACCCCATCCTGGGCTTAAAGCTACACTACTCGTTGACTTTTGCTCTCGGTGTCTTGCTTTGTCTCTTGCACTTTGTGCCGCCCGTTTCTTCAACTCCTTCAACACCATGTCAATATGTGACTAGGAACCTGTCGTCAATTTTGTACTCACCTCTGGGAGAATGGTAGGTTTAGTGGGTTTGGTAACCAGTTTCTTTTGGTTCTCAGCCTGCAGATTAGTCAGCTACCTTGTTCCGCAACGGAAACAGGCATCTGAACATACCAATCGACGATGTTCCTCCGCTTGGGCTTGCAGACGCCGAAGCGTCTCAGCTCGCTTGGCTTCCCGTTTCCTTGCTTCTACTTCATCCTTTTGTCTCTGCTTTTCCGTTTCCTCTTTGATACGATCAGCTTCTTGTTTAGCTTCAAGCGCTCGGGTTTTTAGTTCTTGCAGCCGTTGCTCTTTTTGTCGCTTCTCTTCTTCAACCTTGGCTAGCTTTTGCTTTCGCAAATGCTCCGCCTCTTCTTCTGCTTTGACTTTTTCCTGTTGTTGCAATTCCAGTCGCTCTCTAGCAAGCTCTTCCTCTCTTTCTTTGGCCTCCAGTAATCCCTTCTGATGTCGCCGAGCTAATCGCTCTACATTTTTTTGTTGCTTGCGCTCTTTTCTCTCGCGCGCGCGTTCCGCATCAGCGACTCTCTCCGCTTCGGCACGCTCGTTCTCTGCTGCCTCTTGAAGAATCTCTCTTGTGTTGGGGTCAACAAACCCTTTCTGCTCATCATCAGTGAGTCTCCGTTTCCCAAAATATCACACCTGCCTTGTTCGTCAAGATATGATGAAACTTGGCTGCTGTAGGCAAGCTCCAGGATTTTTCCACTTGTGAAACGGTGGCTTCTTTAGTTAAAAGCTCTACCACCTCACTACTCCCTCCCTCTATGGCCAATTGTAGTGGAGTTCGACCGTCAGGAGCTGCCTTTGAAGGATGACAGCCAGGTAGAGGTTTCCCGTGTAGTCGACGTGAGAGAAGTAATTTGACCGCTGGAGCATTCCCATATGATAACGCAATATGGAAGGGATAAAGTTTGGCATCATTCATGACCTCGGTTTTCGCGCCTGTCGTGAGCGTAAGTGGAAAGAGACGACAAAAATGGAGAATACCCTTATCCAGGAGAAAAAGAACGAGGGGCTCATCGCCGGCTCGACATGCAGCATGCAGTATCGTGGTGAAATTTCGGTTCTCTGTGGATTTGTTGTTCTTGCTTTTTGGTATATTCTCCGGGCTGTTGACATCAAGAGAGTACTGTTCGAACAGACGCAAGACGGTTGTAGTGTCGCCAGTTCTCGCCGCGGAAAACGCTTGATGATAAGCTTCAATCACCTCGCGTTCAAATCGAGCCTTTTCTTGTGCTTTCTTCTTGACCTCTCGTTCCTCTGCTGCAACTTGAAGCTCTGGAAATGTAAGACCAGCATCAGCAAGGTATCAACCAACGCCAAGCTTCCTACCAAACTCCTTGAGCCGCTTCTGATATTCTTCATTCCTTTTTGCCTGGCTATCATCCCAAGCACTTGTGATGACCGGACTGTTGGAGTTGTAGGCAAAAGTAAAGAAATTAGAGGGCGGATGGCTGTGAGCTGTTCTCCTGGCACGACGGAAATCTGCTGAATGTGAGTAGCGTGATGGATTGGTTAGTTGGCATGCGGACCACCCCGCGTCGCGAATCGGCCAATAATCAACTCCTCGAATATGAAGCTTGAAACTATTAATCCGGAAGAGAATTTGCGCAGTCTTGTTCACCGTACACAAAAAAGTCAGCCATGTCCTCGGGGTCGAAGTCGTTCGAGATATCGGGAATATAGCTCCTACGCAAATAAAAAAACACCGTCTAGGGTTAAATGTGGGATTTGAAAAAAAGAACAAACTGGGAGGGGTTTTCGTAGTGCCTCTGTAGAGTGTGCCATGCAGCTCCAAGTTCTTGAAATTCCTCGGTGGCTTTATATTTAAGGCTGGAGCTCAAACTATGCGGTCTGCCTAACCTTTTGGATCGTCGGGACGTTTGTCTGGATGACATCGGAGAGCTTTCGTTTTGTACGCCTTTGTAGCTTCTTCTAACGATGCGTCGACGGGAACTCCAACTAGGCTGAAGGCCGCTTCAACTTGTTTGGACAACGACATTCAGGAAAGAGCAAGGACAAAGAAATGACAGGTGGACAGCCACACACGCGCCTTTGCTCTGACTTGTGACCAGCACACCAGCACAATGGGCAAGCGACGACGCGTAGAGGTTTCACCCGAAGACACGATCGTGGAGGACACGACAGAACAGGACTTGCTCGACAAAGAGAACGATATTTGGCTGGCATTCAAGGATGAGCATGTCGAAGTATTTGACCTCCAATCATCGCTCCCCAGAAAGTATGGCCTAGTACGCGAGCTTGCCGTTCAAGACGAAGAGCAAGGCGAAACCCTCCTCACTTCTCTCATGAAATATATCGAACTGCGTCGAACAGAACCGTCCCATACTTGTCGTGACGGCCTTGCCCAAATCGCTCAGTTGGCTGAGACATGGATTCACACTCGTGAGGAGAAAGTGAATCAGACGAGAGCGGCATTTGAACTGGTCCGTGGTACTACAGAAGTAATAGGATTTGACTTGAATTCTTTATAGGTCGAGCGATGTGTGCGTCTCATTGACCATGCGATCACTGAACAAGACCATGCGATTAAGCTTGGTACTCGACCTGGCACCCATTTTGCCCCACCACTTCAGCCAGAGCTGGTCATTCCAAGATGGGCAAAACCTCCCCGCGTGTCGCTCAGCCCCGACCTCGATGAAGCTCTTGGTGGCACACCACAACCACTTGAACCAGCTCGCAAAAAAGGCCGGAAACGGGGGAGAAAGAAGGCTGAGAGTTTCTCCCCTCAGCCCCGTCCAGATCCTCCCTATATTCCAAATCCCGATCCCAACGAGAAACGCTACTGTTACTGCGACCAAGTGTCGTTCGGCGAGGTTGGTCGTTGGACTATCAGCGTATCGCTCTTTAACACTGAATCCTCACCTAAGATGATCGCTTGTGACGACGCTCGATGTCAGCGAGAATGGGTGCGTTTTTCAGTGCCAATTTATGGTCGTGACTGAAGTTGTTGCAGTTCCACCTATCTTGTACGTCGCTTAAGGCGCCGCCAGAAGGAAGAAAGAAGTGGTTCTGCGATGAATGCATGCTCCGGAAAAAGCAACGCAAGGGTTAAGTTACAAGCTTTACAGTTACAGAAGTACACATTATATAAAATCCACTTTCATGTCTAGTTTGTTGGCCAAAGTGTGCATATAAACATCTGAGAGAGAGAGAGACGTCAGTGGTTGGAAACGAAGCATCGAGAATATGAACCAGTGTTATGTCGCAGCTTCCAATACTCCGCCAGTAGTTGGTTGAGCTCCGTTTCACTCGTCTTCAGGTGTTCGTTGATCTGAAGAGGCGTTAACTAGTGCCCCAAATCTGACACAGATAGGCAGTTAACCTTTCCCTCAATCTCGTTTGCCTGGGCTCGAATGTCTTCCACTTGCTTGTCCGTATCTCGCCGTTCCACAACCATGTCGTCATACTCCGCTTGCAACCGTTCAATCGTTTTTTGGCTGGCTACCTTACGATCCTCTGCGTGCCTCTGAGCGCGTTCCAACTTCTCTTGAGCGTTCGAAAGCTGTTTGAACAGCCGCTGCAAAAAGTTGGTTAAGTTCCCAGAAAGCTTCTAGAACCAGACTACGAACTTCACGATGCAAGTGCAGCTCCTTGTGTCGGATCTGTTGTCCTTCCACCAAATCCTTGAGTTGATGGAGCTCCTTTTGGGACTCTTGCAATGATCTGACTTCCTTCTCTATCGTCTGCAGTTGCTCGATGCACCCCCGAACGTCCTTTGACACCATTGTTAGCCAAATTCTCAAATGAGCGACCGTCAAAACCTTCTCAATGTTTGTCAGTGCTGTGATCTTGGCTTGGAGATCTCGCGCCTTCGATTCCTGCATTGCAACAGTTTGTTTATCCTGTTGCAAGGTAAAGCCCATCGTAGAAATCTTCTGCTTGATGCGGTCTGGTGACTTAACAATGCGAGACTGGGCCCGTGTGTTCAAGGCTGAGATGCTGACAATCTCTGCGTTGATAAGTTCCTGGAGCGAGATTAGGTTAGGCACAGAGAAGAGACAGCTAGATACTTTCTCCTTCACGATGTCCGCCTTTTCGATCTTCAAATTCTTGATTTCTTCCAGCGCCTGAACTTGCATCTCTTTAGATGCAAAGAGCTGCGCTCGGATAGCAGCATTTTCTTCCCTCAATTGCACACATTTGGGCTCATCCAGGGCGAATTTGGCTCTGCGCATTGTTAGCGGTTGGAGCCAAACAAACAAAAAAGACACACACTTGATATGTTCGATTTCTTCGGTGATCTGGCTCAATTTCTTCGAAACTTTTTCTCGTTCGACGATAATGCCTTCTGAGTTGTCCCGTAGCTTTCTGACGACGTCTTCGCAATATTGCTGGGTGAATTTGATGAAATTGATGAAACCGGACAGCACAAAGAGCGTGCGTTCCCGCTCAGGCATATATATGTCTCGAGAGCAAAAGTGATCTACTCGCGCTGCATCGGCGAAGCGCGTTCTAGCAAGTATGAAAGGGAGTGAGTCAGTAGCGCAGGGTCACTTACAAGTGGCGAAGTAGAAGATGGTTCGAAAGGGATGTAGCGTAGAGGTCCTCGAGACAAGTTAGACGTAGTATTGAATGGCGGCATCTGCAAACCTTGTCTACAAGTTGGGTATGATTCAACGCCCGCGTCACAGGGTCCTGGAGGGCCTCTGCATCTATGTCGGTGACCTGCTTGAGACACGCGCAGAATACGCCTGGAAACGATCAGCAGAATAGTCGTCTCTGTTCTGGTGGCCAACCTTGTACGAAGTCCGGTGTAGGATGACGCAGCTGTTCTTTGTTGATGTCATACCCCCATGCGCTGAGGGAGCTGATTATATCGTTGGATGAGAGAGGAGGAAATATCCCTTTACCCATCGCGTCTGAGGGAGAGTGGCATCAACAAAGTCACGTCGCGTCTGTCACGTCGCGTGACCAGCTTATGTGATTCACTCAGAATAAACTCCCCAACCCGTCCGTGTCGCGGCCATGAGCAATGCCGCCAAAGTGCGTATAAAGCTACCCATGGCGCGCCATCTCATCCACCTCTAGCCTTCAAAGTTCAAGCCAGCACTACCCGCTTTCTCCACGTCAGGTTATCATCGCAAGGCGCCTCGGCCCAGTGGCTCAAGCGAAACTATTGATATATCCAACGATTCCATCTCGTCACCTCCTATAAAGCGTTCCTCGTCAGACTCGCGTCTTACCGCCGATGCTCAGCCACCCACCAAGCGGCGCAAGGCAGAGAAGGAGAACCACTTTGAAGGCTTGCCTCCGACGTCGAACGACAACAAAGGAAAGGGCAAGGCTCGAGCTGTGGACGCCTCTCCACCCACCGCGTCTACACTAAGCCTCCCAACCGGGTTTACTGACATTGAATCTGTGAGTTTTGTCCAAATGATTTGTATAGATTCCTCATCTCCCTAGATGACGAGCTCCCACCTCCAAGAGATGCTCTTATGGCTTCACGACTACAGTCGCAGCAACATGGATCTAATCGTTAGATTCCACTCCGCTAGTCGCAATGCAGAGGAGGATGACGACTCGAAGGCAGACATCTTCCTGCTCGAAGCAATCAAGTAAAGTTGACTTTTGGTTGATTCTCAACTGCTCAAGGGCTATAGGAAATTTGTTGACGCCCGAATCGCTGCTGTCAAGGCGGCCACACGGAAATCAGACAAAGCTCGGGACCAGCCTCATCTTCCTTCTTCAGCCAACTCTGCGTCTTCCTCCAACTTACCAATTTCACGCTCAACGATCGTGCTGGAGGAAACATCCTTTGTTTCATTCGCTAGCACATCGGCGAGTAGAACCCGCACTGAAATACAGGCTTCGAGTTTTTCGTCAACCGCCACAATTGATGTTGACTGCGACGATGGACTGTGGGCTGACGTTGATGATGTAACAATGGAAGACCTCGAAGACAACTCCCAGCTGGACCGCAACCGTGGCCCACCTGCAGAGACAAGCTCGTATATCAAGGACAGTCCTTATACCTCAGAGATTATGAGCAAGCTTCATTTGTTCGGTCTGGAGAAGTTTAGACCAAACCAGTCGGAAGCGATTCACGCTGCCATGAGTGGGGCAGATGTCTTCGTACTTATGGTAACTCTTCTGCCTCAAGGTATAATTGCGAACTAATACTCTACAGCCAACGGGAGGCGGGAAAAGGTGACGACAAACGAATTGACCTGCAGCCCCAAGCTCACCTCTCCATTCAGCTTGTGCTATCAACTACCAGCAGTCTGTCAAGGTGGCAAAACGAAGGGCGTCACAATTGTCATTTCGCCTCTATTATCATTGATCAACGATCAAGTCCAGGCGTTGAGAGAGAAAGGCATCATAGCGGATAGTCTGACCTCTGAGACTCGTGAAGGAGATAACAAAGCGGTTCGGTCACGAATCTATGGCAACGACAAGCCATCACTCCTCTATGTTTCCCCAGAACGGCTTCAAATTAGCGAAAGTCTCAAAAACACGCTAGCCTATCTTCATCAACGTGGAGAGTTGGCTCGCTTTGTAATCGACGAGGCGCATTGCATCTCGACATGGGGTCAAGACTTTAGGGCTGCAGTAAGCAGTACTCGTAAACGTGATAGCAACACTGATCCTTCTCCAAGTATCAAGAGCTGGGCAAACTCCGAGAAGATTTCCCTGGTGTTCCCATAATGGCGCTTACGGCAACGGCAGATGAACGAGCCAAATCCGACATCCTTCATGGTCTGAAGCTTGAAAAGCCTGCGATCTTCGCGCAATCATTTGATCGACCCAACCTTTTCTACCGCGTCATCACGAAGACAAATGCTGAGGAGTTAGCCAAATACATCAACCAATCGCACCCAGACCAAAGCGGAATCATATACTGCCGCTCTAGAGATGGGTGTGAAAAGCTAGCCAACCAGCTCAGGACCAAAGGACTAAAAGCGAAGCATTTTCATGCCGGACTAGACAAGACAGAAAAGGAAGCGACTCAGAACGAATGGAAGCGTAAGCAGGGGCACATCATTGTTGCTACGATAGCATTTGGTATGTGCTTTGACAGACTATCCACTAGATTTACCATTGAGCTTATTACCTAGGAATGGGTATCGACAAACCAGATGGTATGTCAAATCCGGCTTTGAGAGTTTGAAGTCATCTCACCTTGGCTCAAGTTCGCTTTGTGATTCATTTTGACCTCCCAAAGTCGATGGATGGGTGAGTGGTATTATTTAACAGTCACCTGGCTCTGCCGATGACGCGACGGTGGTCAGGTACTATCAAGAAACTGGTCGTGCTGGCCGTGACGGGAAGCCTGCAGAATGCATTCTTCGTCAGTTTTCATAAGCACACTGTGTTTTGTTGACCTTTGGACAGATTATGCATACCGCGACGTCCAACCCATTCGGAATATGATTCACAAAGATCAGCAGACGACTCACGCTGCCAAAACCAGGCAAGACCAGGATCTCAACGTCGTCGTCCGCTTTTGCACCAACAACACCGTCTGCCGGCGCACCCAAATTCTCCAACATTTTGGCGAGCGTTTTGACGACAGTCTTTGTCGAGGAAGGTGCAATAATTGTGCAGAGAAAGGATCGCGAATTCAGACGAACATAACTGAAGAGGTCAAAACGGTCATTTCATTGGTGCAAACACTCGAGCGTGGCCAAGAAAAAGTCACTCTAGATCAGTGCCGCAGTATCTACAAAGGTTCATCTGCTTCAGCCATCAAGAATAAGCAGCACGACAGGCTTCCCGGTTACGCTGCAGGACGGCACCTTCCGCCTGAGCTGCTAGATATAGTATTCCACCAATGCATCCATCTTGGCGTGTTGGAAGAAAAACCGGTGCAGAATGGGAAATGGCACCACAACTATCTCAAGGTATATAACATCAACGCAACGGCTGACTTGCCCTAATCTTCAATTAGCTCGGCCCTCAAGCTGCAACATTCCTTCGGGAGGATAAAGAGACCCTGGTTGACTATAAACCGAAGACACCGAAATCAACAACGGCAGGCAAAAAAATACAGGGACCTCGAAAGGGTCGAAATGCTGCCGATGCTGCTCCACAGAAACCACCTGAACGACTTCAGGAGTTGTATGCCGACGACGACGAGATCGAGTGGAGCCCCAAGAAAAGCAAACTCCCCGTGGTTGTCAATGTGGTGGATGTCGTTTCCTCCGAGTCCGAGGGCGAGAATGTGGTGTCTGCTCCACCGAAATCTAACGCTACTATTGCTCCCCCGAGACCCGTTCGCGCGACTGGGAGCCTACACAATCAGCTCGTTGCTCATCGCCAACTTCTTTTGACCCAAGATCCTTCACTTTCCGCCGACGAGATTTTGGATGACAATGCCTTAACCCGCATCAGCGATTGTTCTCCACAAGGTGAAGGATCGCTTATTGAATGATGGCTCTATACTAACAGCCGCGTCGTAGACTTCTTCGCGTTCAAGAAGGTTTTGCAGGACATCTTTGAAGAGTTTGGAGCAGACTTGACAGAAGCCAAAGATGAGGCGGAGACGCGCTTCAGGAGATTTGGGAACGGATTCTTGCAAATCTGCCAAGGTCAAGCCGGCGATAACCCCGCTTCCTTGCGGGACAAGTACGCTTTCAAGCCAGAGTCAGTCTCGACGCCCATTGGCCAAAGGAAGTTCAAGTTCAAACCAGCCAAGGTTGCGTGACACTATTTATCGGGACTGAGAGTACGACAACATAACTACTTAGCGCACACCTGCTTCAAATTAATGTACATTCTTACAACGCACAATCTAAACTACCTTTTGGACTGGGAAGCGGAGAAGGAAGTGTCAATATCCTTTGTCGTCGTTTCCTCTGTGACTAGCTAATAATCTGCGCTGGGCATCCTCGCGCTTTGGACAGTTCACGACACTGTGCCCAAGTCCTGTGTGTTGTGAGCTTACTATTTCTACGAGGATGGTCTTGAGCATACCTCCACAAACGGCACATCCTTTCATGAAGCCGCCTTGAGGGTCTTCGATCGTGGAGAGGAAGGGAGGAACCTTCTGCCCAGCCTCCAGAAGCAGATATTTAAGGTCTAACAGTGTTGGCTCTGGGGTGTTCATGTTGACAAATGTAGTGGCGATGCCGGTTTTGCCGCTTCGACCAGTGCGACCAATTTGGTGAACGTAGTCCTCAATTTCCTTCGGCATCGTGAAGATGATAACATGTTGGATGTCGTTGAAGTCAAGTCCTTTGGAAGCGACACCAGAAGCAACCATGACATCTTTTGCGCCAGACTTGAAGGATTTTATGGCGTATTGACGTTCCTCCTGAGCTACGGAACGTCAGTACTCGACGGGAAGAGCTGGCGGGAGCTGACTTTTTGACCCATGAATCGCAACAGCCTCGACTCCTTTCAGAAGCAGGTATTCCTGGATATCTAACGAGGCTTAGTATTAATCAGGAATAAGTGTGTGATCCACGGACCGTCGACTTCATTTTTGTTTTCGCTGAAGACTATGACGGGCGGCGCAGTCTTTTGAAGGCATTCAAGTAGATAGACCATCTTAGCCTCTTGCTTGACATACTCCACCACCTGCAAAACATCCAAATTCGCCGCACCAGCACGTCCGACATTGACCAATACCGGTCGTATCAACGACTGCTGGGCAAAGTCTTGAATTTTCTTTGGCATAGTAGCTGAGAATAGTAATGTCTGTCGCTGAGCCTGTTGCTGCTGAGCCAACACCACTTTCACAAGTTTGGCACTTACTGTGAAGAAGCTCATGATGTTACGAACGTCGTCCTCAAAGCCCAAATCAATCATTCGGTCAGCCTCGTCCATGCAAAGATACTTGCAGTTGTTGAATGTGAACCTTTTCTTTTCCAGCATATCGATAAGTCTTCCTGGTGTCGCGATCACAATATGGAGGCCTTTGTTCATAACGTGACTCTGGTCCCTCATTGATATGCCGCCGATGCAGAGCAATGTGTTGAGTTGTGGGTACTTGCCAGACTTGGCCAGAGCTGAGCACCAACTGACGACGTTTTCGTATGTCTGGTTGGCCAGTTCTCGTGACGGACAGAGGATAACTCCAACAGGGCCTTCGCCGCGTATAAAAGGGAGCTTCGTTTCCTCCTCAAGTGCCATCATGATGAGGGGAAGGCAGAAGCACAATGTCTTGCCCGAACCGGTGAAGGCAATGCCGATTAAATCACGTCCTGAAAAACTGAAAGGTCGGTGGGAGCACAGAAAAACGGTTCATTTGCTTACGCCGCAGGTATGCCTTGCAATTGGATGGGAGTTGGGGATACGATGCGATTTGACTTGAAATGTTCGATGAGTGGTTCTGGTACCTTCATGTCCTAGGAGCGCAATTGAGCAACAAAGCACAAGTTGCTACCAGTATTCCTACTTACAACAAACCGCTCTATAGGTGGTGGAACGTCCTCGCCTTCCACAATGACATGGTACTTTTCCCGGATTCGCTCGTGTTCATTGTACGACCGTTCTCTGATGTATCGAGGCGGTCGCCAACTGAAGACAGGTTAGAAATAAACAAACAGAAACGAACAAGAAATGTGCCTCGTCTTGAGTGACTCGGTATATGATATGCCTCGTGCCAGTTCAAGGTCTGACGCGAGTTTGCGGCGACTTTTAATGGCGGCGAGAATTTCCGCGTCAGCCTCTTGAGCTTTCTCTAGCTCTGTTTTTTGTGCGTCTGAAGCAGTTGAGGCGATGGACAGGATGTCATATAATTATAACAACACACCTTCAGCAGCTTTTCTTGAGAGTACCTCTTGCGCTTCGACGAGTAACGTCCGCTCTCTACGCTCTATTTCTCGCATTCTCTCTTCTTCTCGCTCTACATCCTCGTTATCCTCCAACTCTTGCCGTTTGTTCACAGTTGTCTGAGTTGTTGGTCCAGTCCAAGAAGTAAGTTTTGCAAGCTTTTCCTTGCGACGCTGTGCCACAGGAATATAAGGCTCGTAGTCGTCATCGAGGTTATAGGTAGGCGTAGGCGAACGTTCGACGCGGCGACGTTTCGAGGATGAGGACATAGCAGAAGGTCAGCAGGATTATGCGTGACGATGAGATCGCTATCTGGCCTACTCTAATCACCACAAACATGGACTTTGACCCCACTTCTCATCCTCATCGAAGATGTAACAGTCTATTTCGCTGCCAAATCTCTCTGACCCAATCGCAGTCAATCCATTGCTGAATGAGTACATTCTCGTTTCTCCGCATCGAGCAAAACGACCCTGGCTGGGTCAAACGGAGACGCTACAGCCAACAAACCTCCCGCAATACGATCCAGAATGTTACTTATGCCCAGGAAATACCCGATCCGGTGGCCTAACCAATCCCGTCTACGAGCAGACCTTCACATTCGAGAATGACTTTGCAGCCATTCTCCCTCCTCCCGCACCAGCGCCACCTGTTCCATCACACCCTCTGCTTATATCGCAGCCCGTCCATGGCGGTTGCGATGTCATACTCTTTCACCCTCGACATGACTTGACGCTATCGCGGCTTGCTTTGGAGGACATTGGGCATATTATCGAGGAATGGATCGCAATCTACGTCAAACGCAGCATGCAAGAGGGAATCAAGTACGTGCAGATATTCGAGGTATGTTCATTGACGCTTATTGGAAAACAACTTGCAAACGGTGGCGGTGGTGTAGAACAAAGGTTCCATGATGGGATGTTCAAACCCTCATCCCCACGGTCAAGTCTGGTCGCTGTCAGAAATACCCAGTATACCATCGACTGAACTGGCTTCACTTGCGCATTATGCGGAGACCGAGACCTCAAGCACCGATGCACCAAGAGGATCCCAAGGTTGTTGACAGTGCCGTTGTGACAAGAGAAATATGCTAATTCGTCGTTCAGGGAGGCCGTGCATGCTTTGCGAGTATTCCCACATCGAGGTCAATGCTGGAGATGACGATGGGAGGGTTGTTGTCAAGAATGACCACTGGGTGGCCCTCGTTCCATGGTGGGCAACATGGCCATTTGAAATCCTCCGTGAGTGTCGAAACAACGCAGTAACGCCACTGAGACAGTTTAGTACTTCCATATAAGAGACATATTCCCTCCGTTGAAGAGCTGTTGGCCGAGGAAAAGAAGGCGTTCGCCGACATTTTGTCGAAAGTCACCATCCGCTACGACAACCTTTTCTCCTGCATGTTTGCCTATTCAATGGGAATGCATCAGCGCCCTACGCGGAGTGGAGACGACATTGCCCATCTTCATCTACATTTCGCGCCACCCTTGTTGCGGAGTGCCACTGTCAGAAAGTTCCTCGTTGGGTGGGTGGTCAAAGAATCACAAACACGCCACTTTGCTGATAGCTGCCGTAGATTCGAGCTTATGGCGGAGGCTCAGAGGGACCTCACGCCAGAACAAGCAGCAGCGCGGTTGAGAGGGGTAGAGTCCAAGCATTTCATGTCATCGTAGTTGAAAGGGTAGATACTGATGTAACGGGCCGTTACACACCACTCTTCTGACGACCACGATGAAGTTACTCGCGGCTTCCTTATTACTCGCTGCATCTGCCCTATCACCTGCGTCTGGTTCGCCGTCTAAACCCGTAGACGGCTCAGTCTTACGAGTGCATTGCAGGATACTTTGTCGTCACATCTCCATCTCTGAACGACCAATGGGTTAACGGCGAAACTCACCAAGTCTCATGGAGCAAGGGAGCCAAAGACGGCGTAACCTCCTTCGACATTGAAATGTCCCAACTCAGCGCCACCGGCCTTACCTTGATCGCCAAGAATGGTGCGTGTCTTCCCGGCCCACGCAAGATTTGCTCAGAATAGATCTTGCTTAGTTCCTTCCTCTGACGGTGACCAAAAGTCAATAAACATCCTACTACAAGATGTCCCCCCAGGAAACGACTACTTTCTGCTCTTTCTGAATTCGACCCACGGCGTCATGCATGGTACCTCGCCTCGATTCACAATCCTTCCAGCCGGTTCAAACGGCAATATATCATCAACCACCAACCCGAAGGCAGCCACTGTCACCGTTAGCGGCTCGCCGAATCCTACTCAAGCTTTTGCGACTACATTCCCGCTCGTTGCTAGCGATGCCCGACGGAGAGCATCACCACTATTGGGAGTCGGGTTAGGTTCTCTCATATGGGGTTGGGCAGCATGGACAATGTTTTGATAGTTGATTTGGGACTTGTTAGACTTCATTCACGCTCGTTTGCATATAGGCAACACCACATCTAATTCTTACATTAGAGCCACCTCACCAAAAATACAGCTAGAGAGTTACAAATTACTAAGCATACTGGAAAGGCGGGGTCAGCTAAGAAAAGACTCTCAAAAAATGGACTCACCCGAGTAAAGGTGCCTCTGGTCATGAATGTCTCCTTCCGACCCAACTCCTGAGAGCTATACAAGGTTTTCACGGCATCACTCATATTCGCCTTGCGCTTAGCCTCCTCTAGAGCCAAAGTACTGCGAAGCGAGTTGCTGGCGGTAGAAATGGTCGGAACCGCCGACTTTTTAGCAACAGGTTCACTTGTTATGTCGGCTGCAGCTGCTTTTCGTTTCTTGGACTTTTTGACTGGTTCAACAAGCCGTTGCGCAGCCATAAGCTCCCGAAGCCGCTCCTCTTCGTCAGCGGAAGGGTTGAGCGGAATGCAGTCGATGGAATGGGTGAACTTGGTAGCGCAATTTGGGCAAGTGTCTTTCTCGGGCTCCCCTTGACTTTCTGGTGGCGATGAACGCACCGCATTGAGTCCAGCGGCAGCAAAGACGCATCCACAAGTCCGAAGGTAGACAAACGGCGTAAGACCGTTCATTTCCTTGTAAGTCAAGGGACAGACAAACAAAGTACGTTCAGTGGGGTCGGTGCCAGAAGCCGCAGGTGCGGAGTTTGGCGTAAGAACGAGAGTTTTGACATCCTGGATATAATGAGTCCACATCCGTGCCACATATACCAATAACACGCACCTTCAATGAGCGGATGTGGCCACATATGTTTTCTCCATCTCCATATGCGTCACGATTCAGCAAAAACTCGATTATGGCATCCTTGTTGTAGAGCTTTCCCAGGGCACAAGAGACAACTGGTTCTTGAAGTCGACGTTTGGAGAGCGCACAGAATCCCCAACGAGCTCGAGTCTGATTTGCCTTGTCGACAGCTTCAGCCTTCTTCTTGCTGCGAACCAAGTCTCGGCGATCGGGGATACTGCCTCCGTCATTACCCATCGGGGTGAAGATGTGGGTCAAAGCAGAGACGAGTTGGTGGAGATGAGGGTCGCCGAAGCTGAGTCAGAAGTGATTACCTAAGTAATTACCTCACACAGTCCGAAGGTTCGGTGTCCGGCTCTTGACCTTCCCGACCTCTGTGATTTCAATCCAACTTACTTAAAATCGCATCTTGCTCTTTACCCCAACTCCCCAGACATCCCTTGCCAAGGTTTGCCCTCACCGCTCACGAGCGTACCCACCTGACACAAGACCACCTAGCCATGAGTCCCTCAGCCAAAGCAGCAGTCCTTTCGAAGAACGACGACGACGTTGTTATAGTTGCGGCCATTCGCTCAGCGCTGACCAAGGTAGTTGCCGCTCTATCCCTGCCAGACCCATCGTTGACGCTTTTCCAGGGCAAAAAGGGCGGTTTTAAGGACACGCATCCCGAGGAGCTTCTCTCCCGTGTTCTTCGTCATGTCTACACGTCGGTCAACCTTGACCCCAAACTGATTGAGGATGTCGCTGTTGGCAATGTCCTTCCACCAGGCGGAGGAGCCAGCGCTGCTCGTATGGCCGCGGTAAGCATTATTTCGTTGCTCTCGATAGGGTACAAATCTCAGTTCTTCAAAGCTCCATGCTGGTCTCCCTAACACCACTGCGGTCAACACGGTCAACCGTCAATGCAGCAGTGGCTTGACTGCCATCAACCAGATTGCGAATGAAATCAAGGCTGGCGAGATTGACATTGGCATTGGCGCTGGTGTGGAGAGCATGACCAAAGGCTATGGTGCCGGTGTCATGCCCGCCAGCTTCTCTGACGATGTCCTATCCAACTTGGAAGCTGCAGACTGCCTTATTCCTATGGGTATCACCTCAGAGAATGTTGCCGCCCAATACAAGATCAGCCGTGACGAACAGGATGCCTTCGCCGCCGCTTCTTTCCAAAAGGCCGCCAAGGCACAGAAGGAGGGTCGTTTCAAGGACGAAATTCTACCCATCGAAGTCACATGGGTAGATCCCAAGACGGAGCAAGAGAAGAGAGTTGTTGTCGACAGCGACGACGGTGTCCGGGATGGTGTCACAAAAGAGAGTCTCGCTAAGCTCAAGCCGGCTTTCACCAAAGAAGGCAGCACACATGCTGGAAATGCCTCACAAGTCAGTGATGGCGCGGCCGCTGTCCTCTTAGCCCGTCGCAGTGTGGCCAAGAAACTCGGTCTGCCTATCGTTGGCAAGTTTGTCAGCGCTGCGGTCGTCGGAGTCCCCCCCAAGATCATGGGTGTTGGCCCAGCGTATGCTATCCCCAAGGTTTGAAATATTCGTCTCATCTTAGGCTCATTTCTCACTGTAATCGTCAGGTTCTTGAGAAGACTGGGCTTTCCAAGGATGAGGTTGATTTCTATGAGATCAACGAGGCCTTTGCGTCGCAAGCTGTCTTCTCCGTCAACCACCTTGGCCTCGACTACAAGAAAGTCAACAAACACGGTGGTGCCATTGCTATCGGTCACCCCCTTGGTTGCAGTATGTTATTCGTTCCTTTTCAGGTTCGTGATGGCTAATTGCAACGCGTAGCTGGTGCCCGTCAGGTCGCCACTGGTCTCAACATCGCGAAGCAGTACGGAGAGAAAATCTTTGCCACTTCAATGTGCATTGGCTCGTAAGTGTTGGCCTTGCTTTCGTACCCCTAAATTAACCGCTACTTTCAGGGGGATGGGTATGGCGGCTGTCTTTGTGAATGAGCAGTGAAAAGTGTACTATTGGAAGGAACGGGTGAATCGCTGTAGATAATTCATGGCCTAATTATTATTTTATCCTGTGACAGCCAGGGGCATGACCACACGTCATGGCGCTTCGACGCGCTTGCATCCTCCTACTTCTACCTGGCACTCGATTCTCCTCTCATTTCAGCGCAATGTCTTCAACTCCCTCAGTCATCTCGTCTTCGGTTATGTCAGCTTCTGAAGCCAAGTGGATAACCCTCAAGAAACTTGTTTATCGCGATGCGGAAGGGAAAGAGCGACTTTGGGAGTCGTAAGCCATGTCGCGAATTCCAATACTAGTCCCGTTCCAAATACGAGAATCATAGGGCAGAGCGTACAACTCGGAAATCATCTGGAATCGACGCAGTCGCTGTGCTTGCTTTGATACGCTCCAAAACAAACGCATTCCCTCTGAGTACAATCATCATTGAGCAGTATCGACCGCCAATAGACAAGTTTATCGTCGAGATGCCGGCGGGTCTGATCGACGAAGGCGAAACACCTGATCAAGCAGCCATCCGTGAACTCGAAGAGGAGACAGGCTTCAAGGCCAACTCTGTGGTTGAATCAACACCTGTACTGGTGGCGGATCCAGGTTAGAATCTTACCAAATACTCTTAGAAACGTCAAAGTTTCGAGCCTACAGGAATGACAAATGCAAACATGAAGCTCGTTGTTGTGCGCGTGGACCTCCCTGACCAAATGGAGACTCCCGAGCAAAAATTGGAGGCAGGCGAATTTATCGTCAAGCGTGTCGTAGAGGTTTCCAAACTCGATCAAATTTTGAAAGGTGTGGATGACCATCTTTTTTTTTCTTTCCTTTGTTCATGGGTGATGCAGAATACGATTCCAAGGTTTGCCTACATATTTGGGTTTTCTCTATGAAGTGTGCCTTATACGGGACAGGGTTATGTTGTGGATGCCAAATTGATGCATTGGGCATCAGGATATGAGATGGCGCGACGAATTGCTGCTGGAGAGCTGTAGTTGTAGGACAGTATCAATTTGTGGGACGACGGAATCAATCTCAGGTTGAAGTACGTGACGTCACGGTTGCGAGGACAAGTTGCCGTTTCTAGATCAAGGCATTTATTTGCTTGGCTTTACCTTCTCACCTTCCCCCGTATCCGCGGTCGCAGGCGGTCGACGGTCTCACTCTCATTTTCACCAATCATGGATCCCAATTTTACTTTTCCGCGCCAAAGGCCCCAGGCTATGCCCCGGCCACCTCCTGCTGAACCACCATCTGAGCCTGTAAACCGAGAATCGAATGCCTTGCGCGCCTCTGTTCTCGACGCAGCACTACAACTTGGCCTTGGTTCGAGTAAAATGGCGAACTGGATGCTCAATAACACCCTTGCCGAAGACGAGGAGGAGCCTGAAGAGGTATCTGCTCAATTCTCCCCACATTTTTTTACATAACCGAACACGCGGCTATAGGACACACCCAGCCGAGCACCGTTGTCGCCTACCTCTGAAGAGTCTATCTCGTACTCTACTCCGCCGACCTCTCATGAATCCTATTCCGACCCAAGACCACCCCCAGCCGTGGCCCCACAAGTTCACTTCCCTCCCCAACCAGACCCAGCTCCCCCCCTACAACCGCCCAGCAAACTCAACAAACTTCGCAAACAACGTCGCGAAAATGGCAATGATAGCGATGGTGGTGGTTATGTCAGCGACGGGGGCAAGAAAGCGCGCGTTCGGACGAAATCGAAACCAACCAAACCTGACCCTGTGGTCGTTTTCCCGATCAGCGAACCCACGGAGCTTATTCCTCTGAGCAAGGAGGAACGTAAACGAAAAAAGAAGGCAGCAAAGGGTGGGCTCAAAGATGCGGAAACGGACACGGAGGATATTCCTGGCAAACCTGCCAAGGCCAAGTCAACAAAAAAGACTAAGAAAGGGTCTGCAGATGTTGGCGCTGGCTATGAGACCGACGATGGATATGTCTCGTCCAGCGGCAAAAAGGCCAAAACGCGACGTTTTTTCAGCCTTCGCAAAAAGGAGTCGACATCCGAGCTTGCACCTGAGCCAGAGCCAGTTCCCCCATTGCCTCAGCATGAAGCATTCGACCTCCCCATTGCTTCCAGATTTGCGACAACGTTACCCCCATCTGGCAGTAGGGCAGAAACACCCCTCATGCCGCCAGCTCGGCCCTTTGCCTCCGGATCATCGTCTCCCTCGTCAGCTTCTTCACTATTGACTCCCAACGACCCAGATAGCTCTGCTGCAAATTCGCCTCTCATCAGCACCACTTCTTCCCGCTTCGATGAGGATGGTCTTCATGACAGAAGCCATAGCACTGGTATGGACCGACCCGTTTCCCCTCTGGTTGCTAGCAACTCAAAATCCAAATTCTTGATCTCACTTCCCCTCACTCGGACTGGAGAGCAGTCTAGCCCATCCAAAGCCAAGACCCATTTAGCGCCAATATCTTTGTCGCCAAATCCTCCCATGAGTGGCTTAAACTCACGATCAGTGTCACCAGGACCATCGCCAATGGGTTCACCATTTGTGCTACTCACTCCAATCAACACTTCTAGTAATCCACGAGTCCATTCCCCTGCAAACTCTGGGTCTACAGATATAATCCCGTCAACGGATTTCATTGTCCCGTCACGTTCTGCATCACCACTCCCTCCTTCTCCAAATGTTCTGTCATACTATGATGTGCCACCACCGAGTCCTCCGCCCACCGGCCCCCTCCCTCGCCCTCCACCTTCGCGTGATGTTGGCCCTGGTATTGCTCGTTTGCGAAACATGAGTCGTGACCGCAACGGTGTTCAAGAAGGGCTCAGTCCCATTCCACGTGACCCCGGCAGTCGCTCTGTCAGTCCTAGCCCTATATCTTCACCGTGGTCAACGGGCGGACGACTGAGCCCATTACCCCTCAGTCCAGGGGCAAGAAGCCCCATTTCACCTACCCAACGCGGAAGAGCTGCCCCATTCCCTTCCCAGCCAATTATCCCATCACGCTCTGCCCCTAATACAGGTTTGGGTCCCGGTCTTGCAGCGCGTGTCCAGGTCGAGCGCTATCGCGACCTGTACGCGATTCAAATCCCAGATCAAACACGTGACCGCTACCGTGATGAGGATGAAACAAGTGTGAACATCCGGGTACAAGAGGGAAGCGATGAGGAAGTTGAAGACGATCCGGAAATTACTGGTGTGTTGGGGCGTTTCCGCCAGCCTGTCAACCGAGAGCGTGATGCAGCAGCGTTGGAACGAAACAATTCGGGAGCCCTGCGACCAGGTACAAATACGCGTCGGGTCAGATTTTCACCCCAAAGGTCGCCAACGAGAGAAGCATATTCAGAAGAAGAGGAAGATGATGATGACGCGTCGCTCTATCCTGACGATGAGCGCACTGCTGGTCGCAAAACCATGTTTCTGTTTGACAAAAGTTCGAGTGGAAACGAGGACGACACTATTGGGGCTCGTGGCACGGTCTACTCCGAATATAGCCGTGCTAGTTTCATGGACAACGGCAAGAGTGAGGTCGCCCGTGGTCGACTTGTTGACCGTGTTGGCGCTATGTTTGATTCGACTGGTAGGGAGCGGCCTGCAGCCCCTCCTGTGCCAAGGCTTCCCCCAGAACTTCTCGCTGGTGCGAATCGATTCTGAAAAGCTTATACTGACTTCCTTGATATCCTGACCTACCTACTGCTACCATTTTTGTGTATCATACCCTTTCACTGCTCTTCCTCACAGCGTGAGTGCATTTAGACTTGTATTTTTTACTTGGGGAATTTAGTTGCTCTATAAAAACCACTAATCATGACATCATTTTTTGGCCTTTCTTCGCAGAGCTTGCTGTTTTTCCCTTAGCGATGCCTTTTTCTTTCCCCTCACCGCTGCGGTATGCATAATCATCATAATGGGCTTGTTTCGCGCCTTCTCTCTGTTCGTGGAGCTGCTTGGTGCCTCTTTGTTCTTCTTGCCCTTACGAGACCCATACTTTTCGCGCCCTTCTCGCCCCTTTGCAATCGAAGCCATGCGTTCTTCATAGTCGGCCTTTGCTTTCTTGCGCGGACCCAAGATGTCGTTTTCGGAGACAAACGTGTCTTCGAGCTGGTCGCCAGCCTGCATTGCCTTCTTATTCGCCTCCAGTGTCGCGAGTTTTCTTTTTGCGCGCGACCCACCCCCCTTTTCAACAGCTGTGGCGGCTGCTTGGATTCGCAGATCGTTTAATAGAGCGAAGTCTGCGGGAGTAAGAATTTTGGTCGTCGCGAGGGTGGAAACTCGAGCTGGGCCGTCTGGCGGTGCTGCTGTTGATTTGTTGTCCTCGTCTTCGCTATCTGAGATATGGAGGTCCTGATCGTCGTCTTCCACGTTGATCCAGCCTTCAGATTCGGAGTCACTTGAGTCTGAGTCAACATCCCACCCGTTCCATGCCGCCTCGTCGTCCTCCTCAGCATCAACATCTCCGTTCTCTTCGTCGCGCAGTTGTTGTAAATGGTCTTCGAGGAGCTGGAGAATTGTTAACAATGTTCGGTAGCATAAGCAAAACTCACGGCCAGTCCTTCGATATCCACTGCGGCATCGGCGCTGTGTCCAAATGGAAGGGGTTGCGACCCGCTTGCAATGCCCATACTCGCCTCCTTGCCCTGCGAAAAAAAAAATGATGACAAAACTGTATATTATTCGAAAACGACATACCCGTTCCCGCCGTTTGAGCATCCCTGGGTTCACTTCACGGTACAACTGGAGCAATCCACGTGCAGCAGAGGTTACCGCCTTGTCGCGGCTTTTCCTGTACTCGACCAGATCTCCAAGAAGATCCTCCTCCATCGCCCACGGTTGACGTCGACAGACTTCGCGGATAGCATTAATTCCGGCAGCGATAACCTCGCTTGCGACTCCGGGATGCACAAACTCGTGCGCAAGTTTACGAATGACCGGTGTGACTGCGTCTGGTGGGGTCAAGTCGTGGACCGATTGCGCCAACGAAACAAGAATCGCCGGGACTCGCAGTTGTCGGTAAGTGAGGTACTTGACGATATAGGTGTAAAAGCCGAGGACGCAGAGCTTGTGGGATCCCATTACGCGGGAGAGCAATTGCAGTAGCAGTATCTTGTGGTCCAGAGAAAAGCGCTTGTCGTACTTGTTGACAATGTCAAACAGTTTTTCGCCAAATGTTTGGGGGTCATTTAGTAGCTGCAGACCGGAGAAATTCGGCGTCGGCGTGGATTTGTGGTGCTTTTTCTGGAAGGCAAATAAGATAATATTGGGGACCAGAGACAGCAACGGGCCTTTTTTGCAGTTTCAAGCTGTTTCCTTAGCTTCCTGTCTCCGCTGCGAGTTTTCTTGTTGATTTCGCGGCGATGAGCAAGAGCTTTGACATCGACTTCCTATAGTGTTGGTATGAGACTAAACCAGCCTGAGGCAGACTCAAAGAGGGACCTGTTCTTGTTCATCATCGCTATCTGCTTTCTCTTCGTCGCTACCCAGAAAGAAATGAACGGATGCGCTCTGGACTTTGATCACAGGATGAAAGCATCCAAGAGCGAGAATAGACACAGATTTAGCGTCATTCCTGTCACAATGAATAGGCGCATCAATCGAATGGGAAACACGCACCAGACGCCCTTGCGCCAAAGTTCCTTGGTAAGAATAACTGCCCACATAGCCTCCTCACCATTGTGCGCCACTTTATCGCTGGTTGGCCCTGCCGATTCTCTTAGCTTGCCTTTATCACCCATGACCTCGCCATCCATTCCCCGCTCAACCATCCCGAATAACATTGCCTGGACTGCGCGATTGAGCTTGTGGTTCTTGGAGCGCATATTTGCGGTCTTAATATCGGACAATATTGTCTTCCGAATGAAGGCCCTGAGCTGCGAAGAAGTTGTCCGAGGCAAGAGCGGGAACAGACTCTTGAGCAGCCTAGAACGAATAAGTCAAGACATGCTAAAGTAGATGGACAAGCCAACACACTCAATGGAAGTTATGACTTCCTTATTCTTTAGCATAACAAGGTTCTGGACAAGTGTCTTGCGGGTGTCGGGAGACAAGATCCCGTAGTTTTCGAGCAGAAGCGTTGAGATCTGCGAGGGAAAGTCTGCAGTTTCCTTCGGGTAGCATGTTGCGACCTGATTGCAAAGTTAGAGGCGCAACAAGCACATAGACAAGCGTGCCTGCGAGATGAAGTTGACCAATTCACGAAAATGAGCAGCTTGCTCATCTGGATTTGTTGCGAAGATGCGGCGAATGGAGTTATAATGATTGTACTGCAGTAGAAACTCCTCTTTGTAGCCCTGAGGATCCCGTTTTATCAGGTTCTGAAGTTGTGGAAGGTTGGCCGTTAGCAGGATACCGCGACCCATTTTTTTTGGAGGGGCAAGCAGCGGAACGGAGGTCACGTTCCCGATTTGATTTTTTTTTCCTTCCTGCCCATCATGAGTCGCGGTGCACCAAGAGGCGGCGGGTTTGGTCGAGGAGGTGGTATGTATGCTCCTAGTGCGACATTCTTTCTCCTCACATGAACCCCAGGGCGTGGCGGCGGCGGACGGGGGGGATTTCAACAGCGCGATTTTGGACCTCCAGAAACTGTCCTTGGTCGGTGATCTATTTTGTGTGATCTGAGGGCAAATAACTGACGATGAAAACAGAAATGGGTTCATTCATCCATGCGGTTGAGGATGAGATGCTCTGTTCGTCTCTAATGCCCGACAAAGTGCCCTACTTCAATGCCCCAATCTATCTGCAAAACAAGTCCGTTATCGGCAAGGTGGACGAAATCCTTGGGCCAATAAATGAGGTTTATTTCTCAGTCAAAATGGGCGATGGAATGGTCGCGAGCAGCTTCAAGAAGGGAGACAAGGTCTACATTGGCGGCGACAAACTGCTACCAATCGAGAGGTTTCTGCCCAAACCAAAAGTCGTCGGTGGTGTTACTAGTGAGTTTACTGTTTCTACTCTACGCCAGGTAACTAAAGTTTGCATAACTTAGAACGCGGTCGAGGACGTGGGGGTGCTCGGGGTGGTGATCGTGGGAGAGGTGGCTTCCAAGCCAGAGGAAGGGGAGGTGGTGGGTCAAGAGGATTCCAGCCCAGAGGCAGAGGCGGGTCACGAGGCGGATTCGGAGGTGATCGAGGCAGAGGCTTCTCTCGTGGTGGCGGGAGAGGCGCACCAAGAGGGAGAGGGTGGTAATATTTTGATTGTACTTTTCTTATTTTATTCTGTTGTCCCCAACCATCATGGCTTTCTGGAAGCCTGGCACGCTTGCGCCCGGCAGTAGTCTCGACAGAGAGACAGGGGACTCAGACGGTATTGCAGTAGCCTCTTCTCTCAACACGCAACGCGAGCAACTGCCTATATTCAAGCATCGTAATTCGACTCTTTCTGTCCACTCGTCCCATCAGCCAACCTCCGTTCAGGCGACAAACTTCTCTATGCCATCGAGAAGCACGGAGTCGTCATTCTTGTTGGCCAGACTGGCTGCGGGAAAACTACGCGTGAGTCCAGCTTGCTGGAGCATAGTAGACCTCACTTGAGCGATCAATAGAACTACCTCAATATCTTATGGAAGCTGGTTGGGCGCAGAATGGCAATGTCATCGCGTGCACACAACCTCGACGTGTTGCAGCAACTTCGGTTGCCTCTCGTGTTGCTAATGAAGTCGGCTCAATACTAGGTGACGAGGTGGGCACTTTTTTTTTTTTTTCTGTTTGAGTAATTGTTGACAAGCGACTTTAGATTGGCTACACAATCCGCTTTGAAGACGTTAGCGACAAACAACGCACACGAATTCTCTACTTGACCGACGGAATGCTCTTTCGTGAGACTTTGGTCGACCCTCTTCTCAGTCGGTATAGTGTTATCATGGTAAATGCCGATTAACAGTAGCTGCACAACCGCTTGACCTCGGCTTTCTTCAGATTGACGAGGCCCACGAAAGAAGCATCTACACCGATCTCCTTCTCGGTGTGCTGAAAAAGTTCACTTTGCTTGACGGCGAGGACCAGTATTTACGATTCCCTAGGATTCGTCGGAAACGACCCTCGTTGCGTATTGTCGTATCTTCAGCTACGCTCGATGCTACATCATTCTTGCACTATTTCACCGCATCCACGTCCCCTGACGAAGCGACAATAGTCAGTCTGGAAGGCAGAATGTACCCCGTGGAGGTCGCATATCTTGACACGCCTACGCCAGACTACGTCAAAACCGCTGCTCAAGTGGTTTGGAATATAAATCTCCAGGTAGATTTCGTTCCAGCAAAGCCAAGTCCCGTTCAACATGGTCTTTTAGTCAGGACCAGGGGACATTCTCGTGTTCTTGACTGGACGTGACGATATAGTACGCTGTACGGAAGAGTTGCTTGAGCTTCTGCCAACGTTTGTCACTGTCCTTTCATGAGCATGCTCTCGCTAATGACTATCCAGGTTACCTCGCACTGCGACGCGACTGATTCCATTACCGCTCCATGCCGGTTTAACGACTGATGAGCAGCTTCGAGTTTTCCAACCTGCAGATCGCGGCACACGAAAAGCCATCATTGCCACTAATATTGCTGAGGTGACCTCGCTTTAGTCTCCCCGAATTGCCTACTAAAGTTTTCGCTCCAGGCAAGCGTCACAATTGATGGCGTAAAATTCGTTGTTGATAGTGGCTTCGTGAAAATCCGAATATATAATCCTACGACGGCCCTCGCGTCACTAGCAACCGTCCCTACGTCCCAAGCGTCCGCCACCCAACGAGCAGGACGTGCCGGTCGGACGTCGCCGGGCATATGCTACCGGCTTTACCCGAAAGCGATATCAGATACTCTTTCGCTCGCAACACCACCAGAAATAACGCGCACTGACATGACCACGCCGATATTGCAACTCAAGTCCCTGGGAATCGACGATCTCATGAAGTTTGAGTGGGTTTCCGCGCCACCTGCTGAAAGCGTGCTGCGTGCATTGGAGGGCCTCGTCGCCGCTGGCATGATTGGAGAAGACGGTCGCTTGACGGTTATGGGAGAGCAAGTAGCCGAATGTCCAGTCGAAGTCGGCATCGCGCGGATGGTATGTAGTTGTTCCCTTTCCCAGCCGTCTCACTCTAACTCGTTTAGCTTTTCAGCTCGAAGGAGCACAAATGTGGTGATGAGATTTTGACTATCGCCGCAATGACTGCGGTCCAGGTAGGCTGTTTCTAGCTCAATGACTATCAGCGCTAATGACGGTCAAAGGATGTCTTCATTATTCCTGATGGTGCCCCTGGCGCATTAGCAGAATTAGAGCGTCGGAAATTTACTGCTGAGGAAGGGGTGAGTCTCGTTGCATCTATCTACCGCTAGTTCTTAGTCCGTTCTAGGACCATCTTACTCTCCTAAACGGTACACCCCTTCTCCGCGTCACGTCAGAATACTAATTCCAATATTAGCATATAACGCCTTCACAAAATACGGCCGCTCGTCAGGCTGGTGCAAATCACACGCACTTTCTTTCAGGGCCATGTCTCGAGCGGTTTCCATACGCGCTCAACTGAAAAAATATATGCAGCGATTCAATCTGCCGATAGAAAGCTGCCAGGGAGACGCTGCACGTTTGCGGCGTTGTCTTGTCAGTGGGTATTGGCGTAACGGGGCTCGGTGGGTAGCAGATGGCACCTACCGATCCGTTCGAGGCAATCGAGTTCGTTTTGTGATTCCTTCTCAATGAGTTTGAGCTCATCATCAACACAGACACTCCATGTTCATCCGACATCAGTACTATTCACCCGAAAGCCGCGTTCAGGCTGGGTCGTATTCCACGAAATGGAGGAAACAACGAAAACTCAGTAAGCCGACCACCAATACTTTACTTCTTCATTGACTTGTCACCAAGAATTCGAATCATCACCGAGATTGAACCCGACTGGCTGGTAGACCACGGTCACCACAAGTTCGAAACAGGGCGTTCATGATACACACAAAATCAAATTATAGGGAAAGTAAAAAAAATAAGTGATCACCGGTTAATGCCCATCTTGAGTGAAGCCCCAGTCACATCGACCTCGTTCCATCGCGAGTCTGCAGAACCCTCCGTGACCGCATTCTTCCTCCTCTGAATGTAAGCAAGAGTGTTTCTGAAATGCCTTGTTATCATTTCTGGCGTTTGGACCCCCTCGATAAGCCCAGGCGGCGCTCGCTGGGAAGGGTGGATGTCGGGTGAGGCGATGTTGTCGATGCTTGAAGTGATGAGCTCGACCAAGCTGTTCACAAACTTGGGTGCGACCTAAAATTGCTTAGAAAGGAGACAGTCCAACCAAAAGATGACCCACCGCCGGAGCTCCGCGATCCAAATAATACAGGTAGTGGTCCAGAGTGTCGCAATAGAGCTGCACCGTCACGATCTCCTCGATTGCAGCACCCGCTACTCTGAGTGACTTTTGTAGGCACTCCAGCACTCGTTTGCTATCTTGGTGTGGGAACTAAAGGAAGAGAATTAGCGAGGTGTTGAACTATTAGTGCGACGCCCTACTGATTTAGCGGTTTCTGCGGACTCTTCCCCTTTCTCAGTCTCTTTCGCAGCCGTATCCTCACTCCCGCCGGCAGCCTTTTCTTGCCACCAGAGATGACTAGCGAGCCCAACGGCCGTACTTTGATGGCTTTTTTTCAGGAGCTTCGCAGCATGGAGGACCGCCTTGGTGATAAGGGTGTCGTAATTGTCAACGCCGAAAACCTTTGCGCCTTCCAGTGTGCCAATAACCAGCGTGATGGCTTGCAGCTGCGCACGTGACTCGGAGATGTTATCCTCATAGACGCTGAATGCTTGGACGTAGAGATCATAGGTGAGGTCTTCAAATCCGCATTCATCAGCTACTTGAGCTGCCAAAAGGAAGAGTCGTAGGGCTATTGTGGGTGCATCGACTTGGGAAGCAAGAATAAATGTTAGCTGCCGACAAAATTTGAGAATTGTGGAAACTTTCGTCTCCCAGTCAGCTTCCTACACGTAGTCAGTCTGCTATTTCATACGGACGATGAAGTTCCTACGACATGTTCACGAGTCTTGTAACGTCGACACAATTTGATGGAGGATGTGATCAACGCGGGGAAAGTAAACCGCATTCGCTCTCCGCCTGCATCAAAGTGACGTCGGGCGATTTGCAGGAGCTATTGGGGATATTAGATGGGTAAGCCCTCGGAAGAAAAAAAAAAATGACCTCGAATTGAACATCTAATGATTCTGCGCGGAACAAGTGGACCATTCTTGCAACCCAGCCTTGTTCTTCTGCCATTTCTTCACGCTCAACGGTATATGGACCGTGTCGGCGCATGTCTTTGCCATTCCCTTGGTTGCCGTTTACACTGGGTCCGTTGGGAGCTGAATCAGATTGGTCCTTTATGAGGACATGGCACAACTCCAAAACCCCATCTACATCCTCCGGTGTCTCAATGATGGTCTCATTCTTGAGTACCGACGAAACGATGGAGTGAGCTATGGACCGTCGTGTGGAGAATAACTGTTTTGTCAACAATGGCGCATAGTTGGGAATGGCGAGCAAGGTGAGTACGGATTGGTAGGAGTTGATTGGTGCTACTAGCAAAGCAGCGAGATTCGTGGTCGTTTGAGGAGCATGTAAATCAGGACTATGAAAATGTTTGCTCCATAGTGGATTGGCTATATGCAGACATACCTCTCGGAATACTCTTTGATCTTGTCTGCCGCAAAACTGAGGACTTGATCAACGTACTCGAGTCGATCGGGGTAACAGCTCAGTGAAAGATTGGTCAGTGAGACAAATAGCGCTGTTATGTCCTGTATCGATAGATCTGGACGAGCCTGAAATGAAGTCAACAACCTGAGACAGAGCCAAAAGCAGATTAACTACCTTGATAAGCTCAACAACCTGCTGCCAGAAGACCTCGAAGAGCTGGACATCCTCTGGGACACCGCGGAACTTGCGCACATCTGGAGCGGGGGGCACAGGCTTTTCGCCATCAACGGTTTCACTAACCGAAGAGGCCACCTTCGTTGACTCAACAGGACTGGCTGGGGACTGGCCCCACTCGCTTGTGTCGGTCGTGGGTGAGCTGGCAAAATTGCCGTGCTCTCTCACTCTTGCCTTTTGAGATTTGACTTTCTCAGCAAGTCTTCGAGCGGCGGCCTCCTCTTGTTTCTTGGTCTCTTCAGGATCCTCATTTTCTGCTTCCCGAGCAGCATAAGCAGCGAGGCGGTCGATCAACGCAATAACTATTTGCTTGATGTTGACTTTCGGATGGAGTTGGGCAGTCGCAGAGAGGAACGGTCCCAGAGAGTGCAAGTGGAACTCGTCGGTGAAGACCTAATCAGTTAAGTGAGGATGAAAATAAGCAGCATCCTAACAGACCTGAATGACGACTTCCATCAAGTATTCCTGCGCAATGACATCCTTGCAATTGACCACTTGCTCAAGAACTCCAGGGAGTATTATGTTTTGATACATGTCAAGGTCAACGCCGTCAAGTTGGCTGAGCCGGACAAGATTGGTTCCAACTAGAATCCGCAATTCGCGTCGTTCAATTTCGCGCTTTTCGCGATCTCTTGAGTGCCCTTGGTGTTGTAGTCGTACCCAGAGTTTGTTCATCTCGATGAAGTTTGTGAGGACAAAGGAAATGGAGTCTTGTAGGTTTCCAGAGGGTCTAAAGGAGATAAGTTGGGCCGTATTGACGAGAGGTTACTGCGCACCCATCATCGTTTCCGAGCGGTAGATGGTCTCTGGTCTGTCCACTAAGGTAGTGGCGGAGGAACAAGCCACGAATAGGATGGAGGACCCCTCTCGACATTTCCATCATATCCTTCATGATTTCCTTCACTGGGGCTTCTGGAACTGACATGTAGACGGCGCCAACAGTGATCATAAGGTAGAGACGGGGGATGATGTTGCCAGCATATTGTACAAGCTCGTAGAGGTCCGCTAGGTGATGGCGGGACTGGGTGTGGGCGTCGTATAGGTAGTTAGAAAGATGGCGGAGGGCATCGAATACCGCCATGTCTAACAATTGTCAACAAATTTCAAAGTAACCGGGCAGCACATACATAGTTCATAGTACTGCTTTGGAGACAGGGATGAAGTGCGTAGTTCAGCAAGCATTAAGCTTGCACTCTTCAGCGCGTCCATGAGCTGGTCAAGCTCCTGCTGAATATTAGGTTTCAGTGACCGGTGAAAAGTATTTTGGCGTACCAGATAGCGCTTCATTTGTTGGGTTTGAGACCGGACAGTGCTCAATGAGTCGACGAGCAATTTGCCCTCCTCGACTGGGACAGACATGATTCTCTACAGCCCAGGAGCGCGAAGATCGAATTCAGATGACGTGCCGAGAGGGAAGAAGAACAAGGTCGAATGGAAAACGCCAGATAACACGGCAGGTGGTGGTGGGAGAGACCAACTGGCTTGGTGCTGCCCGCGGTGAGCAGAACGACAGCGATGGCTCAGAGTGACACACGCGGTCACACACTGATGTCGGTCCTTTTCGAAACCAGTCTTGGGGACCTGGTAATCGACCTCGAAGTTGAAGCTTGCCCAAAAACTTCGGAGAATTTTCTCAAGCTCTGCAAAGTATACTACTACAATCTCAACGCTTTCTTCAATGGTTCAGTGTTTTTGCCAGCCATCTTGTTTCTGACGCGTTTGTAGTCTCCAAGGATTTCCTGGCCCAAGCTGGGGACCCTACTGCAACGGGAACTGGCGGGGAGTCCATATGGGCGCACTTAGGCTCGCAAACGCGATACTTTGAACCCGAAATTCGACCCAAGCTAAAACACACCTCTCGAGGTACGCTCTCTATGGCTGTAGCTCCTGCATTGGAAGGCCACTCAAAAGGCGGCTGCGGGAGTCAATTTTTCATTACTCTGGCCGACAACATCGACTACCTGGATGGGAAACACGCTGTATTCGGCCATGTCGTTGAAGGTCTTGACACCCTCGAGAAACTGAACGACGTCTTCACGGACAAGGAGGGTCGACCATTCAAAGATGTTCGTATACGGCACGTTGTTATTCTGGGTTTGTGTTCAACCAAGTCTCTGTAACCTCCATCTAACTATTGTTATTTAGATGACCCTTTCCCTGACCCGCCTGGGCTTATCCAGCCTCCATCCTCACCTACACGTCCTCCAGATAACTCAACACGGATTGCAGAGGATGAAGATCCACTAGCAACTTTACCTGAAGAGGAAGAGGAGCGCATTCGACGCGAAAAGGCTGCTGCTGCATCGGCGCTGACCTTGGAAATGGTCGGAGACTTGCCTTTTGCGAATGTCAGACCACCAGAAAACGTCTTATTCGTGTGCAAGCTCAATCCAGTCACACGTGACGAAGACCTCGAGCTTATCTTTTCGAGATTTGGGGTCATCATGAGTTGCCAGGTTATCAGAGACAAGAGGACTGGCGACTCGTTACAATACGCCTTTATCGAGTTCGACCGCAGAGAAGACGCAGAGCAAGCATATTTTAAAATGCAGAATGTCCTTGTTGACGACCGCAGAATTTGGGTGGATTTGTGAGCACTCTTTTGGTTGTACTTGCGTCAAATACTGACAGTTGTCGATAGCTCCCAATCAGTGGCAAGGATAAACAATTCCTGGTCTAACGACATCAAGCGTGGGCCGGCTCGAACTAAATCGAGCGGTTTTGCTGGCAGGGATGACCTGGAGAAAACGAGACGGTACAGACAAGAGGCAGACCGTCCAGCGCGCGATAGTTATGCAATGGTGTTTGATGTCGCGGACTCTGGGAGACGGAGGGATGGACACTCGTCGAGAAGACGAAGCCGTAGTCGCGATAGAGAAAGGGAAAGGACATCGCGTCGGTCACGCTCTCGTTCTCCTCGACATAGGCGTTAAGATTTGGTCTGGTGTGTACTGTACAAATGTAGATCAGTGTTCCTCTTGCTTCTTCAATCCGCTCAAATCTTTGGTGGTTCTAGGTGATGGATGAGCATAGTCTAAGCACTGATTCCAGGCGTACTAACTCCACTGGAACCCCCAGAATATCGAGTCCGTCGAGCCTGGTCTCGTCAGCATCTCCTTGGTTAGAGGCAATGAAGATCTTGAGAGCCAATTTGAGCGATGTTAATGGGAGGAGAACTGGGACTGACGTGAATACTGTTCACAGATTGGAAGCGCACAAAGCGAAGTGTTGTCGGCCGGCCGTTGGCAACATCGTCAGCCGAAAGCTCTAATATTTGGGCAGCCGAAGCATCCTCCGCGACATCCTCAAACCCGACAGCCATGCGGTTGACCAGAAGCTTCACTTTCTTCGGTGCCTGCTCGCCTGTCGCCTTAAACACAATAGATCGCACGCGGACGGTTTGGTGGAACTAGTAGCGATGAGTTGACCACCAGCCGCTCGAAAGAAGACCTGCTTGGATATTGAGCAACAGTTCAGGATCGCCCTCATCGCTCTCCAAATAATTCGACGACGAGTTCAGCGCTTTGGAAGACACAATGGAGGCGAAAGTATGTTTGGTGGATTCATTGAGACAATGCAGCTAGAAAGACTCTTGGTAAAACGCGTATTTTGTCGATCGAGGGCACCTGAGAAAGATCTATGAACTGAAGCAGGGAAACATCCTCTGTGGACATTGGAACGAACAAGCGACACGCGTCTGTCACAGAAAGTCACACAGACCAAGTTTCGACCACCCAAAACATTAAGATTCCAATAAGTAAGTAGCTATGATATTACGCAGTCCTCCTTGTTGGCCTGCTGTCGAGTTGGACGCGCACCAGTCATCCGCTTGTTGCCCATTCGCTTCATCTCCGTCAGTCGATTCATGGCCCGTTTGTTTCCCTGAGCTAGAAACGTTTAGTTTCGCTTCAACTGTCTGCAAGGAACTCACCTGCTGCCCGCATGTACCATCGCTTGGCAAATTCAATATCCTGCTTGATACCAATCCCCACCTCTGCGTAATAACCAACAGCATATTCAGCTTTACTGAGACCCTTATTGGCAGCACGACGGGCCCATAAATAAGCCTCAGAGTCGCTCTGTTTGAGCACGTTCTCGCTTCCAGTCAAATACCACCCACTCAAGGCCAGCTCAGCTTCTGGATCGCCTTTCTCTGCCGCCTTGGTGTACCATGCAATTGAGCGTCGAGGATCGATTGGGCAACCTAAATTGCCGTATTCATAGCATTGGCCGAGTTTGAACTGCGACTGTGTGTAGCCGAGATGAGCCGCCCGCGTCAGCAAGTTTTTCGAAGCCATAACGTCCATGGGCACATATTCTCCGAGCTCATGCAGCAAGGCAAGCTCATGAAGTGCGTGTGGGTTTTCCTCGTCAGCCTGCTCCGCTGCTCGTCGCAGCCAATTGATCGCTTCTCGAGGATTCTTCGGTTCTCCCAATGACCCATGAAGTAGAATCATTCCAAGCTTGTACATGGCCGGCGTGTCGCCCAGCGATGCGGCTTTTCGATAAAAAGACGCGGCACGTGACGGTTCCTTGCGAGTCCCCGCGCCAATCTCGTTACAGACGGCAACACGGTAGGAAGATGCAGCGTGATTTTGTTTGGCAGCTTGTAGATAGAGATGGTAGGCACGTTCATGGTCGACTTGGAGCCCAAGAGCACCCGTTCCATAGCAATTTGCCAGGTAGAATTGTGCTTCATCATAAGCGTCTCCTTGGGTAGCTAGTCGACGAATGACTTTGAGGGCCTCTTGGACAAGCACCTCTGTGTACTTTTTGGCGGAGCGCTGATCTTTGGAGTTCATGCGGATATGTTTGGCGGCATCAACGAGATATTTGGCGTAGAGGAAATGAGCCTCTGGATCGGGGTCAGCCTTGATGCGCTGACGGTATTGGTCGATGTATTCCTTGGTATATGGCGGTGCACTCAAATCGACCGCTTTGCTCTTTACCGAAGTTGGCGTAGCACTGAATGTAGTCCCAGCACGATTGAGCGGGGGACGGAGGTCGAATTCCGAAGGTTCTGGCTGGTAGTTGGAAGGGGGGAGTGCGTAAGAAGAGTTGCCCGAGTAAGTCGACGGAGGGTATGGGGCTGATCGTGAGGAAGAAAGTGATGATTGGCTCGGTGCGTAGTGGGTATATGGGCCTGGTGGTGGTGGTTGTTGAGGTTGATATGGCTGTTGGGTGCCCGGTGGAGGACCCATTCCTAGCACATTCGATGCAGCAGCATATAATGGATTAAATTGCTGGGGAGCAGGCTGCCACTGTTGGTGTTGTGGGGGGCCATACGATACTGGCGATTCATAGGAAGGTTCGTAGGCCGTCTCATAGGAATCCTGCGAAATGTAGCTCTGGCCATCATATGACTGTTGGTGGGGGTCGTATGGCTGGGCGTGATACGCTTCGTTATTTGGCTGAACATATTGCTGCTGAGGTTCATACGCCGCATATTCTTGTTGAGTTGCAGGTACAGTGTGAGCATGTCGAGGTGTTCTGGGAAGGGGGGGTCCGCGAGAAGGAGCCCTTAGAACTGGCTCTGAATCGTCGATCCGTAATGTAGAAAACGCATCAACAGGATCGTATCTCGGTGGCTCCGCCGTCATCTATGGCGTTCTGGAGGTGGAGGAAAGAATATGACAGGTTGCTTCAGGCGTCTTGACGTCACACTCTGTGACCAACTCTGACGTCTCTCCGTCTGCCTCACTTCACGCGACTATGGCAGTCGAGGCTGTCGCCACTGTGTATTCTGTAACGGGCGTTGCTTTTCGACTAGCATGCTACATTTTACTGCGCGTTATCCCCTCCCCACTTGCTCTCAGTGCTATCGCCCTACTTTTTGTAGCACATGCGACAACCGTCCCTTTCCTCCCGGCAAACACCACAACCGAAAGTCGACCATACCGTGCAATCTTGCTCTCATACCCCTCAAAACTTCGTGCTAATGCGATTATCACCGGACTCATGCTCCTGATGGTTGCTGAGTTCGTACTCACTCCATTCTTTGACCCCGCCACCGCTCTCAACTTTTCGCGTGTTGGAGCTGTGTCCTCATCGACGGCCAAGATATCGGTACGCTCCGCCGAACAAAACCAAACCAAGCAACTGCTCTATCGAGAGTACCGCATGGACAATGAATTGTCGTGGAAAACAGGACCTCTCCTGTCTTTTACCGAAGAAGATGACTGGGTTAGCACAGTGAAGCTGACCGGTCTGTGGCCCAACACTTCATATCAATGTACGCCCTTCGGCTTGCTTTCCGCCTTCGGGTTAACCATCTCCACACAGACGCTCTCGCTGACGTCAATCGCACTGTTCTCTCGGGTCCCTTCAGCTTTCAGACCTTCCCTGACGCACGCTTATCAACTGGCTCTCACTTCCGCTTTGTCGCTTCGTCTTGCATAACCCCCAACTTCCCTTATGTCCCCTTCCACGGCCGCACAATCAAAGGTTTTGATGCATTAGCTCGCTATCTCTTTCCGACACCAGACTCCTCTCCGCTGGCCGAGTTCCTGCTCCTTCTCGGTGACTTCATCTAGTGATTCTTAGTCTTGCCATTAGTTAACATTATGCTTATCTGTCAACAGCAGTGATGTTCCTGTGCGCATTGCGGACGACAAACAAGCCTATCAACGTCTCTATCGTCGCAATTACCAGAGCTCAAGCTTCAGAAAAGTCTACGAACGTCTACGTGAGTCCCAGGACAGTTGTCATTGTTCGGCAATTCTAAGTGATTTTTATCCCAGCCATTTTCCACACTTATGACGACCACGAAGTAAGCATCCTGCTACACAATTATTTGAGCTCACATTTCACAGTTTAGGAATAATTTTGCCGGCGCTGGCTTAGACCCTCCACCATTTGCTAATGCATCTTCTGCTTACAAGATCTACAACGCGAACCCTAATTTCGACTCCCCAAAGGATCAGAATTACTACTCCTTTACTTACGCCGATGTTGCATTTTTTGTTCTTGACACGCGCCGCTACCGCACCGGCGGCGATGTTGAGTCCCCCACAATGCTCGGAGACACCCAACTCGCCGCGCTCCACGCATGGCTCTCACATGTGCGTTCATTGCTGGCTTACGTAATTCTGTTTTTTTTTTTTTCATTTTCTTCAGGCAAACAGTACCGCCTCGTTCAAGTTCATCATCAGCTCTGTGCCATTCACGTCTCTTTGGGGCCACGACGCCGCCTCAGACTCCTGGGCCGCCTATCCTGCAGAGAAGGCGGCCGTTCTCGCCGCGCTCCACTCAGTCCCCAATGTTGTGATCCTAAGTGGAGATCGACACGAGTTTGCGTCGATCGAATTCAACGCGCAGCACTTCCACACTGTCCGCGAATACTCGACATCGCCGCTCAACATGTTCGACATTCCCTTTTACCGCACGCTGAGTAAGCGGTCTGCGGAGACTGTTGCCCAAGCGCGAGAGGTCGTGAGTGAGGACGGCGTCAAGTCGACGGAGGACGTGGAGGTGCCGAAGGAGAGGGTGGTCAAGTATCTGGCGCGTGGAAACATAAAGTGGTGCGTAAATCTTCTCCCGCTGATGCTTCAATCTGAACTTCTCTCCTTAGGTCCACATTCGAAATCGACACAAGAAACTTGACACAGCCAACCCTGCGCGTCGACGTTGTCATTGGCGGCAAAGTCCGCTACCGGTGCGTTCCGGCCATTTGGTGCTTATGGACCAGACTGACACGTCTGTAGTGAGGAGCTGATTGGCAGCCCCGTAAAACTGCAGGCCTCGAACGCGTTGGGCGCCTTTGTCACCACCGGGCTCAAGGAAGCGTTCAATAGGATAGGCATCAACCCCAGTAGATGGTTCTAATGTAGAGTACCGTGTATCTTTATGTTCACTTGTTTGCTACGACTTATATATATGTGAGCGTTATTAGATCTCAGTTGTGAAAAAGCAGGAAAGTTTATTATTCAGACGACGGAAACACAAGCAGGTCTTAACGCTCTTGCAAGTTGTTGAGGAGACGGAGGATGCTGAGGACTGCGATGGGTCAGCGGCAAGCAGGCACACAGAGCACGGGGACGCACAAAGGTTGATAAAGTCGAGGTAGAGGGAGACGGCGCCCATGATGTACTCGTCGGGCGAGAGGCGGGCGTTGATGAGGTACGTGTCGTAGACGATGTAGCCCGAGAAGATCAGGCACCCGCCGCAGGCGTAGATGAGGTCCATCGTCTGCCCGAACGGGATGATCAGGCCGATGAAGCCGGTCATGCCTGGGGGGGGTTGTGAGTCAGGGTAAGTGCATAGCAAAAATAACTGACAAAGGGCGATGAGGCCGCCAAAGAGGAACGGGCCCAGACTGTCGAAGTCGTATTTGGTCCTGCGCTACAGAGGCCATGCCGAACGAGTTCAACTGGCCGTCACCTATCTTGGCAAGCAAGACCTCATCCTGGGGTACTCCTGGTTGCGGAAACACAACCCAGAGATCAATTGGGAAACCAAGGAGGTCAAGATGACACGGTGTCCCCGCAATTGCTCGACCTGCCGCGAGGAGGAGCGTGTCGAACAGACCGAGTTACGGCGACTCCGGTCGCTTCAGAAACGTCTCCGCTCCGGCCCGTTCCCCTCGGTTTGCACTATGGACCTCTCTGGCCCTGAGGACGGAGACGATTCCGACTCCGGTCTCGATTCCGACCTGCCTGATCTGACACCGGACTCAGACTCGGATGACGAGGATGACCAGCTCGAAGATGGTGACCGCATCTTCTACACCTCGTTTTGTCCCTCGGAGGAGATACGCGCAGGTAGCACCGTCTCACAGCGCCTGGCCGAAGCCTTTGCCAGGAACTCTGCCCCTCCGCCCTCCGAGATCCCGGACTGGGCTAAGGAGTTCCAGGACGTCTTCAACAAGGAGTCCTTCAACACGCTACCGGAACGGAGAGCCTGGGACCACGCCATTGAACTCGTCCCCGACGCTAAGCCCACCAACTGCAAGGTGTACCCCATCTCGCCCCTCGAGCAACGCGAGCTCGACGTGTTCATCAAGAAAGGGCTTTCAACGGGCCGGATTCGCCCCTCCAAGTCTCCGATGGTGTCTCCGGTCTTCTTCGTCAAGAAGAAGGATGGCGGACTCCGCTTCGTCCAGGACTACCGTGCTCTCAACACGATGACTGTCAAAAACCGGTACCCCCTTCCGCTGATCAACGACCTCATCAACCGGCTCAAAGGCGCTCGTTACTTCACCAAACTCGACGTCCGTTGGGGCTTCAACAATGTCCGGATCAAGGAAGGTGACGAGTGGAAAGCGGCTTTCCGGACTAACCGAGGCCTGTTCGAGCCCTTGGTGATGTATTTCGGCCTGACAAACTCTCCTGCGACGTTCCAAACGATGATGAATGACATTTTCCAGGACCTCATCCTCTCCGGAGACGTCATGATCTACCTTGACGACATCCTGATCGCCCATTCCAACCTCCGGAAACACCGGCAGATTGTTCAGGAGGTCTTACGGCGACTCCGGGAGCACAAGTTGTACCTTCAAGCGGAGAAGTGCGACTTTGAAAAATCGTCAATCGAGTACCTCGGAGTCATCATCTCCCATAACCACGTCGAAATGGACCCCGTCAAGGTCGCAGGCGTCTCCGCTCGGCCGACTCCAGAAAACAAGAAGGACATTCAGCAGTTCCTTGGGTTCGCTAATTTCTACCGCAGGTTCATTCGGGACTTCTCGACCCTTGCGCGCCCTCTTTTCGTGCTCACCAAGAAGGACCAGCAGTGGACTTGCACCCGTAGAGGGGGCAATTTGACAAATGTCTAGCTAAAGCTAGCAGAAAACTTGTCAAAAAAGCCAGCTATAAGCAGGCTAGCAATAGTTAGTGACATTTGACAAATGCTGGCACTTAATTTTGAAATAATGACTTAATTGAATATTTATATTAATAGTATGACTAATAGGCACCATATATGGTACTTTTAACTCCTTTTCTTCAGGCCGATGACCCGGTATATAGTGAATAAGGCTAAAACCCAATTAGGACTAGAATGATGTAACTTGATGTAGTGATTGAAATCATTGATGCCAATCAAAAATCGTTCCACATGGATGACTTTGCCTCACTATCATCAATTACATCATAATAAGCTACCTATTAAGGTCAATAGTAATTAAATAAAGTATTGAAAATATAGTCACCAAAGTGACACTTTCAGCTCATGAGCAAAGCTACCAGATTTGACAAGTTGTTCACTAGCAATAGCTAGCTACACTTGTCAAAAAACTCCACCTACGGCTCGGACTTGGGGCGACGCGGAAGCCTCCGCGTTCCAAGCGATCAAGGACGCGGTCACCTCGGAACCGGTACTGGCGATTCCGGACAATGCACAGCCTTTCCGACTCGAGGCGGACAGCTCTGATTATGCGACGGGGGCGGTTCTTTCACAATCCGCCCCGGACGGGAAGTGGCACCCTGTAGCATTCTATTCCAAAAGCTTAAATGATGTCCAGCGCAACTACGAAATCCACGACAAGGAGATGCTCGCGATCATCTGCACACTCGAGGAGTATAGACACTTCCTCGAGGGCGCCGCGCACCCTGTCGAGATTTGGACTGACCATAAGAATTTGGAGTACTTCAGGAAGACGCAGCACCTCAACCGGAGACAGGCCCGGTGGTCCCTATACCTCTCCCGGTTCGATTTCACGCTGCACCACAAGCCTGGCCGCGACATGGGTCGACCTGATGCCCTCTCCCGGAGACCCAACCACGGAGTCGATTCCGACAACTCCGATATCGTCCTTCTGCGGCCTGAACTCTTCCACGTCCGCGCACTTGAGGGCGTTTCTGTTTCCGGTCCCGGCTCTGAACTCCTCCGCGACATCCGTGATGCCCTCTCCGGTGAGCCTGACCTGGAGGAGCCCGTCGCACTAGTGGCCCGGCAACTTCTTAAGGTTCAAGGTCAAGCTCAAGGCCCCCGCTCCTCACGGTCTGACGAGTGGGCCGTCTCCGGTGGTCTTCTCCATTTCCGAGGAAAGATCGTTGTACCAAAGGACAAGGACCTCCGGAGACGCATCATCGAGCTCTGCCATGACACCCGGGTCGCCAGACACGCAGGTCGTTTCAAGACCTTGGAGTTGGTCTTCCGGAACTACTGGTGGCCTCAGATGTCTCGCCATATCGGCCGGTATGTTGCGACCTGTGACTTGTGCTGTCGCACCAAGGCACTCCGGAGACTGCCCCACGGAGAACTGCACCCCACGGAAACGCCCCCGGAACGCTGGCATACCGTCTCCGTCGACTTCATTGTAGAGCTTCCTGAAGCCCATGGGTACGACGCGATCATGGTCGTCGTTGACACCCTCGGAAAGCGCGCCCACTTCTCGGAGTGTCATACGACGGTCGATGCAGTAGGGGCAGCCCGCCTCTACTACCGGAATGTCTGGCGGCACCATGGGACTCCGGAGAAGTACGTCTCCGACCGCGGCTCGCAGTTCATCGCGGACTTCACCCGAGAACTTTGGCGTCTAATCGGCATCAAGCCCGCCACGTCCACCGCGTACCACCCGCAGACAGACGGTCAGACAGAACGCGTCAACCAGGAGCTGGAGCAGTACTTGCGGATCTTCACCAACTATCAGCAGGACGACTGGGATGAGCTGATTCTGGCCGCGGAGTTCGCCTACAACAACCATGTCCACTCCTCCACGCAGCAGGTCCCCTTCATGACGGACATGGGACGGCTCCCGCGCATGGGCTTCGAACCCGGAGTCCGTTCTGCCATGGAGTCGGTGAACAAGTTCCGCGACTGGATCGCCACTGGTGTTGCTGAAGCCAAGGCCGCGCTCACTAAGGCCAAAGAGGAGTACAAGCGCTACTACGACCGGAGACGCACTCCGTCTCCGGAGTTTAAGGTTGGCGACCGTGTTTGGCTGGATGCCTCTGACATCAGGACGACTCGCCCCTCGGAAAAGTTCTCCCATCGCCGCCTCGGACCATTCACGATAGTCGCGGAGATCAGCAAAGGTGCCTACAAGCTCGACCTCCCTCCGCGCTACTCGAAGCTCCACCCGGTCTTCCCCGTCGTCAAGCTCGAGCTCGCCCAGGACGACCCCTTCGACGGATGCCCCGGCTACGACCAGCCCCCTCCGGACCTCGAGGACGGAGTCCCGGAGTGGGAAGTAGAGGAAATCTTGGACGCAAGGGTGAGGTATAAACAACTGAACTACTTCGTCAGATGGAAAGGCTACGACGCATCGCACGACCAGTGGGTCCGCTTCGACCGCATCTTCGCCCCGGAGAAAATTGCGGAGTTCTATCGTAAGTACCCTGGCAAGCCACGACACATCGCCTCCGCGACCTTTGACTCGATTCTGTTCCGGTCTATGCGTCGAGACGCCGCATTCAAAGGGGGGGGTGATGTCAGGGGAACCTCCCTTGCGGCCCGGAGACGCGCCCAATTCCGGTCCGATTCCGGTTCCGACTCCGGTCCGGCCCTCCATCTCGCCCGCACAATCACCGATCCGTCAACGCCCTCCCGACGGTCGCCCTGGGACCTCGCCTGCGACGCCGCCCAAGCCTTCTGTGCCCGACAGCGGCAGCTACGGACAAGCAGTATATAGTCAGCTACCTAGCAGGCAGACCCTCAGAGTTTCTTCTCTTTGGATCCTCCCCTGCTAGGACCTTGATCTCAGGCCTCCGGGGTTGCCCTTACACAAGCGTCCGACTCCGAAGTTCTCGGAAACGCATTTTGGTCCCTTCAAGATCATCGGAAAGCCCAGTGCTGCGTCCTATCAAGTCCGTCTCCCGAAATCCCTTTCTCAAGTTCATCCCGTCTTTCACGTTTCCCAAATCGAAATCCACACACCCAACAAA